GTGGTTTTCTAGTTTTGTTATGTTTTCCTTTACAATTTTTTCTCAAACACTTGCATTTGTGACTTTTATCTCTCATCCGCTCGAGGCTCTGCACATTTTCTGTATTTCCACATAAGCAATTGTATTGTTTTTATGTCTTTAAACATTATATAAAATTATTTTATGCACTGTCATCATTTTTCAAATATTGAGACTTTCATCATGTGACTATAGTCTCTCATGGTCCTGAAACTGTATTCTTATTGAAGGGGTGGATTGAGACCATCTTCTGGGTCTTCTTGAAGACAGGTTATTAAGTTTATATTGACTGGTATCTATTTTTTTCTGTTGGAAGACCATCAAAATGGAGGATGGATCAACATAGATACTTTGGGGGCGTCTCGATAGTCCGAAGGTTCACTGGTCCGAAGGTTCATTGGTCCGAAAAGTGGTAACATTTTTATCGATTTTTTAATCAAGGGTTCATTGGTCCGAAGGTTCTATAGTGAACATTCGGACCATTGAACCTTCGGACTATCGCTACGGCCCCGATACTTTGGAATACTGCATCTTTATTTTCTGATTTTTGTCTGTACATTTGACAGCTTTGCTGCCTTGTTCAGATATAAACCTTAAAAGCTTTTTGCCAGAAAAATGGCAGGGAAACTGCTGTTAGGCCCCCTTTGCAAATAATGATTTTCCACTAGTGCAAAAAAAAAAAAAAAAAAAGGCATTAACCATTTTTTAACCAGTGATGGATTATACACTATTTGAACCATTGAGAAAGTCAACAGGCCATAAATAAAATGTAGTCCAGGACTGAAAATCAAAAGCGTGTTACATGCTTAAAAAATCAAATGTGTTACGTAAGACAACACAAAGCACGTTTGCTGTGCCCCTTTTTACTTCCAATAACAGTTGGCTGTGTTCTGGAATGGGTACCATGGCTAAATAGTAACAATCATCAATTGATGGATATTCTGGAGGGGACCTGTAAAAGTTTTATCCATTCGTTCTGTCACGTTTTGATTAAAAAGAAGACCCGAAACTGGCCTTTCTTGATTTTTAAATGTATAATCGCATTCAATTTGCTTGCCTTTTAAATTCTCCACATCCGAAACGAGAGTTTGCGATATTAGCAAATTCCAGGGTTGTGTTGATGTATGTTTCAAGTTTTCAGCGTACTACCTAGGATTTAGGATTAATTGAAATACTGATAAACGTTCAACTTTTATATCCAACATGTGGCTACCGTAGTAATAACCATAAAAAGGTATGTATCGTTAGCTAAGTCTGAATAAGCCTGACGTTTACATGTTGCTAACCAGAGGGGGTCAAATGGCTGGCTTATCTTGTCTGTTCATAAAATTATATGTTCGTCGCTTATTATTGGCGTTACTCGTAGTATCTTAGCCCCTTGGACTAGCGCGAAAACTCATGCGTTAGCACTCACTTTTTACTGTTTTTGATATGTACCCCTTCGTGTGCTAGGACACGAAAGATGTAAGACAAGATAACTGTAAAATGACGTCCAACCACTTGTACATATACATGTAGCAGTTGCTCTAATAACTTTTGCTTACATCTCACCTTATCAATTGAACACTGCTGAAAAGCCACTCTTTCTCATGTAGGTTAGTATGGAGAGGGGTAGAGAAGATGTGAGTGATAAATGTACAGTATGTACTTCAGCACATATGAGAAATTTGGCAAAATACCCAGAGCATGAACAGTTTAATGCTAACCCAAACTTGTAAAAAAAATCCAAGAACAATCTTGTCCATAGTATTTTCTGTTTTTCCATTTTAGGTTTACTAACCATGGCTGATGATATTGAATATTTTATACAGCAACAGAAGCAAAAGCTAGCAGCAGAGAGGAGGTCTCTGGGACAGGTAAGGTTTTCATTACTGTTTACTATTTAAAATGTGTGTGGGATGACAAAATCTACCTTTAATAATAGGAGCACCTAAAATGAGGCTGCTAGCAGTGCATAACTTAATTCCAGATATGAGAAAGCGATTCAGGTGTAACTGTATGTTTACAAATTTTGTTTAAGTCATAAAAAGTGGCATGAAAACATTGGCATTGTCGTGGAGAAGAAAGTAATTGGGCATAACTCCAGAGGAACAAAGACACAGAGAACATTTTCCATTGTTGATTTCTCTCAAATTTTATTCAACACTTCACTCTTGAGTCCCAGCACCCAAGCTTCAATGCCTGTTTGCCAAGCAGTTCAGCATTCATAGAAGCTAAAAAAAAAACATCACTGTTATTAGATAAATGTGGTAAATACTATGATGATGATCATGCTCAATGTTGAAAATGTATCAATCATTTATCCTATCAGTCCAAGATATGCAGTTCCTGATCAGTTGTTAAATGAAAATGCTATCTTCAGTCAGTCTATCCCCTTTCTTTCCTCAACAATGCTTGCATCAAACTGCAGTTTTCATTATTATTAGGGCTCCTTCCCAATGAAACTCATTCTGCATAGATCGATCTATCTCCATGGGAAATCTCACTGAATGCAATCAGATTAACAGATTAATAAGCCTCCTATTGGAGTAGAATACAAAAAAGCAGGTAATTATAGGAGTACATTGGAAGCAAGAGGAGGCGTGTTGCATTCAGATAGAGTCCCTACCAAGCTGGATCGATCTACGTAGAATGGTAGGCTCATTGGGAATGAGCCCTTATACTCTTAACTGGTGTGATTTTCATTTGCTAGTAGTAGTCAGCTACCTGATAACCTTTAAATAACCCCATATCCATATCATTACATCAAAATAGAGATGTTTTATAATCAAAAGAACAGAAAACAAATGTTTCAAGGCTTAAAGGTACTAAATATATATGGGGTGTGACCACCAAAATTAATTTTGGCTATTTTTTCCTACTAAAATCATTGCTTGAACCATCCAAGCACTTGAATTTGGTGTTTTATTCCATTTTTAATTCAAAAATAGTTTTTAATGACTGGCCTGTCATTTAGAACACCAAATTTTCCTGTACATTTCAGAAGGAAGTATGGATGTGAGGAGTCTTATAGTTTTTAAGGTCTGAACTGGGTAAGATCACTAGCATTGCAGATTATGTAGACATGGTAAATGTGATTTTTGGTAATTTTCAAATGCATACAGTATACCTCTAATGTCTGTTATTTTTTGCATCTAGGAGCCTGACCGTGATGACCCAAATACTTCTCGAAGAACTTGGGACAGGACACCAAAGAGTAATTTAGATGAACAAATATTGCAGGTAACCAATAAATGGCAGAGGAATCCTTGTGAAATGCACTAGACACTTAGACTGGTTTCCCATACCTATATCCATCTAACACGATCAATCCATCTCTGAGGGGTTTCTTGCTACATTGCTTTCACCTAAGTTAAGCGGCTTATATATCTTGCATGCCTACTGTACCTGCTAAACGATAATTGATTATCCACTGGCAGCTTCAGTGGGCATGACAGACATCTAAGCCACTTAAGTTGATAGCAATTTGGCTAATCCCCTCGGAGATAGAGCAATCCACAGTTGGTATGATAGGGTCTGGGAATGGTCCCTTATATGGCTGCTTTATGGATTTATGCCCTTTTGAAGTTCCTTTTCTGACATAAGCACAGTTCAGAAGCAAAAGTTGCGAGGTTGTTGAGGGAAAGGGATAAATATTATAATATTATTTTGAATTTTTTTTAATAGTAGTCAATGTGTAATTTCTGTATTTGAGCATTCCAGTGTTGCTAAAACTTATATTTATTTCATCTGTAGCATGGCAGGAGAGGCCCACAGGACAGGCAAACAGAGGATGTTGAAGGGGGTACACTGCCTCTTGGACAATATGAAGAAAAGAAAAGAAGATTACAGGAAGAAAGGAAGAGAGAAACCCAAGAAGTAATGGACAAGGTATACCCATTCATAAAGTACTACCTATTGTCTTCATGCTAGTGCCACATCACATAGGGCTTTTCCAACCAACTCTGTCTACAGCTATGACTCTGGCCTCTGATCAAGTTATTTGCCCTGCTTCTACTCTTTACTCTTTCAGTTTTGCTTCATGTTGCTCTTGATCTTCCCTTTTTCTTTTGGAATTAAATACATAATGTATTTATATTAATCCCCCCCCCTTGAGCTTGGCAGCATTAGGTTTGACCTATCCCCATCATGGGGGTATTTCAGCTTGTAAAAAGAAAAAGAAGATTGAACTGTTGATCTTCAAGATAATATCTGAAGAATTGGATATTTATGTTTTTTTGAGGATATAATGACACAAAAAGCTGGATTAAGTATTCCAACTGAATGATATTTAGAGTAAAATGAATTACTGTATTTTAATTATATTTGAGCATGAAACGAATTAATGTATTTTTAGGGCAAAGTGAATGGTTTCCATGTGGATCAAAACCGCAAGGAAAATATCCCCCCTCCAAGGCCACAGAGTCCAGAAGAGACAGGGCTTATTGGTCAGCTGGGCAGTTATGATCAAAAGAGAAAGAAACTGGAGGAAGAGAGGAAGAAGGAGTATAATAAAATGCTCTCTGAGGTAAATCATTAATACATAGCTGGTATCTGTTGGATGATGTGTTATGTTTTTCATTATGAACTCATCAACATTTTTGAAAGCCAGAATACCACTGATTTGTCGTCCGTTGCTGTCATATAGGCATGGATATAATATGTCAACTTATTCTTTAGAATAGCATTTGGTTGATATGCATTTATTATTAAAGATTTTCTTTTGAGAAAATAGTTTCTTTGTATCTAAAAGAAAAATTATTGATGTTTAGATCCTTAAATTTTGAAATTCTGTGTGACTTAGGCGTTGGTGATAGTTGACGGTATCTTTTCGATTCATCTAAATCTGCTTCCAATTGAAAGTTGTCAGTGAATTTTACTCAGTTTTTGGGGTGTTACGAAAGTGAGGGAGTACCTGTCCTGGTGTTATCCAAAATGTTTTCTCTCCCTTCTTGTTGTTGTTACTGTTGGGGTGGAATGATAACCATGTTATCAACGAAGGGAATCCCAAACATTCACACACATATGATGACATCATTATCCCACCCTACAATAACAACAAGTGGAGGGGGCAGTTTGGATAACACAAGGAATTGTACTCACTCACTTATGTTACACCACAAAAGGAATAAAAATCACTGACAGGAAATATATCAGGTTTCAGTTACTAATGAATATAGATGAAACCATTCACCAGCAACGCAAATATGTTTTCTGTCTTGTTTACAGTTCTTAATTTTACTTGATAAATGTTGCTCACTGGAAATTGTCTCAACATTGTGTCATTTGTCTTAGGAAATGCTTGAGTATTTGGTTGCCCATGTAAATGAAAATAACTTTATTGAATTTTGGTGATCCAGTTGGGTCTATGAAAACAAACTTTGCATTGTGTATAATTAGAGATTGCCTTGAATTATAGAAAAATATTCAACCAGGCGCACCAAAGTGGCTTCAGAATGGCCCGGAAAGACCAGATTCTCCAAGAGTAGGTGCCTCAGTGACAGGGAATTTGTTATTTGCTGTTGTTTTCCAGAATCTTCAGTCATTTTCCTTAAATTTCATGTTTAAGTTGCTGAGAGATATATTGATTTTTCTTATTGACTAAATTCAATTTTGATTTAAATTTTACAAGGTCACCAGTTGGTATTCCTTGCCTTTTTCAACTTCATACTATTGCAGTTATGCTTGATGTGTTTTTACTTGGCCTATTCACTTTTACCAGGGGTGATTTTTCTTTCAGTCTGTATATTTTGCATAGGCTGGTTGTACATTTTGCACAGGATGGTTTACTTTCAAAACCGTTGACTATTTAATCCTTTTTTTCTTGATACTGAAATATCTTTTTAGGGTCAATCCTTGTATTTTAGAATAGTATTTTGTTATCATTATTGCTTTAAAAATACTAGTCTGTGTTGTTTGTACTAAAAATTTATACTTGTGATTGATTTGCAATCATGGAAACTTTATTCTGCAAATGTGACTTTTCCATTTGATGTATATTATAAAATTTTGAAAATAACTGAAGGGTCTTTACTTTACAAAGGAAGGGTATGGATGGCAGTCATTTTCATTGTCTACTCTTATTCACTTTGTCCGCATCCATTGCTATATATCATATTTATATGTCTTATGAATAATAGAAGCCTTAGTTACATATATACCAAACAAAACTTGTTTATTGGTATTGTAAGGGTGTGTTGATGCTATTGATTTCCAACTTATTAATATTTAAGTGTTATAACTATTACAGCAAGAGTTGCGACGGACAGGTCGTCATCCTCAAGCACAAGACAATGAAGAAGTTGGGTTGCCTGCAATGAATAGAAAGATGTCGGCTGAGGCTAGAGCTGATGTTAGTAGAATGCCTAAATCTTTGAATTAAATTTTAAGTTTTACTATCTGATTTAAAAAATTGTTATTCTTATAACATGTAAATGCATAATTATGTATTGAGAACTTAAAAAAACTTTTTGCCCAATTTTAAAAGTAGCTTTTAATGATGTACAATCTATCATGTTTTGAAAATGCTGTTAAAACTGAATACATTTATCAGTTTGCAAAGAGAAGAGCAAGGAATGAGGAGTACAGGCAGTTCTTAGAACAAGAAGAGCAAAAAAGAAGACATAGATATGACAGTCACAAGCCTGCGGTAAATATTTTTTCTATGTATGCATTCAGTCCTTTGTCGAGTTCAAAATGTGGGATAGAAATTTGATTGATAAATGATAATCAAGACATTGATTTTCTATGGTAATGATATGGCATTGATACAAATTATTCTGTAGGATGCAATCAACAGGAGTCCACCACCCAAAGAGAGAACAGTTACTTTTGAGGACACATATGACAGAGATCTGAGGAGGGATGATGATTATGACAGACGGAGAGACAGATATGATGACAGAAATGAGGTACACGTGTACTGTGTATAGCATCAATTGATATTTACATCAAAGAGGATAATATTTCATGTTTCTTATCCACAGTGTGTTGTGAGTTGCAAAATACTTATTCATAGTCATTGTAGATTAGGATCCTTGAATGTTGAAGAGACCCGTTGTGATAGTAACGCTTTCTTAAGTGGGAAATATAAGACTTATATCAAAACATAACACTCAGTCAATGTCATATTAGGGACATAAATTTTATACATTTATGAAATGTTGTTTCTGGGATTGCAGAGAGTTCATTTTGTAATCAAGTAGCTTATTTCTGAAAGTGAGGACTAAAACAATTTTTAGATCTGAAAATGTAGCTCAGCATTCCTCATTGATAGCAGGTGTAGTCCTACAGTTTGGCATTTTTCATCACCCACTTGTATTAAACCCTATTTTCTCCTATTTTTCAATTAATAAGATATTATGTCTCACATGTTCTTTCACCTCACCCTTTCTTTTCACCACTAGAGCACTGGTGTGTGTTTTGCAGTGTCTTTTCACCCTCCCTTCCAGGTCAAACATAGACGTGCACCTAAAGAAACTGACTATGGCATGACTTTGCCTGGAATCAGAGATAAGCACTCTGCAGAGGTACTATGTATTTCTGCTGTATTACTACTAATAAACTAACAAAATAAATTATGAGGACTTTCATGAAAACGTACTTAAATATGCCAGAAAATTGAAACAAAGTTACAAGTAGGGGTTATCATTAAGTGGAAGGGAATATATATGCCATGTTATAATATTACTTTTATTGCTTTGTGGCAATTTTAAGAAACAAATATAGAAATTCAAAATCCAAATGTGGAGTGCACTGTAGTGTTCAAATGAAAGCCTAAGAGTTGATGATTGTTGGCTTATTTGTTGTCATTCTGGTTTTGTTTTCAGCAAAGAAAAATGGCAGAAAGGAATAGAGAATATAATGATTTTCTACAACAGAAATCAGAAAGAGACAACAGGAGGAGAGAGGTATTTATTGCATAATGTATTCTCAAACATTGAAATAAATCATTTTAAAATGGAAAGAAAGAAAATGTAATTGATAGTACCATATTATAACTGCTCATTTATGTTGTTGGCAGGATATAATACATCCATGTACATTGAAAGAAGACAGTAAAAAGGATAAAAAAGTAGATGGGGGCTGCATATTGTCCTAACAGTTACTGTTTTCTTTGTCTCTAGCAGGTATCCTTCTGAAGACGTGATAGTTATTCAGTTATTCAGGAATGAGTTTTGATACATGTAGATAAGTTATGATACATGTAGGTGTTTTCCCAGTGATAGTATTTAATATCAACCAATAAGTGCAAATTTTAAAATTTGTGATTCCATGATTTGAATTAAAGGATCAAAGAATACGCACAAGAAGCAGGAGTGACTTTTTGTCAGATGATGAGGATGCATTTGAAAGAGGTCGTAATAAACCACCTCGTAGAGGTTGGGGCACACCTACGTATGAGGAAATACTAGAACAGAAGAGGAGAGAAGAGAGTCGCTACAGGTAAAAAAAGTAAAAATAAAAAAAAGCATCAGTGATTATCTGATTTGTCCATAATGATTTTGTAGCATGGAATTCCTATGGGCATGATGAAAATATATAAGGACATTTTTGGTTAAGATGTCATAGCATCTGCTGCATCTTTGATTAATGAGTTCTGGACAAGAGTAATAAATAATTTACATTTATGTGGATTTCTGTTACCTGAAACCATATAGCAACAAAGCTGTGAATGGAAATACTGATTAAACATTCAAAGAGACTTTATTCTGATGAGTTTGTTTTCATCTTGTTAGTGGCTTATAGATCTGTGCAGAAGTGTTGATGATTCAAATATATCATGCATATATGATTCAAATATATCACCCAGTAGCTTCCACAAGCATGCCTCTAATGTGGAATTTTTTATTTTCATTTCTCACCAGGCGCTATGATGATCCAGAGTATTCCAGAACCCCAACAGGCATGAGGCTTGGTGATGATAACTACAGGAGGTCTGCCATATCAGATGGTTATCTAAATGTGAGTAACCTTAAGTTGTGTGAAATTCACTTGGATATAACAAGCAAGAGGGTAGCACTAATTTGAGTGATCACAACTGATATTCATTTTCCACTAATATTCATTGTTGTATGAATGTGTGTGTGAAATACATATTTTGATTTTTGGGACAATTTTCTGCACACAGCATAATTGTTTTATGCCTAACTTTTCTTTTATCCCATGACAAAGCAAAATGATATGAAGAAAGATTTTTAGTGAACACTAAAAATAATACAAAAGGTTCCCAGAACTATTTATGTGTAGAACATGAGATGTTATATTAATGTCAGATTTTTTCAAGTTTTTATTCAAAAATTGAAAACTTTTACTGTCTAGGATGACAGACGACTGAATGCCATAGACAGGCAATATGATGCCAAGTAAGTTTGCTATGCATCTAGGGTAAATTTTGTCTGTTCAGACAGTGCAGCAAATTTTTTAACATAAAAGATAGTTGTAACATTTGAAAATTATAAACTTAACTGTAGATTGAGAAAAAATAGTGATTTAAAAAAAATTCAATTTTTCATGTGATTCCTTTTATGTATTGACTGTGATATGACTAAGGCTGTTTTCAAACTTGAACATGCTAAGATAAATATTGTTTTTTAGAATGATGATATTGATAAAAAAACTTCAGGAGAATAAAAACAAGTAACAATGAGCGCAGCAAAAGCTGGGTTGATGAAAGTGATCCTGTGACAGAATTTTACCAATTGGTAACTCTTGCTGATAGTTTTGTGCTTTAAATATTGTAGTGCGCCCTTCCCTTTTATCTAGCACATGTATGTCCTATGTACTAGCTGCTGCTGATGTAGATGTCAGTTTGGGGGAGGGCCAGGCATTTCTCGTGTACAGGTTGTAAATGTGACTCATTTCCACCATTATTGTCTTGTTCATCCCATAACTTCCCCAACTTTTTTTCCTGTCTTTGTATAGAAAGCTTACATACCACCCAGCTTTGTGTAATGTGCTTCATAGAACTGTGATAATCAGTTAAACCTCTATACAATTAGTTCCTTTTTTTCTTACTCCCATTCTTTACCTTCTTCACCCACCCTGTGTTTAGGAGAGTTCAGTTCAAAGAAGAGTCCAAGTGGCCCAGTCTTCTGGATGAAGTCTACTGGACCTCACCTTTGAGGAACCCAGCTAGGGATCCCCTACAAGAATGGGTAACTGTGGCCAGTAGTGTCATGCTTGACTTGCTTGGCTTTGTCTGTTATGTTAACAAAAGATGTGATATATTTTAGAGAACAATGCATAAAAGGCAACTCTTTAAATTCATGATTGATGGGGAAAATTATAATAAAAGTTTGTAGAAAGAAATATACATACATTGAAATGCATAGGATAAAGCATGGCTTTGTCAATTCAAATTGGTTAAATATCATGTTGACCAAAATTAAATTTTAAAGGGTCTGCATTTTATTGATCTAATCTCCATAATACAGTGTTCATCAAGAGTTTTTTTTAAAAAAGATACTCAATGGAAATTATTGCCTTCCAATACCCATCCCAAAAGTCTGATACAATGTGATAATTTATATGTTGATCATATTTAGGATGTGTCTCAGGACTGTAGCAAGCAGTTAAAAAAATGGACCTTTTTTCCTGGGAGATCTCATATTGTACTTTTTAAAATAAAATTTTGATTCAAAGCAGACCTTTTCCCCAGTCATAATGGCAGTTGTATGCCCCCCCCCCAACCCCCCTGCCTACAGACCTGTGTTTTGACTAGTTGTGCTGGATGGGGATTTTTGCTTTGTTAAAAGAAGCTTTTGCTTTCATTAGCTTTCAAGGATAAGACAAAGGAGTCCATCTCCCATTCATGAGGTAATTGAATGGACTGCAGTTATAACATGTTTATTTCTTTATGTTTGTCTGATTATTTGGTTGTAATATTGTGTGTATTGGATGGCTGTTTACTATGAAACCATAACACCTTTAATCAAATACTTTGATTTATCATTCAATATATTGCAAAGGTTACTTGGTCATTGCTTCAGGAAATTGGTATTTTATGATAAACATATGCATGCTGCATCATACTGTGAAGCAAGAAACTAAAACTTGTGCATGTTGTGTCTCTCTTTTTCACTGTATAAAAAAAACTTGTAGTATTATTTTTCAACTCAGTCTGGTAATGAAAGCAAATTAGTTTTTTTTTTTGCTACGTTAGAGCATAGATACTTCTTATAATTATTGTTTTTGACTTGCCTTTGGTACTTTATATTCATTTTTTGCAGCTCTTTTTTTTTTAAATTTATTTATTTTACCCGTAGGTGGTAGTTAGCTTTTGCCATTTGATTTTCATGCAGTAGGTTGAAATGGTGATGAAAGAGCGATGTATTAGTGAGAGTGGTGTTTTATATCTTTAAACATGATTCATATATTTGGTTTTAATATGTTTTCAGACAGTCAATTTATTTTGTTGTTACAGTTTTTGTGCATTTTAATTATTTACTATTTTTATGTACATATTTGATTTTTTTTTTTTGCTGAAAATCATCTTTTAGAATGTAGTGAAGTTGTCTTAAGCAAGTAGCAGTGAATACACAGTAGCAAATATTTTTCAGATTTCATTTAAATCAAAATTAATAAATTCACTTTGAGTGTATTGGACTGTTTTCAGAGGATGTACTTTTTACTTTGTACTCTTCGGACTCTTATGATATAATAATTTTTCATTGTTTTCTGTAGGATGACAGACGGCGAGGCCCCAGGGAGCCAGACCCCAGTCCCAGGAGAACACATCCTGACCCTGAGCCTCCTGCAAGGCAAGGCAGGAGAGGCTACCAGCCCCCACAGGAAGATGACAGCAGGCAGGCTGGGGCTACTCTCTTAGTGGGTGAGTAAACTTAATTACAGAAATAGATTTGTCTTTGTTGGAATACTATCAGATATTCTTTTCGATGATTCAAAAATAGAAATAAAATGACCATATAACTTTGGGGAAGGGTGTATATCTGTTTGAGGTCAAGATATGTTATGTTAGAGAAAGAGGCTGAGAGTAGTGTTTTTCTAAAAGATTACAGATGAAATTCATAAACACTGAACTCCTGCATTGCATTAATGGATTAGTATAAGCTATAATATCTACAATTTTAAGAGCTAGATTCAATTTAACTGAATCATCATGGACAATTTCTTAGTTAAGGTGTGATTTAACATTCGGTCAATATATATAAATCTTGGCAGTCAAGTTTATTTACTTTAAAATATTTCTGCAGGCCATGAAAATTCTGAAAGTGCAAAGAGAAGGAAGCAGGAGGAATACCGCAAAGAATTGGAATTACAAATGAAGGGAGACAAGGAAGCTAAGCAGAGGTAACTATTATGTATCCAGTCATGTAGATTTATGTTGTAAGGAGTGTGGAAGCTGATTTCCAACACTGATATTATATACATGAGCAACTGAGCAAACTTTAGAGCTGCATGATTTAGTATACAAAATTCAATATGACCACATAATGTAAATTATTAACAATAAGAATTGCAGCATTTTAGTGATGCATGTTAAAAATGCATGCTTTGTTGATGATGTCTTTTAAAATGCATGACTTTGTTTTTATGGACTGGAATATTGTGAATCACATTGGAACAACACATTTTTATTACCAATCATCATGTACTTTTACCAAAAGATTCTCTGATAATTTTATTGCTTTCAAATCCATATACTAGTAAAGCTGTTTTTTGTGTTTAGGGAAAAGGAAAGGTAAGAAGCATCTGTAAAATTCTCGTGTTAATATTTGAATAAAAGCATGGCTCATGATTTTTTTTTGCTTTTCTCTTGTGTGATGTCCATTGCTTTAACATGGTTATGTGTATTTAATTCCATTACTAATATCTTGGGATCATAATGCTGTTTGCTTTCCATTCACATGTAGAGTATGGCAGCTGGTTGCCAAAGAAAATCTTGCTCAATAATTTTTTTTTTCCTCTGGTAGTGTTTCATCTTGATTTTCTGCTCATACTAAAACATGAATTTTAAATAACTGCAGTTGGCGTTCCTTCTGGTTGTTATTATTATTGTTATTATTGTTGTTGTTATGTCAGCATGAAAATTAGATAATTCTTAATCATTATTATATTTTTACTTCTTTTGCTTGCATTGATGAAAAGCTTGTGTAAAAGGTTGACATTTTTTTCCTGCACATAACTTTTATCATCATCTTTTGAAGTATAAATCTTTAATTCTGATTTGCCCACCCTTGTGACAATATATTTCATATTCTGGCTTTACACAATTTTAAGCAATCAACCTATTATTGGCATATATCAAGTTTGAAATATTGCCATTGTTATTTAAATTTGTACATAAATAAATGATAAAACAGTTATCCCATTATTTTATGTGATGCTGGCTTTCTGATTATATATCCCATTTTTGTGGGCTTTTGCCCTAGACCTTATTGGGAAGGCTAGCTAAGACAAATGCATGTAAAACATAGTCTAACTACCATTTCCATAATATATGTGTACTTTTATTACATACCATACTCTAATATGATTGCCTATCAATGTACCCTTAGGGAAAAGGCCAATGACATGAGAATCAATGTCTCAGGGGCACAAGATCCAGAGAAGAGACCTGATAGGCTGAGAGAATTACCCCCAGCAGAGCAGAGGGGTCCCCCAAGACAGTATCAGAGTGTGCCAGTGCAGCCATATCACCCTGTGACTGAAGACTTAAGGTACTCTTATGTGGGATATAAAAATAGGAATTCATTTGGATGTTGGGTTAATCATTTATCGGGAGAACCAATGGTGTAGATAAACAGTTTATTAATGTGAAATCTTTAAGAAAAGACTTGGCATTACATGCTCATGAGAACATGTCTGGATATTTGGTTAATTTGTGGCAAAATAGTATAAAATATACAACATTTTTCTTTTTCAGTTTAGAAAATATCCATTTTTGTAATTCAGTAATAATATTGCTCCAGTAATATGATTTTTTTTCATTTCAGTCCCAGATCCCAAGCATTCCAGAAGTACCAGGCCCAGCTGTTCAGTGAGCCCTCTTCCAGACCAGCTCCCAGTATATTAGACAGAGGCTGGGGAGGGGACCTGTATGGTAGACCACTAGAACCTGGCCTTGGGCTGCTCAGCCGACAGCCAGGGTAAGAACCATACGGTTATATAGCGACTTAATAAAGAATTGATTGATAGGGAAAATGAAGTCTTGATAGAAAACTGTTTGATAGTCTGTGGCATGGGCTTGAATACATGAACAATTAGACTAAAATCAAGGGTTGGTTTTATGATAGAACCTAAGTCCAAACNTAAAAAAATATGGCCAATCACGCGTAAAGCAAAAGGTATTCCCTACCCTCATTTTCCACCAGCCACAGTTAGAAGAGTGACATTATCTGTGAATATCTAGTGAAAAATCATTTAGTAGGCGTGGCAGAGGGTAATCAAAATGGCCTTGGAGACATAAGCACATTCTGGAAAGTAACCAGAATGTCCTGTACAAACTTCAAATTCACATTCACTTTACCACATTCATTTTACCACAATAAGCTCTAGTTCAACAGCTTTCTACATAGTTAACCCACATAGTCAACAAAAACTCTGCATAAACAACAAAACTTTAAATAGTTTTTTTTTACTGGAGTAAGCATTGAAAATATATATATTTAAAAAATTAAAAGGGGGAGGGAGGGGTTTAATATAATGATCTCCCTTTGACGATCTTCCGCAAACGAAGATCCTAAATCCCTTGAACTACTAATATGAAAATTGCATTTTATTCTTGCTTACATCGCGAACGATCTCCCACTGAAGATATGAAAAGTGCCTTTTTGTCTCGCTCAGTTGGCGAATGATCTCCCACTGATGATCTTATGTGAACAATGCCCTCTGAACAAATAAAAAAATTGCCTTCTCGTCTTGCTCGGATTGCGAACGATCTGCTTATGATATTACGCAAATGATTCTCTGCTGAAGATATGCCATGGGCAGGGGGAGGGGTTAAAGATAAAATGAAAATTTATATTTTTTAAAAATTCAAAGCAGGAGGGGTTTAAAATAATGATCTCCCGCTGTTGATCTCTCGCGAACGAAGTTCGTAAGTCCCTTGAACTAATATGAAAATTTCTTGCCTCTGATGCAAACGATCTCCTGCCGAAGATCTGAAACTTGCCTTTTCGTCTCACTCAAATCGTGAACGATCTCCCACAAATGATCTTGAGGAAAAAAGTGCTCAGAACAAATATGGAAATTGCCTTCTCAAAATCGCATGAAGATGAAGATATTACGCGAAAGATTCTCAACTGAAGTTGTGAAAATTGCCATCTTGTCCCATTTGGACCGCGAACGATCTCCATGTTTACGAGCTAAGTAATAGTTAAATGACCTTAAATTGCGCAATGGACATGAATAGAATTAGCGGGTACATTTTTTTATCCGAGATAATATCTTGATTTTTTTTTCATTGTGTCGTCCCCATTAAGGACAGCTATCGATAACATTAACAGCGTTACAGTGTACTTGCTGGAGAAGTTTTGGAGTTAAAATGCAAATGAATCAGTATCTTACACCAATTTAAGGTGCAGTTTAATTGACGATAAAAAACAGGGCAGAGCAGAAGCTTATCAAGCTGTCATAGAGTTGATTAAAGTTTACATAACACATCTGCAACATGTTTCACTTATCAACCCTAACCTAGTTACTTACTTCTTGATCAGAACAAATTAATAGGCACTTTATAAGATTGCTGAACACGTAGCAGATGGTTGACCTTAGACGGCAAAAAAGTGTCACAGCACTATTAACCCAGGCAATTTTTATTATGAGGCCTGTAAGGCAAGTAGAAAAAAAAATTGCTCTTCAACTCGTACGTCTCTGGGTATTGCAGATTGTGGCACTTGATAGACTAGTTCCATTGGTAAGTATTTAAAAACTCTTGATGTATAGATCAAGTTGATCAACCACACTAATATTTTTGTTCCCAATGCCCAAGGTCACCCCTTTATTTAACATTGTAAGCTATCTGATTAGCTAACCTACATTACAACAATAGAACTTTATCACTTCTTTCATTGGAATAAGCAATGATGTAGATACAGGGTATATAAACAAGGAGAATAGTGAACATAAAAATAAATAGTGAAAAAATATGATAGATCAGGCCCATTTCACAAAGTAAAAAAACCTTTAGTCAGTTCTCGGGTTTAGTTGACTAGGACTACCATGAGAGTGCTGTAACACTGTTCCTGATAGGGTAAGATATGGGCTTGTGTCCATTTAATGTTGGTAATGCCCATATTTCAGGATTCGTGGTTGAATCGTAATCAGTTTGTGATTGATCAAGAATTGCAAGAACTCAGTACGAATATATACAGATCTGTTAAGAACTTCATGAACTGATTACGATTCAACCACGAATCCTGAAATTTGTCAATTCCTGGCGATTCGTGGGATTCATAGTCTGCGTGAAATAGGGGCATAACAAAGATGTTAGCCAGGTATTCCAACTTAAGTTTTTTTTTGTGAAAACGAGGGAGGTGCTCTGAAGTTCCAGATGTTCAAATTTTATGAAATAATGTCATTTTTGACCACAAGTTGTCTGCTTTGCCAAGCCTTATGTTTTATTTTTCCGGAGTTCAAAATTTATTATCCATTACCGTACTACACATTTTGCTTTCACCACCAATGTGTACTTTTTGATACAGCGTAACTCGAAAACCGTATGGAATACAAAAAAATGGAGACCACTAGCAGTGTTGGGCTTTACATGCTCTACAAAATGCAAAAAAGAATGGGTCTCTAGCATTAACGGTTCCCGAATTAGAGACAGTTTTCAGTTTCGGTATCTTATGGCCGCTACTCCTGTGAAAATGCACCGATTGACCCCAAATTCACGGAGATGAAAGATGACCTGAAGGGTAACACTTTCCAATAATATTATTGGTTAATTCTGTGTGGTGTCTGAATAACAGGGCAAATAATTTTTTTTTCATAAAAAAATTCATATTTTTGAAAATTTTGGCCCATTTGACCTTGAAAAAAAGGTCAAAGGTCAAATCCAAGGGCATATTTGAAATCTACACATATGACTTTTGGAAAGCCGTCTGTAGAAATTTTTCCCATAATTCCTTCCGTAGGGTAGATAATTAGCATTTAATTTTGCCATTTTTAGACAAGGGTGCATTGCAATGAGTGCCACACCTAGACCCCAATACCGAGAAAGCCCATATTTTACGTGGAACGAGTTGAGATTATAGGTGACCTAAATCCAAGAGATGGGTACGGGGGCCCTTACCGTCTAGGAGGAGAAGCGGTAACGGTAGCCATCCGGCGGAGCCGCAGGAGCCGGTGGAACGATCCGGACGGGACTAAAACCATGTGTACCTTTAACCAAAACAGTTAGGAGATCATGATATCAACAGTTAATTGCTGTTACAGACTAGGAATGATTTACAACTACAAAAATCAGTCTCCAATCAACAGCTTTCAAATACTATAACACAAACTTATATTATATAATACAAAAGTTGCTTTAGTTGAAAAATGGTAGTTATTACTATCAGTGGGTAATTCAAAATTCAGTGATACTCTGCTATATAGTGGCAAAAGTATTGAGAAATAAAGATTTAAGATTATGTCACCACCTGTTTATGTGGCCCGTGGTCCCTTCTTTAAAGCCATGTTTTTAAGGGCAGTGTTAGTAAGTAACCTGCAAGATGTCTTTATACGTACCTCTTTAACAAGAGAACTAACATTCTATATTTTACACAATGTTACAAACACCTAACTTCTATTTCTCTTTACAGGTGGAGATCAATTTTTGAAAATGTTGAAACTTACTGTATGGCAAGAGAATCAACAGGAGACAATGAAAGTTATATTTGATTGGACCAAATGTGAAACCGATCAACATTTCTTCTTGACAGTGACTGAACTGCAAAGTGAAAAGAAATCCATTCACAAACTTTCAAAAAATCAGTTCAGACACACAATGTGGTTCCCACTTGGAAGCTATTATGAGGCTTTCATCTCAACCTGCAAAAATCACAGAAGAGAGAAAAGTAACACATCTCAATTTGGATGTAAAAGACCAGAGGTAATTTCATTTTTCTCATGCACAATGTGTCTACTACAGGGATGCAATAAATAATAGACTCGCCCAACACAAAGCTAACAGACTATGTCCCTTACCAATTAACCATGGTTTAGAGATACAAAAAAATTGTGTCACATTTCCACTCAAACTTAGTCAGCGTATGTAGCTAAAGCACATCTCAGCAATCAGGCCGTTCATGAGTTTCTCATCTGAAGAAGCTCATATATCAGCATGCAAATAACCTCAACTTGTCAATGAATAGAAGTGGGCAGGACAACAAAAGGAGAAACTGGTTAAACATGGTGTTCTAAATACTATTCTTAACCAGGTGACCAACTGAGACAGGTTGACCAAATCTGACTGAAAACAGTACTTCAGTCAAACTTATGTACTTATGTAAACTGTAGATGTAACTATTTTGTAAGTTGAAAATTTTATTTATATCAAAAAGATATTGTTCATGTTTTAAAGCAAGTAAACTACAAAGCCCCTATTCAGTTCACAAATATAATACCCAGACTTGTTAATTAATTTGAATGTAGTCCCTTACTTGTGCACTCGACTCTTTTTATGGCCTTACCTGTAATTATATAACGTAAGTGGACGTGTGCAATTTGAATAATTAAAATTACTATGTACCACCAAATAGTGCAACACAGATAAGAAATACGTATGTAAGACGTTCAGAATTAACATCTGGAGTTCAGATTGAGGGAGACTTAGGGAGACCACTCAGGAGAACTAGGAAGACGGGAACGAGCCATGGGAGATGGTTTAAAAGTTGGAGACTTCACGTAGATGATGTAGCTAGAGAGCGTCAACAAATAAACCATTAAACTGGTCATTATGTGTCCTTTGGTTTTCTTTGAGCGACTTTAGAAAGCTGACACAAACCATGGAATTGTTGATTGCGTTTTGAGCCTTATAAAAGTTACCATTAAGAAAGTATAAAAAGATTTCATTACACCCCGTGGCATCACATAGAAAGCATCCATGTCAGAATCATTATTCAACATATCACAGAAAAAAGGGGAATAAGATGTTTTATCATTATTTTCAGTCAGTGTTTAAACAACCACTATACCAACTTAGGGTACTAGAGAAAGGTGCCAGCCGTGTCCACGTGAAAATTCAAACCTCAGATCCTAATCCCTCAAGCAAGTGGTTTCATCTTGACTTGGTCAACACTAGCAAACATTACATTGGTGAGAGTCTTCATGTTTGTGGCGATGACAAAATCATAAAATTCAAGCTGAAGCCTGGACAAGAATACAAACTTACAGGCTATGCAATTGATAGCAACGCATATCTTGGTGCATTACGTTTCCGTGCAGGTAAGATAATTATGTATGCAAACAAAAGTCCCACTAAAGATAGGAATATTTATTTTTCTTATTCATTTATTTATCTTTTTTATGTGTGTGTGGTTTTTATCTTAATAAGGACAATACAAAGTCACTGTCTTTAAGATATAATTTTTAAAAAGCCTTCTATAAATGAGCATTCATCACTTAAAAGCATTCAAAACTGCTCAAAACGGACAAGACATGCATGTGAATATTTACTATGCTAAATAGCCTTTAAAATATATTTTAACATGCTTAAAATTGAGTAAAACAGTATTAGTTTGATATGTTTTCAAACAAAAGGATTTTTTTTCTAAAATGTATGTTCTTACTGGGACCTTTCTTTTCATATATAATAATCAAAAAGCATTAATTAATCCTTTTCTCATTTAGCATGACCAATACAGACTATTCATTTAGTAAATTTGCTCATGATTTTTTACCTCAAAAGTATGAATCATCTTTCTCTCATAAAAGGTTAAAGCTGGTGAATAATAGATATTGTTGACTATAACAGCCAATCTGTAATTATGCTCAAAATTTTTCTCTGCAGAGCTGAGTATTTTGGAACTGAGGGAACTGTTGAAAAGGGCAAATATTTTTACAAAGAATCGTGGTGGTAAAATCATCCCATGCAGATACTTGTATCGTAATAAAACTGTGCAATACTTCAAGGACATCTTTCAAAAAGATGGAATAATGAAGATATACAAGAAAGACTACAATGGAGACCAAGGGTCACCAATTAATGGAAAACTTGATGGACTGTTCTTTGCCTCTAACCCTGACCTGCAGACAGGACTTCCTCCTCTCAGGTCATTTTTTGGTCCAAGGAGAGTGAATATCCCAGCATCCGACCTGTTTGTGACAGGCACAAATCTTTATTTTGCTGACTTTTACTGCCACAGGAAAGCACATTATGTAACCCTTGTGCTCACTTTAGCTGGATCAACAGCAGACCAGTTTTGCAGGGGGAGACTTCTTACAATTGATCCCTACGATAACTTATTTTTCATGAAAGCCCGGGAAGAACATTCAAGGCGTGTCTATACTTCAGGAAATATTTGGGTTGAAATCTTTTACACCGAAAATATCAACCTTTGGCCTTATCTCTATCGAGGTTTAATTGTTAGTGTGCCTAGCACAGGTACTTCCAGACCAGAAGGAATTCCTAAGAACCCAAAATGTCACATTTGTAATTTGTGAAACAATTTTACATGTAAGTAATAGTAATTTTCATGAAGAAAACATTTTCTGATCGTGTACAGAAGCAAAAATCCACAGATTTGCAGAAAAATAAAATTATTTAGTGACTTACAAGTTAAAAATAATAAAATGTCGTGGCTACTGAAGCAGTGATTGTATACAATAACAACCAAAACGAATAATATGAATACTGAATCATGCAACTGGAAGGTAATTTTATAAGTGGCACACTGTTATTTACTTTATTGTGCAACGGGCATTACTAGAAATAACAGAAGCAATCAATTAGATCTTTATATTCATGTGCCTAAGTTACAATATTGGTATAGGCAGTTTATGTAGTAATAGTTGTACATTAAAGAAACATTTTCTAACCCTCTGTGTTTTGCCTTATTACTGTCTCTCATACATGTTACATGCAATGGGTTTAACATCAAGTCCTGAAGGACAGGAACCATGTCATAACATCTGTCAAATCTCTTTATTAAGGGTTTGGACCACCCCCAATATTTGCTTACAAAATTGCATTTAAAATGTTCAATGGGATACTCAACAGTGATTTGTTCCTATCCACAGACATTGCAATTGTAGTGGAAGTTGAACACATGGCATCAAACAATTTCCTTAATTGAAGTAATGACAAAACTGGACACTTGGAAGAACTGTTTTAAGTATAAGTAAACTTTTTTGAAGATCCATTTGGTATATCTGTACAGGTAAATGGTATTACCTAATACATATTCTTTAATTTTTTTTTTGCCCCCGCCCACAGACCCCTAATGTTAATTGATAATCAATTATGTCAGTACTCTTTTTTTATTTCACAAAAAAGTTAATTGAACAAAAATGTCAAGGAGACAAAATCCTTTACAGGGATTCATATGAATCAATTAATTTGTAAATTATATAAATAATCAAATTTGTAAATTATATAAATAATCTATAAGTTTCAGTCTTTTTTACTAATTTCTTCTACATTAAATGCAAAAAAAAAGTAGAAAAGCACTCCTAGAGCGCAGACTAGGAGCAAAGTCTCCACCCAATGCCGTTTCACCCCTAAATTTTCATTCTATAATGACTTAGTTTTTTGATTTTTGATTATTGACTGATTATTGATCCGAATCACCAATCATCTGTTCCTTTGCCCACTTCTGACAGTTCCTGAAAACTTTATCAAAATCGGTCCATAACTTTTTGAGTTATGTTGATGACAGAAGACAGACAGAAAGACAGACAGACAAACAAACAAACAAACAGGGGTGAAAACATAACCTCCTTGGCGGAGGTAATAAAACAATTATAAAGTCTTACCTGTAGATTGTATAAATTGCCAACACTGCATTTCTTCTAACATAAGAGTGTCTATGGTCTAGACAAGCTCTGATAGCTGGCATGAGGGGCTCTAAAAGTTCTGGTTCTTTCAACTTACAGAGGAATCTGAGGGTTGACCCCCTGATAAATTCATTGGGGTGCTGGAGATCCTACAAATGAGAAAGCAATCTATGAGAACACACACTTCATGACTCATCCAATTGGCTATGGCAATAGAAATGGACCAAATACTTCTCATAATGCATATTTTTCAAAGTAAAACGTCTCCTTACTATTCCTCTACTTTGACAATGGATAAAATCAGTCTTACCTTGCGATATGCATCACAAACAAGGATAAACTCCTGCAGCAGCTTGCCATCTCCTGAATATTTGGGTACTACCTCCCAGAAGATGAGCAACAGCTTTTTGATAGTGTGGTCCTGTACAGGCATCACAAACCTGATGACAGTCATCAAAAGGCCAGGCATCTTTTCACCATTTAGAATCATCAGGACCACCTTTTTCAAGGCCTCAATCTTGGTTTTCGTCTCTCCCTTCTCTAAAATACAAAATTCTACAATTGTTTAAATCTTTTCCATTTTTTTAAGTGAGGTCTTTCACGCACTTCAATTAAAAGTGATTGCCCCTAAATTTCATATACTACAGGACATATACAATTATTAACATTGACATGAGTATAAGAAGTATTTATTACATTTGTCCAAAACAGACATTTTCTAGGACCCTATTCCCACACCTAGATCGATCTACCAAGATCGTCCCATCTCTGAGGGGATTCTTGCTTAATTACATTCAGCTTTAGTGGCTTAGACGTCTGGCACACCTACTGAAGTTGCTAATTGATCGTTAGTTACCCCCTAATAGCTTCAGAAGGCATGCCAGACATCAGAGTCGCTTAAGCTGAGTGCAATTTAGCAAGCTCCTCAGAGATGAGTCGATCCTCCTAGATCGATTTAGGTATGGGAATGGGGTATAGCATTTGATTACCAAATCACATTAAAAACAATAGCGTTTTCCTGTAAAAACTAGCCAACAGAGAAAAATTTGATTTGTATCTAAATGATTGCACTTTATCTGAAATCAACTTGCAACTTCTTATTTACCAAGGTCCTCTTTCAATTTCATTTCAGTTGGTGGCTCTGAATCGGATGGAATATTGATGAGGGTATAACACCCCTGCTCCGTGTTGGCCATAGTGACTGCAAAGAGAACACATCCATTATCTGACTTGTAAAACAATAACTTCATCTTATACATGTTGTACTACAGTACTTACCATCCAAAATAGCTACTAAAATATCTCTTGAACCTATAAAACGGTCTTACTAAGCATTAGAATACATTTAAGTAAACTACATAATCTATTGCAAGTTCATGCAGTTTGCTTATCTCAAAATTAAAAGAAAGTAATTTGAAACTTTCAAAATGTTATACATTTGGTTTTATCTTGTCCAATTGTGGAATCCAGGGTGGCAATAAGCTGTAACTGGGGAATTTTTTTATGAAAATTAAATGTTGGAGACCTGTTCTTCAAAAATCAGCCTCCTGTTTTATACTGTGCATTGTTGTAAAACAAAGTCTATACTTTTTTTTTATGAGTCAAACTTTTATTACCAGTTTTTCTGTGTAAAATGCATTTGTGCAGAGCATATACGTATGTATCTTTCTTTACCTTCCTTTCCTTGCATTATCAATCTATCTCTTAGACCCCATTCCCACAGATTTTAGATCGATCTATCCCAGTGGGGAGTCCCACAAGATTACTGTCAGCTTAGCCGGCTTAAGCGTCTGTCCTGCCTACTAAAAGCTGTAAGGGGGTAATTAACTGTTGTGCGCGCTCGGCTGACTGCAATTTAGCGTGAACCCCCAGGTGGATGGATCGATCTAAATCTCTGGGAATGCACTCTTATTGTCACTTTCATTTGCTGTTTCTGGTTTACCAATGATTTGTCATTTTTAACACTTAAACATGTCTACATTTTGAAACCACACTTAAAACTTCATCCATTTCATTATCACTTGCATCATCAAAACATCGGAAATATGTTTTATGACCCCACTACCACAAACACAAAATACAGATGGAAAGAAAAGAAGTTCTGAACAATTCACCATCATTCACATGAAAAACATTAAAATATTCTTTAAAATGACTAATCATTAATCGCAAAAATTGAGAAATAGGACAAAGGACACACCACAACCATAACTTATATTTACATTCCCTATGTCTTGAACAAACATGGACATGATTAGAAATGTATGGTTTAGCATTTTCCAATACAAACACTTATACCATGTGGAATAAATAGAAAATGCACCTTACTTTTTCCAGAAAATTTTGATTTGCAAGATCTTATTGTAAATGGAGAGATCATAGAAACAGTTGACAATTGTATCTACCTTGGTGCAGAAATCACAAACGACTGCAATGATAGCAAAGAGATAAGAAGGAGACTTGCAATGCCAGAAAAACAGTGATTAGTCTCTCAAATATTTGGAAGGATAGAGCCACTTCAATGTGTACAAAACTTAGAATTTTGAAGACCCTTGTATTCCCTGTTGCAACATATGGGTGTGAATGCTGGTGAAAAAATCGGATGAGAACTGACTAAAATCATTTGAAGTATGGTGCTACAGAAGGATCCTGAGAATTAGTTGGAAAGAACGGAAAACAAATGAATGGGTCTTGGATAAAATTGGAAAAATAACTCTTTTGAACAGCATCAATAAGCTGAAACTGTTCTTTATGGGGCATGTAGCCAGAAGCACAGGGTTGACCCCGATTAAAAACTTTTCAAAAATATTAAGAATGTACAATAATTTTCTCCTGAACTAAATACCAATATTTGTGTCAACCAGTTCTTTTAAATGTTTGCACTTGTGTTACAATGACATTATGACAATATAGGTTGGCATCTTTATTAAATCTCATTATGAATTAATTTCCAAATACCACTTTGTCACTTGATAGTAAATTTTGGATTTCTTACCTTTTTTCCTGGCTATAAGCTCTGCAAAATTTATGTTTGCCTTGTTTCAGAATTCACTGGTTTCAATGAAAAGAAAAATTACTGACTTGAGAAATATTGATGAACTGAAACATACAGAGAAGTTAGTTTACCAGTTATGACACTCAATTTAGTAGGTATATCAGAATGCACTAGAGGCGCCACAGCTAATCTTGTCCTGCATCATCAGCGACCACTGAGGCACCTCGTTTAACAACCTATACAAAAAGCTCTCTTTGCCTTATTTTTTATACTTTGTGAAAGTATAGAACATTTGAGATATTATGCAACAAACCCTTAGCACGAAAATTCATGTGTTAGCACTCCTATTGACAATTCTGATATGTATTCTCTGTGCTAAGACAGGAGTGCTAACGCATGAATTTAAAATAGATTAATTGAAAATAGATTAAGAAGAAGTATGTTTCTAAAATAGCACAAAAAGCTCTCAGTGGTCACAGCTTTCTGACTAAAATGGGAGGACACATTTGCTCTAATATCGCTATTTAAAAAACTGTGATATTTCTTTTAATTTACAGATAATATCAAAATTGCAAAAGTATCGATATTCAGAAGATATAACTTGTGTTTATATATGGCACATTCTAATATTTTTCTGATATACCAGAAGGAAAAGACATGCTAATGATAGAAAAAAGATTTGGTGCCCGGACCAGCCGTCTTATGTAGCTAAGGCAAGATCTAAAACGGCTGTCCCGGCTGTCTAACACGAGACAAGTAGAGACCCTTACAAACTAAGTCGACAGACATATTATTAGGTTACAGGCGCTGGGAGGGGGAACTTACGTCCAAAAACAACAATTATCGTACAGTGTTTAATTATGTAAGTATATATGTCTATTTATATCTATATATTATTCAGAAGAATATAATACAAAAATTATAAAATCAGTAGCAATAAATGCGATATTTTATAAAGCCTGCATTACTTACCTACCGGCAGAATACGTGGCTAAATCTCGTGAATATTTGCGTGGAGGGACGAGACAAAATATCCAAGATAGACTTGTGTTAAAGTAACGCCATATGATGATATTTTGGTACCACTGAGGAATCAAATACGTTTTACGACAATCAAACTTTAATTTTCAGTTACTAATACATTAATTTTAATAAATTACCGTTGAATATCAGGGTGCGTCTTGTTATAAGTACCATCGCACTCCATCGTACGGCTGTTGTGTACACTAGCTCGTTGACCCATTTAACGAAAGCGTCGCGTCATCCCGGCTCGTGAGGGCAAGAACAAAGTTTTGCTGAACAAGGTTTCTGTTCAAACAAAATGGTTTCAGTTGAAATTTCGCCAGAGTATGGCTACGTTATTTTAGTATTTGTTGCAACAATTTTCCTGAACTTTTGGCTTGGAATTAACGTTGGCAAAGCGAGGAAAAAACACGAAGTACCTGTGAGTATCGTAAACAATTTTATTTTGCTAGTTTGACAAAACCCCTTGCTTTTTATATTGCGATTGAAAATAATGGTAATGATAATAAATTAGTTGAATAAAATAGATAATATAAAATTGATTTTTTTACCTATTGCTCTTGATTTCAATTATGTTGGGCAATTTCTTTGTAACTAACTGCATATACATGTAGTATCAATTTATCTTCTACCAACGCCCCACTGGCACTGCAGTGCTAAGGAACCAGTATATTGTTGGATCCTCGATACCATTCCCAGAGACTGTCATACTAACTTTGGATCCAACTATCTCCAAGGGGATTCTCGCTTAATTGCAGTTAACTTAAGCGGCTTAGATGTCTGCTATGCCTATACTGAAGCTGATAGAGAGTAATTAGTACCACCAGCGTGTACGCTGGCGGTACTCATGGTTTTAGTCCCAACCCGTCTCGTACAGCTCCGCCGGCTCCTGCAGCTCCGCCGGCTCCGCAGTCGGGCGCCGGAAACAAGTCACCGTTACCGCTTCTCCTCCTAGACCGCAAGGACCTGTGTCCCCATCTCTTGGATTTAGGTCACATATAATCTCAACTTGAACACCCTGGTTTTTTTGTCTCCGTCGGTGCACTGGCCTGGGCGTGACGCTTGTTGAAATGCACCCTTGTCAAAATTTTTGAAAATTCAATGCTAAATATCTCCCAAACCAAAGGAATTATGAGAAAAATTACTACAGAAGTCTGACCGAAAGTCATTTGTGGAGATTCCAAATATGCCCTTGGATTTGACTTTTGACCTTTTTTTCAAGGTCAAACAAGCCAAAATTTTCTAAAAATGGGAATTTTCTGTAAAAAAATATTTGTTTGTGCTAATTTTTGGAAACTACGCAGCACTAAGCTCTCCTGTTACAGTGAGGGGTTACCATTGGGGACTCCTTTCATCTTTGAGAGTTTGGGGTCAATCAGTGCATTTTCACGAGAGAAGCAGCCATTAGATACCGAAACTGAAAACTCGCTCTAAATCTGGAATGGTAAATGCCAGAGACCTCTTTTTTATTGCATTTTGTAGAGCTTGTCAAGTGCAATACTGGGGGTGGTGTCCATTTTTTTGTTTTTGATATGGCTTAGGCGTTGCCCTATATCAAAAATTACAACATCGCAATATTCAGTGGGAAAAATGTGAAATACTCCAAAATTAGCAGAGATATGCCCATAGTTACTATTGAACTTGAATAGGAAGTCATATACTGGTAATCTAACTGTGACCTTGAAATTGACCTTTGACCTACTTTTCATTATGAACTGCACTTTGCAAGTTTTCTGATATTTATATCTCCAAAACTGGCAAAGATATGCCCATAGTTACTATTGAACTTGAATAGGAAGTCGTATACTAGTAATCTAACTGTGAACTTGAAATTGACCTTTGACATACTTTTCAGTACTGCACTTTGCAAGTTTTCTGATCTTTATATATCCAAAACTGGCAAAGATACGCCCATAGTTACTATTGAACTTTAATAGGAAGTTATATACTGGTAATCCAACTGTGACCTTGAAATTGACCTTCGACCTACTTTTCACCATGAACTGAACTTTGCAAATTTTCTATCCCTTATATCTCGGAAACTGGCAGAGATAAGTCCAAAGTTACTATTGAACTTGAATAAGAACTCATATACTGGCAATCTTACTGTGACCTTGAAATTGTCCTTTGACCTACTATTTATGATTAACTGCACTTTGCATGTTTCCTGGCCTTCATATCTCCAAAATTGGCAAAGAAATGCCCATAGCTACTATTGAACTTCTATAGGAAGTCATATACTGTAACCTTGAAATTGACGTTTGACCTACTTTTTCACCACAAACTGAACTCTGCATATTTTCTTGCCCCTCATATCTTCAAAACTAGCAGAGATCTGCCTACTGTTGTCCCAAGGTTTTCTCTTTTGTCAGCAAATATGCAATACTGATAAGTCATTTCAAGGAAAACCAATAGGCCTATTGTCTAGTATTAGGAAAATACAGCTCAATTTGAACATCTGCTTGATTTGAACAGTTATGTTTGTTCGATATATATATATATATATATATATATATATATATATATATATATATATAAACATAGATATGGGAGGCATTAAACAGCCAAGATATCTATATATATATATATATATATATATATATATATATATATATATATATATATATATATATATATTTTTTTTTTTTTTTTTTTTTTTTTGCATATTTTGAGAACTCTTGTTTATTGCATTTTATAGAGCTTGTCAAGCACAAGACTGGTGGTGGTGTTCATTTTTCATGAGAATGCGCTTACTCCAGCTGGTGGTACAATATCCAGAGGCGGTATCGCCTCTCTGATCCTCTAGTTAGTTATTGTTTAGCAGCTTTAGTAGGCGTCCCAGACATCTAAGCCACTTTAGCTGTAAGCAATTTAGCGAGAAGATGGACCATTCCTGTTAGATCAATCTAGGGATGGGAACCCAGTCCTTGGCTGCATGTACATGTACTGGCTATGATCTGTATTGTTTTTTGACTCATTTATTTTACTGTACACTCCTCACACTTCCCCCTGACCCCCTCCCCCAACTCCAAAAGTTCTGCATGCTGCCTTACATTTCATTTAAAGATTTTTTGTACAGGATTTTAATACCAAATCTAGTTTTCTCACAAGAAAGAAGCAATGTTCTCCTATTCAAGAATCATTCCTTGACCCATCCCATTACTTGGATTTGCTGTTTTATGTTTTATTTCTAATTTTTATTCTATTTTTATTTCTAATTAAATAACGTAGGTTTAGATGAGTGGTGGTTATTTGAGGGAAGTTATCATTGTTAAGGCCTTAATTGGGGAATACAATTTATTTTCAGGATTGTTAGACATACATGTAGAGTTATGTTTAAGTGACATTTTCAGATGTGTGTAATATACTTTTAACTAGAGCAAATTAATTCATTCAATGGAACTTGTCTGGTCAGGCATGATGAATGCAGAGAGATGAATGTCCAGATTCCTCCACAACTCAGGGTATTGATACCAACCATCGGGGTAAATAATGTCACAAGCAAAATGAAATGTCATATTAAACCTATAATTTTTTACCTCTTTCAGCTTCCACAGATGTACAGTGACAGAGACCAGAAGTTTAACTGCATTCAAAGGGCACACCAGAACATGTAGGCATTTACTGTTATGCAATACAAGTACAAGAGGTTCTAAGAATACATAAAAACTTCAGTCTACAAATTTGGTTTAACATTCTGAATTTTTACCTGAAAAAAATTAAATTTCCAATTTTCAACTAGTTTTTAGTACATGTAAATATCTATATTTAAGGCACAGTATTTCAAAACTTGATTAGATGATTGAGACAAGATATCTATGTTTATTTCAGGTTAGAGAGTTATCCCTATGTACTGGTGTTACTGCTCCTGGGAGGCATTAAACAGCCAGTAAGTTATAATTAAGCCGTGAATGTTTAGAATATCATATGAGAAACAAAATAAGTCCTATACTGCACCATTGCTATTTGATCATGCATGTGTGTGTGCGCGCACTCATCAACTACAATTGGTGAACCAATTTCCCAAAACATTATGTTGTTTTGAATTATTCAAGAAAAAGATTATCTGAAAGTTTTGAAAAGTTAGTTGGGCTCCTGTCAGTTTTTTATTTATTATTTATTTTTTTATGTAACAAGAATTTTTTCCTCTGATAAAAAATGTAAGTATGATATATGTATGATATGATTTTCAAAGAAAAACCATTTGAAATCAATATCCATTGCTCCCTTCTTATTGCATCTGCGTTTTAAAATGAACCTGAATTAATATCTTTATTATGATAGTAGGATTTATAGAAATACCCCATGACATGCCCTTTGTGCTCATATGTTTGATTTTTTTAAGTTCTGTAAATATATTCAAGAAATCTATTTTTCCATTTTAGGTTATTGCTGCAGCTGCAGGGTCCATCTGGATTGTTGGCAGAGTGTTGTATGCCTTGGGATACTATACTGGGGGTAGGAAGTGCTTTTGTAATCATAATGAAAATGTGTCATGAAACAGCACATGTAACAGTTCACAAGGAAGATGTTACTTTATACCAATATATATTTTTTATATTGTTTAATTTGTTAAACGGTAAAAAATGACACAAATACTTCTGTACAGAATAAATATGTATATTAATTTTCTTATGTTCCCCCCCCCCCCTTTTTTTTTAGATCCAGCAAAGAGAAGCCGTGGAGCAATTGGTTACATTGGATTGTTGGCACTTCTGGGTTGTACTGTTCATCTTGCCTTATCACTGCTTGGTATTGCATAAATTATGGGTCAGCTGTCCAGGTGTACTTGAGTATGAACTACATACAACTGTAGTTATTAGATAATGGAAAACATAATGAAGTTGTAAAATATTATCTGAACATTTAATCAGGTACTATCCAAGATTGTTTTTTATATTTTAGACAGAATATAACACAATGTTATTCTTTTTTAATTTTGAAAGTGGTGTTATGTAGCATTTTGATGCAGAATAATACAATTAAGGGTTTTTATAGCTTCCTTTTTTCTTTATTCTTCTAAGCCATCAGCTTACCAATTTCCAATTTTAAATACTTACAAATGTGTGTACCATAATTTTCTTTACTCTGTTAAAAGATTTGTGCATTCCTTAAATTTTCCTTTTGTGTAAAATGCATTTTTAAACTATGAACAATAATTAAAAAGGATGGAACATGTCTTTGACCACACTGGGAGCTACAAAAAAAAAAAAAGAAATTATGACAGTAGCCATCTTTTATTATAGCCTTTGAAGTAATTGTTTCATTTTCTTTTATACTTACATTTTATATAATTTGTGTAGAAAATGAAAATAAAAATTTCTCCTGATATGCACGGTTAGTATTCTGAACTTCAGATCAGATGCATGCCATTTCTTCATTTTTGGATCTCCATATGTGCACTCCAATCATTCCAGTAGCAGGCATATTGTGGGAATTTGAAATTGAAAAAGCAGGCCTGCACTAAGTCTGAGACTCAGACCAAGAGCTAGATACCTGGTTGTAAATTCTTCAGATATGTATGAACTTGGCTGAAAGCAGATATTTTGTGTTATTACCCAACTTGTGCATTTGAAGCTGTTTTAACAATCATTAAAAATTATAAAAGCATGCTCTTTAGCTTCAGTATTAGTATGTCTACCTCACAGTGTTAGGCTCCTCACAGGGTAGTACTAATCAAGTGTGTTTTAAGGACGTATTGATAGAAGCACAAATTAATTGAAAATTTTTAGAAAACATAACTTGTAAACATTATCTAGATGCATTTTGTATACTTGTTATCATTCTATATTGATTAGGCTACCTTCAGGTAACAGCCATGTCATGTATTAAGCACTGATAAGTGCTGTACAGTGGTTATAATGCCATTTGTCTTCTGTGTGACAAATAAAAAGTATAAAAAAGTATGTTTATATTACTTTTTTGCTTTTTGTGTTGCATAAATTGCAGAAAACAAAAACTAGCATTTAGCTGACTTGAGCTGATTCAGCTGAGAAACCTTTCTGAAATGGATAACAACCTTTCATGTTGGCAGGAAAAGTACCATAAAATAGGTTTATGTGGAGTAAAGAGGATGTTCCCATACTTACCAATGGTTAATTAATCTGTTCTCTTTTTTTTTTTTCAATAATTGCTTAAGATACTGTTATGGAGGCTAGCCATCATCCGGCCTTGTGGTTAGAGTGTTCGCCTCCGGAGCGGGAGGACGTGGGTTCAAACCCGTCCGAGGACATACCAGTCCTTTATAAACGGTACCTGCTGTCTCCCCGCTTGACACTCAGCACTAAGGGGTTGAAGCAGGGGCCTGGTCTGGCAGTGGAAAAATGGTTGTTAGTTTGTTAGCTTTGAGCGCCTAATATGGCAGCCGAGCTGTATCCTCCCCAGGGAGGCGAGAACGAATATAGTGTGTAACAGGGCCAAAAAAGACCAGGCATCTCTGACTTAAAAAAAATGTTTAAAAAATAAATAAATAGATAGATAAATAAAAGCTGTATAACTTCAACCTTCGGGTTGCGATGTTTCAATAAAGATTATTATTATTATTATATTATCTATGAAGGTCCATGTGGTCCGATTGCAAGCGCATGTATCAAAATAATTGCGATAACCGCCATTTTGGTGTCAAAATGGACTTTTTTATTTTTTCCATTTGTTGTTTACAACGTTTGTCACATAAAGAGTTATCCCATGAATTTTCCTACTTAATTGGAATGTTGATAATACTAGAACTGTGTTAAACTGATTAAATAAAGTAACAATGACATGCATTTTACGGTAGATTTAGATAAAATAGTTGCGATAGATACTTCATAGAGTAATATTTTGACTGAAGACATATCCAGAGAAACTCATGCAGTTCTTCGCTACACTACACACCAAACCCAATACAGAAGTGCATTTCACATGCTAAAGTGTCAAAAAAAAAAAAAAAAAGAAAAGAAAAGAAAAGAAAAAATTGAATGAATTCAAAGTTGTATATCATTTTAAAAACATATATGTGAATAGAACAAAAATCCACGACTGTCTCAATTTTGATTTTTACCGTGTCTTAACATTATGTAAAGAGCCCTAAATGGAAACGTATGTTCCGGTAACGTAGCGTTCCGGGTCATTTAATTTTAATTTTCATACCCTGTTCCGATATATTTGGTAGTGATTCAGTCATGGTAAATTATACATGACGTAAGGATGTTTTTATAAATATTTTAACTGTAACTCAAGGGGCTTTGTGTCATGGCTAATACTACGTGACGTATATTCACCAGAAAAATTATCAGAAAATTTCATTTTGTCCATGTACTCTGTGCAATAGAAATCAGTGTTTTCTGTTGCTGACCGAAAAATATATTGTGATTCCATGATAGTTTGATGTTTCTGATATGATATTTGGATAACGAGTGGAAAAATTGTTTATTTAATGCTTATTTTACTGTCGGTAGGGAGTATTTTCCCCGTTTTTTTAATATTCAGTGACAAGCAAACTAAAGTCGCTCAAAAACAATGAACTGCTCTATACAGAAGATCATCACAATTTTTTACAACGTTATACTTGTAGTAGATAAATCAAAGAACAAAACCAGTGATGGATGAGTGTAACACCCCATTTCCATAGATTTTTAGATCGATCTATCCCTGTGGGGAGTCTCACTAGATTACTGTCAGCTTGGCCGGCTTAAGCGTCTGTCCCGCCTACTAAAAGCTGTAAGGGGGTAATTAACTATGGTGCCCGCTCGGCTGCCTGCAATTTAGCGCGAACCCCCAGGGAGTTAGGTCGATCTAAATCTTAATCTTTAGATCGATCTAAATCTCTGGGAAAGCACCCTAAAACGTTTCACAGCTGGACGTTTTGCATTTGTGACAGTAACGTATGTTCCTTTTTTGATTCTAGACGATGAATTATTTTTTTATTATTCATGGTTCCAGGAGAGTGAATCTTTGATACGAACTTCTTCATGTGGGACCCTAAAATAAATATTGTGTACTAAATATTTTAAGAGCATGCCTGTGACCTCATTTGCACCTCTATATTGAGTTTGGGTGTAGAATGTAATTTAACTAGAATTAGAATGTGACAAACTATTTTTATTAAAGGCAAATTCGATTATTTCGATGTATACTTTAATTCTTATACCTGAACTGGTGGAAGACATTTAACCGAGAAAATGACCCAGGTCTTTAGGATGCCCCTCCCTTAATCCCGTTGAAAACAATTATAAATAGCAATCAAACGATGAAAGCCCCCCGTATCTACGTCATAGATCATGTGATTTCAAGGACGTGCTTTCCACATTCGGGAGTCTTGGATACAACTGATGAGAAGTAGACCTTGATTTCATTTTAGAAGAACGATGAGAACAGGTATCAGGAATACATGTTACTGTTGCCTGCTATTTGCGTTTGTAATTGAAGGTGTCTTTAATCAGGTGTGTTTGTACAACGAGACCCAGATTCAAGAGGATTTCGAACTCTTCCAGGTATATAGGGCCTATATATATAGTGCTATTAAGCTTAGGGATATTAGTTTAAACCCTTTTTTTTTCAACTTCCAAGGAGCGGATCTGTAACATTAAGTCCAAGCAAGATATTGTATGCAATATGCAGGATATTTGCCCATTATTAACTAACGTTTAAACTCAGCAGATAAATTTAACCTCAAATCTGAGGACATCTGGATGTTACGAAGCACATATTGTTTCCAACTCATCGTGACCATTGGATTTAGTTTAATTTTTTTGCAGAACCCACCTTATGCCATAGTGATCATCAGTTTATTTTCAGCTACTTTAGTTATATATATGTAAAAACAAAAACAAGTTCTCATGCACTATCACCTCACGACTCCTTTCTTCCAATTCAGAAGCAGTTCACATAAACTGATGTCTGGCATAACCGAGCTATTTCGAACAATAAAGACTATTTGTATTTATGGCTATTGTCTGGTTGTAGTATACAGGTACCTGGTTTGAATTTAAATGGATTCCGCCACCAGCCATTGCTAAGTATGATCAATATGTAGACTACACGCACACGTATCAATTAAAAGAGGACGGCAACATACAAGTTGATATTTTGGCAAGGTAGGCATATGCTCCATTATAAGAACAATGGTTTCCCCAGAAAAGGTAAGCAGCTTATTGGGTTTGAGTAAAAGAACTTGACGAGAAATCTTGTAAGGTTATTTTAAGTTTTATTACGGAAATATGGCGTATACAACCATTAAATATACAGTTCTAGTAACAAGAAATGCAAATTACTATAGGCCTACTCTAATTTTTATTTTTGACATTTTCACGGCTTTTATTTCGGCAAAACATTTTACTTTTTAAATCGATGAAGCTTTAGTTATTGAACACAATATTACATAGAGAAAAAATCTTTTGCGCCTTTTAACCTCCTTTTTAACTTATTTTCAAAGGAGCCTTTCAAATAAAAGCTATTGGAAATTATCGTAGAATGATTTTGAAAATGAAAAGCACCCTACTTAAATCCTGAAGCTTTCGCCCAAATTGAGTGCATGATATCAGCATGACTTGCGATTAGCGACATATAATCAACTATAACAGCCCCCCCCCCCCCCACCCACTTTCATTCAGGTTATGTGTTCACATTTGTAATAAAGAGAAAACACGCCTGCCTTTTATGCTGTATATTATTTCTAGAGTATTTATTCCAGCCTGATATAATGTCGTAATTCTGGTAAATAGGCCTACTATCATTGTATAGTAGACCCATTTATTCCCATGACTATGGCATGATCAACATTGTGTCTTTTTTATTCGACATTTGGCTTGAATTTTCATTTTAAAAAGAAATTATATCTTAGATTATCATGACATGTGGAACGCTTCAGATTTTGGCAGCTTTTAGTGATTTTCAAACTTTTTCCACGCCGTTTAAAATTGTTCGATTAAATACTATATTACACGTACATTGGGCGAGCTAGGATTTCTTTCAAAATGTCTATTTCCTTTCTGGGACTTCCACTCCATCAGAAATATCATTTCATCAATTTTAATTGATAAAACATCCCCTTTTTTAAAGTATCTTTTGTTTTCCTCTTCATTTTAACTCTTATTTTTAACCACAACAAGCATTTGTGTTTAAACAGTTTATGTTTATATTTATACTGTAACCAGTTACGACAGTTTATATTTATACTGTAACCATCGAAATATGAATCTCACCGTTTCGAAAGATACGCTTATTTACACCTGGGTCATCGAATATATCTATATTTATTTTGGAGGTGACGGCACCTGGGTCCAACGGTATTCGAGTTTAACGGTGGCATTAGGTTTATGTATCTATCGGGAGTATTGATTTATCATGCATGTCTTGTGTGAATTTTTGACCTAACATATGGCACTGAGGATGGCATATACCGGTAGTTGCGCTAGCTCAGTATGGTTAACCTTGTTTAGAGGGGGNCAACTATAACAGCCCCCCCCCCCCCCCCCCACTTTCATTCAGGTTATGTGTTCACATTTGTAATAAAGAGAAAACACGCCTGCCTTTTATGCTGTATATTATTTCTAGAGTATTTATTCCAGCCTGATATAATGTCGTAATTCTGGTAAATAAGCCTACTATCATCGTATAGTAGACCCATTTATTCCCATGACTATGGCATGATCAACATTGTGTCTTTTTTATTCGACATTTGGCTTGAATTTTCATTTTAAAAAGAAATTATATCTTAGATTATCATGACATGTGGAACGCTTCAGATTTTGGCAGCTTTTAGTGATTTTCAAACTTTTTCCACGCCGTTTAAAATTGTTCGATTAAATACTATATTACACGTACATTGGTCGAGCTAGGATTTCTTTCAAAATGTCTATTTCCTTTCTGGGACTTATCATGTAGTGCTTTGATAGAAATCTAAACTTGTGAATTAAACTGTCAGAGGTCAGTTCTTTAGCAAAACTTCTCGATTGATATACGTCCTGATAGATTTATCATGATTGATTTGTTAATTTTATCATGTAAACGAATATCTCATATTTTAGTTGCATGGCGGAACTCAATGCTGCCTATTAATTAATTATATACGCAATACCTTACATTTCGAGCCTCACTTATTAAGGAAAATGCGCTCTCTGGCTCATCATTGTCCCGCGGTAAGCAAAACTAGAATACATTACAGTTTACCATCTACAATAAGTACAGACGTTCTTTTCCAAAATTTAGGCCACCAGCTTGCATATTACAATTACAGCAACAGTGATAGAAGCTATATGTATTCCACCAAAATGTATTTATTCCTGATTTATATTACCTTTCAACCTTTCGTATTATGTCGGCACCCCTATCTTTAATCTCAAACACAGCTCTTTGCTTGCTCTTTTTTTATCTTTGGAGAGTATCTCTCTGTGTTATAATGTTATTGTCATTGTGGAATACCCCTTTGTGCTCAATCTGAAACCCGAGGGCCAAAGAGAGACACCTTGGAATAAAGCCATCCGCGTAGTAACCTGAAGAGGGCTTTTTGTAATTTTCTACTAACTGATTGTTGCAATCTTTTCCACATATGTACTCCTCTCAGTACACAATAGTAAATAGTGACAATATTTTACATGCACGTACCGAAAGATACGCTTATTTACACCTGGGTCATCGAATATATCTATATTTATTTTGGAGGTGACGGCACCTGGGTCCAACGGTATTCGAATTTAACGGTGGCATTAGGTTTATGTATCTATCGGGAGTATTGATTTATCATGCATGTCTTGTGTGAATTTTTGACCTAACATATGGCACTGAGGATGGCATATACCGGTAGTTGCGCTAGCTCAGTGTGGTTAACCTTGTTAAGAGGGGANTATGGTTAACCTTGTTTAGAGGGGGATTGTGCTGCAACCCTTGCCTTCAGAAATTTATTTGCCATTTGCAGTTGGCTTGACCATCTATATTTATACTGTAACCATCGAAATATGAATCTCACCGTTTCAATTGAATGGACTTATTCGTCAGCATATTCTGATGCGAAAGTTACGAAATAAATAAATGAAATGTTGAAAAGAAGACCCAGATCGGACAGAAGCTTAAGGTCACTATGAGATTATTGGTGAAGTAAGCAAAACAAGAATAATACATTGAATCTCCATCTCGTTTGCCTACTTTTCAGAGAGCGGCCAGAAAATAAGACGTGTCTTCACGCTAACGCGACTTTGCTTACAACAGGAGTGCCCGGAAAGCTGTTGTATAAGAGAAACTACCTTGGTGGTAAGTCATACAGCATTTATGTCTCCTTGCTCTAAGATGATTTAAGTAATTGATTTGACATAAGTACTCACCTACAGTAATATGTATGTGTATATATTTAACCAAAAAGTGGCGATCTGTCAGTCGGTTCGTTGTAAAAGAAAAATATTAAATATATTATTAAAGACTGTGTTCCTTAATAATGAATAATAAAAAAAATTCAACACACCGATTTGTTTCTTACAATGTTTCTTTTTTAGAGTTACTCACATCCGATTACTGGATAATACACACAGACTACAGTAATTATGCTTTGGCGTATGGCTGCCAGACCCTGTTTACAAACGGTTCCTGTGAGGTATTTGACGTATGGGTATGGAGCAGACGTCCCACACTGTCTTCTGAATACGAAGTTTTGGCGGATGGTTTTATAAGAAACCGTTTGTGTCTTGACCCAGCCACGTTTGACAAAACTTCACAGAAGAGAAGTAACTACTCTTTCTCACTCTCTCTCTATTTTTTGTAATTAATCTAAACAAGTTTTGCAATTGATTAGCATCATTTGACTTAGAAATTACGTGTTCAGAATTGTTTAACTTCATTAGATTGCTGTAAGAAGTAAAATGTCATTATTCAAAAATGCGCGGAGGCCGGCAAAGATGTCAGTGTCGGGACAGTTTGGATACAGTGCTTTGAATGTTTTGACAACGCTTTCGGGTACAGTGTTTTGAATGAATGGAGTTGAAAAGTATCTAAACCTGTATATAAAATCCATTCTTATTCTGTATTAAGTTCACTCCATATACCCTTTAGGATGTTTGAGACATATATTAAGTAGGGTCATGCACTATTCTTATTTCAGAATGTTTACAAGTCCCAACTTCAGATGCAGGTAAGAAAATTATTATTAGACATACAGAAAATAAAAGTAATAATTGAAACAATAAAACATTGATGATAATTGCCTAGTTCTGATCAGGCACAAGAAGAGGGACTGAAAAGAAATTTTCCAACCCTTGAATTGATATGTGATATGAGATTTCGCGTGAGGTTTTACTTTTTTTTCGGATTGCGCAGTCGATCGAGAATCGAAATGAAGAATGTGATTAAACTGTTGATTAAATTACTTGTGTTCTTAGACATGTCTAAATAATTTTACCGATTTACCTCTTCAATTTATCAGTAAGCAATATGCTTGACGTTGTTGTTAACTTTTTCTATGTAGGACGAGCATGTGCGCTGGGGATACAGATGGTTTTTTTGGTAAAGTTTTTGGCCCATGTGAATGGTGTTTAAGTTTTTCTACATTGTCAGAAAATTGCCGTGAGTTTTGTTCCAGTTTAAGGTAATCTCGCTGATGATCAGGCGTGAACTAGACAAGTGGACAATTTTGCCTAATTAGGCAACTGGAACATAAAGGTCGCACAAAATATGTTGTGGTTGTATCCAGAAAGACGAAGATTGTGTAGGCTACATCTGTCTATCAGCATTGTTATAACGATTTTCTTTACGCAGTTTACCTATCTATGCCCTGTAGTATTTATACATAAAATGTTATGGTTTAGAGCTAGCATGTACACCTCAGGTAGCATGTACACCTGAAAAACTGAATATAGCCTGACCGCACCATCTCCAAGCATCCCAAAGATACACGCTATATAATAAAATAAATGATAGGCAAACCTTCCCTCTAACTCGATACACTGCAGTATCAGTTATCAAACTATGATATATTCTGTATAAGTTACTATGAAAGCTGAATCTATAAGTGAATATAAGTGTAAGCTTCTCGTAGGTGGCTTTTAAGGAAATCTATCAACAGCACGTGGCACGTGGGTATATAAAGTCCACACCCACCATTTACCAGTAATAGCAGTAACATCAGAAGAGGTACATCCTATTTCTCACAGCTATTCAAGAAACACAGAAGAAAGGCTAAATCAGAGAAAAACACAGTTTTGACTTATCACCGTGTTCTAGGCCCAGAAAATATGCATAAAAATTATTCGATAGGAAAGAATAAAGCACTATATTCAACCGGACTCTGGACTCGTGTTGATCAATTATATATTACCACCGCGAAAAACAACAAAACAGTGGAAATAGCATGGCAGACATTTTTTTATGTGAAAACTTGCTTTATTACCAATTTTAAACCTAAAAAAAAAAAACAAAAAAAAAAAACAAAACAAGTTCTTAAAAAATAAGGGTATTTATTTGAAAAAATATATGACAAACTGATACAGGATGAATATCAAAGTAGCATACAATGTATATCCTTTGGTATTTTAAAATACAGATATTTAAATTTATATAAAGATATATGTATATCAAAGTTCTTTTCAATCATAAAAATAGAATGCTGTATTTTCTATATCCATAAAATAATATTAAGAAAGTTAATTCACATCATATTCAAAATTTAATAAGTTGTATAAAAGGAGAAAATTTTAAAAATCCCTCACAAATTTTACGAGAAAACGATTTGTCAGAGCACTGATTGCAAACATAAGCTACGTTTAAGGACGGAAATGGTCTGCTTTAAGTAAATGTCTTCCCCAAATTTTATGTTAAAATAAGAAGCCTTACATTTATGCAAGAATACCTGAAAGCAAGCCATTTTGTTGCTTTTGAAATTTGTCAAAACTTTCAACGATTAATAATATATATGGAATGATGGGATTCGATTTCAATGCTCTTTCGATTCATGCATAATCGGCTTACTTAAAAGAGCGTATACTTGGAACAAGCATGTTATGCAGAACAAGCACACATAGTAGGGGGACAGTACACTGGGAAAGCATTACAGCTGGTTGTGCACCATTCGTTAATTCCGACATCTTTGTCATAAGGTGGGACGGCAACACAGCGAACCTTATCTGGCAGTTCATCAACTGGAGTGCCGGTCTCGGGTGAGCTTGCTTCATCATCTTTTTCCGTTTCAACGGGCGGCGGTGGACTGCGACAGCTGCACATAGTAGGGGGACAGTACGACGGTACAGCATTACAGCTAGTTGTACACCACTCGTTGACTCCAAGATGAGTGTTATATGGTGGCACGCCCACACAAATCAAGTTGGATGCCGCCGGTGTGCTGGACGAGACAGTGGCGGTTGTTGTGCTTGAGGATGCAGGCGCGGTGGTGGTAGCCTTGCTTGATGTGGGAATGGGCTTGGTAGTTGTACTTTTGGTTGCTGATGTGGTTGTGCTGGTAGGTACACTTGATGTGGGAATTGGCTTGGAAGTTGTGCTTGTGGTAGTTGGTGCGGTTGTGCTGGTAGGTACACGTGTTGTGGAGACGGCTGCAGTGGTTGTGCTGACAGTTGACGCTGTTGTGCTAGTTGTGCCAGTGGTAGGCTTTGCCGTCGTGGTGGACGGCACGGCACCATTTTCGCTAATCTGAATATCTGCACAACCGTAAAATTCTTCCTGGTCATCTGTGCCCCATGAGTTACCTGTTTATAAGAAACAAACAAAAAAGGTAAGTACAATTGATGGGCTTTACGGGCAACTGCCAGAATTAGCTGATTGCAAATTATTTTAGCTGCATGTTTATTATTGTTGTTGTTGTTAATGGCTAAGGACATGCGTACTACGTGAAGATAATTCCAAAATACATGTGATAGGGCTACTTACCTGTGTGGTATTTCCACTGGAAAACACAGTGGTTACAGAGGAGGTCAGATGGCAAACGAAGTCGAAGCTCAAACACTTTGTTTTCGTCTGTGTTCACTTCCCATCTTGTCCCGGAGCCGTCGGCAAGTTGGAGAAGATGCTGATCGAGACACTCGTGCGTAACCTGGACAGAAGGGTCGTCATTGGGACAAATGCGGAATTCAAACCACCCCTTGTGATTGGCAGTCAAGTCGACCTCTGTGGTGAAAACTTGCCCCTTTTTGTAGTAACGTGATGTGATTCCAAAGTCATAAATCCCGCCGTTTTCGTTAGCCCTCGGTGATGGTTCGTCCCACGGATCCCCGCACACGCCACATTTGCCGCCGTTGCGCTGATATTGTCTCTAAAAAGAGAATGAATACTTTTTTTAACTAATTAGGCTAAGATGAGGTTAGCAATTAATTGTATGGTTTAGATAGCTCAATTATTACAGAATTTTAGTGCGTTTTGCCATCTATTCCTAAATACGCAGAGCCATGAGAGAATGAGACATCCCCGCATTCCCTTTAGAGAAAGTACTCCAAAGAATAATTATCAAAACATAATATATAGATAATGAATATACATGAGCTCCATCCAACAAACTAGGAAACTGACGATGTAAGGATATAGATTATAGATTACAATATCTTATGAAATACTCACGAAAACTCCTCCACAAAAAAGCTCGTTGTCATTGTAGTTGGGTGTCACTAAGTCAACGAATTCTTGAAATCTCCACAGACTAGATCGGGACGGAGGCTCAATCAAGCGACCGTGGCCAAATACACTTGGTAAGGCGTTAAGTGCGAACGCCAGGGTGAAATACAAGCTCATCAACATTGTCGTCTGTTCCAGTGATACTCTACACAAAATACTTTTGCTCGGTAGTGTCTTGCTAAATTTCTTTTTCTGGATTGACTGAGGTAGTTCACCCCTTTTATAGCAAATTTAAGTGACACATTGATAAGAGATATTAATTTTTTGTGATTTGTGATTCAGACGGCACCATAAATCTAGGTGAGTTAAACGTGAGTCAAATAACTGAAGATCAAGGTAGCCGTATCGCAATCAGCGAGGAAGTGACACATGAGATCTGGTCTATGAAGTCGTGGACAAGACACTGAAGCGTGAAGTGACCATAGCATCACGGAAGTTCACCCTCAGTGGGAGTCAATTCCGTTTTTATTAAAACTGAATTTAACTGTGCACACAACCCAGATTCCTCTGTATTGATTTTAAATCTGGCTGCTTATATCAAATGAAAGAGGCTACATGTGTTAAGCCGTCAAACTATCGGTCAGCACAGGAACATGAATCACTCATGTTCATATTTCCTTGTTCATCTGTGTGAAGAGATATCTTCGTTACCGCTTAAAGTATTCATCTAAATAAGCTAATTTTTTTTAATAAATAAGGCTCCTTTTATATGTTAAGGGTATGTCACGTATTTTATTTTTCGATCTTGCATTAAGTGGAGGTAGCGTTAAGGGGAGGGGGGGCAATTGCCAAGGGTCATCTCACCGTGGACCGGTAGGGTCACCATAGATCTTATCTAAAGAAGAAGTGGTGTTTATTGCCATGACTGTCTCGCTATCGTGATTGATGACAATTTTGATATCCAAATTATAGTTTCATGATATTTGTTTTTAGATTGGTCACTATGCTAGTCTCGTCATCAATGACGTCAGTTTAACCTATCGTATATATCCATCAAGTTGGTGATAATACCAACAATCGATGTTATGCTTCATGAATCGGGCATTTTCCTGTGATAAGAAGAGAGGGGAAGTTTACGTTTCAGGGTTTGCTGGAGTAAAGGTGGTGCAAAAAAAATACAATTTAACATCTTATTCGGACAAAAAGCCACGAGAGTGCCGTTGGCTTCCGATACGGCGACTTCTGTCTCCCGTGACGGAAATGTTTATTTCGATGACAAACCTCATTAACATATTTGTCTCCAGTTAATAGCCGTGCCAATCATTATAGAGCATGCGGAACGTAGTAAAACAATATTTCCTTATTTGTTTGTACTTATGAGGTCTGAAATCCTAAATGTTGAAATGTCAATTTTAATTAGCCTATCTCAATGATGACGCAAATTTGATAAGTTGATCCACAAAGAAAAAAGACGGGTTATTAAAAAATTCAAAGGAAGCTATCGGTCAAAATTAGGAAAAAAATATTTCAAGCATTTATTGTTCATAAAAACTGGCAGTTGGTAAGTCAAATGATTTGGTTACTATCGCCAGGTAAATCATGACAGGTATCCGCGGTGTTTTGTCCAAAATTGGGTGGCGTCATAGGACTTCGTGCGGCGGATGAGCTAATATTCACAGATACACATAGTAGGGGGGCAGTACATTGGTATCTTATTGCACTGGTCGGTGCACCATTCGTTTATGGCTATGTTCCTGTCGTACGGAGGTAAACCCACACATTGTTTACTTGTTGGTTTGGAAGACAAGGGTTCAATCGCTGCTGAATCAGTCTCCAGGAGGGCCGATGCGGTAGTTGTGCTGCTAGTAATTGGAAATGTGCTTGTTGTTACACCAGTCGCAATTGTCGAACTGACTGTCAGTTTTGCGTCATCATCGGTGATCTGGATATCTGCACAACCGTAAAACTCCTCTTGTTCTCTAGTCCCCCATGTATTTCCTTGGAAAGAAAACGAGATTTGCTTATCCTGGGAGTCATTTTATTTCCCATACCTTTCAGATGTAATCTATTATATGTCAGGTTATACTGTTTGTGTAGTTAACAAAAGAAAAAATGATTTACATGTATTTTAAGTAAATGAGTGACATTTTGCATTGTATTCAAAAGAAGTGGCAGGATTTTTGTGTGAAGAGAAGCAGGATCGATTGCAAAGGTCTGACTTGAAAAGTCATACACGATGTTTACAATATATTTACTGGACCAGTTGAATAACAATGAGCAATTTGCAAAAGACAGCAATAACTTAAATTCGACGAGAACTTTATTTAAAGATTATTTTTAAGTTATAGAAAAGGTAAGGGTGACATTGCACACGGAGGAAAAGGATCGAAAACGTGAAGTAAATCGACTATAATAGAGTTTTGAACTGATTATTTGCTCTACATAATTACCTGCATGGTATTTCCATTGGAAAACACAGTGCTCACAGCGGAGGAAGGATGGCAAACGAAGTTGGATCTCAAACAATCTTTTCTCATCTGAACTGACTTCCCAGCGTGTTCCTGAGCCGTCGGCGAGTTCCAAGAGATATTGATCCAGGCACTCGTGAGTAACCTGTACAGTAGGCTCGTCATTTGGACATAAACGAAATTCAAACCAACCTCTGTGATTTGCAGTGATGTCGACTTTAGCTGTGATTGTTTTACCAATTTTATAAATGCGCGAAATGATTCCGAAGTCGAAAGTGCCACCATTTTCGTTAGCTCTAGGTGGTGGTTCGTCCCAGGGGTCTCCACACACGCCACATTGCCCTCCATTTTGTCGGTACTGCCTCTGGAATTAAACGTAAAAACGAGGTAATGATTTTTGTTTCTGTACTTCAAAGAAAACCATTCATAGTCAAAATGAACACTGGTTTTCGTATCAGGTGAAAAAAAATTCTGAAGAAGGAAAATGATTTAAGTATGTCAGGGCTGCTCACTTTAACACGCCTGATTCAAAAGCCGTTCAAAATTTTATCACCGTTCTTTACAGTGGATCGAAACATTCTGTTTATTGCTCAAGTAAAAAAAAACTTACAAAAATCCCTCCACAAAACAGTTCATTATCGTTATAATTTGGTCTCACTCTCCCGCTGAATTCTTGAAACCTCCATAAGCTTGAGCGGGACGGGGGCTCCATCAAACGCCCATGGCCACAAACACTGGCGGCACAACAAAGGAGATACAGCATGTACCTTACTGACATTGCCTCTACGTTTATTTTGATTCTTTGTAATAGTGAAATTTGTCTTGTGTTGTACTAGACAGATTTCGGCCATTTTATAGTGATTTTTACAGTTCATATTTTTTCCAGTCTAGTTCCTTATTTACCTTTGTTTTTAAGATGGTTTGCGAAATGCACTTATGTGTAATATAAATTGAAGACAGAGAGCTCTGATTTCTTTTAATTATATTTACATTAGTATTTTTATTAATTGTTTTTTAATAATCAAAAATACCAATAGAATAGACTTTTTCTAGGTATGTGACTGCCGTGTATGTCGTCTCTGACTTTTTATTGGTGAACCTCACCAGGGGATTACCCATAGAGCCTATAATGGTGGTAAATAATGCCATTAAACTAATTTTCGTGTCTGCATGCTACCGGGTCTGAATAAGTCCCCTTCTTGCTGAAGCGTGAAACGAGAAGATAATAATAAACATTTCATTGACGTCGTTCTTTTTCGCGGGGAAATGATGCCGTTTTCAGCGGTCCCTTCATATTCATTGTTAGAAATGATTTTGCTACAAAAGTATCAGGAATTAAATCGAAAGGAGTGTTGTTTCATTATTGAAACGAATTTATAGTTTGTTTTTCAGGGATGTTTATCACTGTTCGGTATCAATGAGCAATGCAATGAATCACTAATGAGAAGACATCACCACGCATCAAGAAAGTCCGAGGGATCAATAGTCCCAAGTAGGTTAATTGGTAGATCATATTGCTAAAACAGGAAATTAAGTTTCGAACCGATGACCCCCTTTTTCATATCTTTTTAATTATTATCGTTACTGTTTTTATTATCTTTATTTTATTTTATTTAATTAATTAATTAATTTATTTATTTATTTATTTGTGTGTGTATATGCATGTGTGTGTGTGTGTGTGTATATGCATGTGTGTGTGTGTGTATGTGTGTGTGTATGCATGTGTGTGTGTGTGTGTATATGCATGTGTGTGTGAGTGTGTGTGTGTGTGTGTGTATGCATGTGTGTGTGTGTGTGTGTGTATATGCATGTGTGTGTGTGTGTGTGTGTACATGTGTGAAAAACAGTTTCCAACTTTTTCGAAGTAAATCAGGGACCCAAAAATTCCTAAAAGGCAGCTGGTATATGCTATTCATCGTATCAAGTAATGGACATTTAAAACCTTTATAGACACACACACACACGTCATTTGCGCGCGTGCACAGACATTACCATAATCGCACTGCAACCTACTATATCCACTTGAACATAAACAGTTTGACCTTAATTAACTATGCAGATCGATATTTTACTTCGCGTTAAAAAATCACTTCCATGAAGAATATTGTGTCAATATGTCGGCCTCTATGTCTTGCATAACTTTGCGTACAAATTCGACTCTAAAGCAAAAGGAGTGATTTTCTTTCTGTATGGGAAGCTAAGAAGCTGGAGACATGATATAATAAAATTAATTTATTTGTTATTTATTTAAAGGTACCTTTGGACACTAGTACAAGCATCTAAAAAGAAAATCTCGTATTCCAGTGGCAGATATCATTTGGAAAATAGACTACATATTACTACTTCATTCAATAATTATGGAAGGCGCATCCCAGTCACCGTTTGTGAAATTTTCCGCTAATGAACATTTTATTGATTTTACTAGTTTAGCCTTACGTGCTGGTCTGCGATGATCAATCATACAACCGCAACTACGACTTCGACGGAAAAATCCTATTCACGTGTCCTAATCATACATGTACCTACTGTGCAACACACCAGAATGCAAGAGACTGGGGTAAAATAGGAAAAAAAAGACCTTGGTATAAATCTGTTGGATTTTACATGAAGACGTTAGAATAATTAAAACCATGCATGGGCGGATCCAGAGATAATTTCTGACAGTCTTCCAAATTATCTTCGTTGATCCATCCACCATTTTTGACCGTCTTCCGACAGAAAAAATTAAATACCCGTCAATGTAAACTTGAAAATTTGACCGTCTTCCGGAAGACCCAGAAGACGGCCTAAATCCGCCCCTGCCGGGCATGTACATGCCTATAGCTAGCAATTTAAAAGGGAGTCTTTTTCTGAAAAGGGGGCCCGTTTTCCCCCTTTGGTTGACCTTACTTGAGAGATGGCATACATGTATTCCAGTCAAAAAAGCGGCACTTTCAAGCTCCCCACCCTCCCCATCCTGTCTACTAGCAGGACACTGACAATGCAAACACAAGAATGTTCAAAAAACTTACATGCTCTACATGTTTGTCTGTAATAAAATACGATAGATAAAGCCCAAGCTGTTTTCAAATCATTTACAGTATTACGGATAGCATAGGCCAACAAGGCCGAACGAACACTTCACTCAAGTTCACTGGGTCATCCTCAGGGATAATTCTATGGTAAAGCTCCCTATATGTAAAAACCAAATTTTCATTGTTTTGGCATATTCAAGGGCGTGCGATAGGTGTGCGATAGGTGTGCACTGTAGAAGCTCACATTTGGGCCGAGGGAAAGTGGAAATCAACCTCAAGGAATTTTTATAGATAGTCGTCTTGCCTTCTTTCTTTGGTACTCTGCCAGGGATAATTACATCGTTTTGACAAATATAATATAATTTTGTAATCATATCTTACTTTATTGGTATTTTTAATATAAAACAGCATAATTGGTGTTACGTTTGGTGGTACGTTATATATAGAGCAGTTAGCGGTGCCTTTCTTCTACCCGGCATACGCTTTCCAACACATTTTCAGGAAATAGGGACGCTTGTAAAAAATGAAGTCAAACATCGGACAATGTGTCAAAAGGCATATGTTTGGTAGTTATTTTTTTACTATTTTTTTCTCCTTTGACATTCCTCAGGCGTACATAGTTAAGTACATCAGCTGTGCAGAATAGGACTTATTTTTTTCAACAAATATGTAAGATAAAATCGATTGCGTGACGCGTGCTTCTGTGGTAAGGCAGTATTTAACATGGCTGAACATTAACATTACCCGTCCTTGGGAATTTTCCTCGATATTATAACCTTGAACGACCTTCAGAATCTCAAAATCTCGTTCAGAGAAAAAATAAGGTAAGATTTACATAATAACGATGACTTAATCAAGAACTATATCATTTGTATTAAACTGAAATGACAGGAAAATAACAGTGGATAACGTTTTTGTCATACTTCAGAAAAAAAAAATGATACACGACTGGCCTGCTGAACCCGCCAGTGTTCGAGAGCAATCGGACGATCTAACCCATTTCAGTGCAAAGTAATACAGATATTAAGTAGCGACTCGTGATGTCGCACTTTGTTTACGTTTATAATTCAGATCAAGGATAGAAATAACACCAATAAGGTGCGACATTACTATTTGAATCGTAATACAATTTCCGAACCTGGTTAAAAGGAGATTATACAGCTGACTGGTAAAGTGAACATAGATCTAGTATCCGTCTCTGGTACTGTTGCCCCGAAATATACAGATTTTTTTTCCTGGAATATTCAGAGTCATATCTGTTTTACTATATAATACATGCACCTGTCAGCCAGAGCAATGTAATCGACGACATCGAGGGTTTTAAATGCATAGTCTACATCTGAATGTCTCGTAAATGTACACTTCATTTTTGATTTTATTGATTTTAGCCGCTTTTTATGATACAGTACATCAACGTTATACGTAATTTGGCTCATTGTTTGGCACTTTTTTTTTCAATTTTACGGGATCCAGTTTACATGTATATTGGGTTCTGAAATCTGTAAACTTATTTTAGGCCTAGTCCGTAAACCATTGAGGGGCTGACATTTGACATTTGAGCGCGCTTTGGAGTTTTCTGTCAAGATGTCAACAAATTGCATGATTAAAACGTGATTTAAGTAACAAAACACTTTGAATATCTTATCAAAAATCTTTAATGTATATTTTCTGTGTGTCTATGTACAGTGTATTACAATATGATACAGAAATATGGACATTTGTTTGTAAAGAATAGTTCATATCAAAATAAAATAGTCTTTTCATGCACATTAAGTTCGCCAGTTAGTTCATGCACATTTAACCGCGACCGACTCTTGTTCCAATTATATTTCTGTGTGTGAAGGATTTGGATATCTTATCGAAGGTCGTGCGTTTATCTCTGGTGAGCAAGTTTTTGAGTTTCTGACCGATGCTACCGGCAGTGGCTGCCCAGCTGTATTGTTCGAATGCTACTTTACGATTGTTCTCCCCAGTTTCTCGCATTTTGTTTAAATCTCTGGCAAGTTTTTCAAAGGCAGCACAGATCGCGTCTGCGTCACCTGGGGGGACTTTGCAACCGTGGACACCGTCTTGCACAATCTCATTTAGTCCGCCTACAGATGTCACTATCATGCAACAGCCTGCGGCCATAGCTTCAATAGCAACGATACCGAATGGTTCATAAAGAGATGGCATTATTAAAATGTCCGATGCAGCCATGTACTTTGAAAGTTCATCTGGAGTTTTCTGACCCAAAAATTCAAGTTGAGGGTTTTCTTGGACAAGGTATTCATAGTCACTACCTCTGTAGTTTCCGATTAATCTAAAGTGGTGAGGAACTTTGGTTTTCTTCATGGCCTCGATGGCAAATGGAATGCCCTTCTGTGTTGCAAATCGCCCGGCAAATAAAACATTAATGGTATCGTCACTGAAACCAAGGTCTCTTTTCGCCGCCCTAGAATCCAACGCTTCGAATCGTTCCGTGTTGATCCCAGCCTTAATGAGAACCGGGTTTTTCGCTTTACACGATTCGACTTCAGACGTGGTCTGGTGTACTACGCAATCAGCATGTTTGTTGATTGCTTCCTCTACCTTCAGACGAATTGGTCCGATTTCTGGCATGGGCTCACGCTCATACTTCTGACTCCCCAGGGAATGGTGGACGTGAAGTTGCGGTAAGTCTAAACGTAGGCCCACGTAACCGCTGAGCCAGTAGTTCGTAAATGCACAGTCGAATTTAGAAGTGTCAATTTGAGAAATGAAATCCTCGAGGTAAGGAAAGAGGAAATCGCGGTTAATGTGCTCCTGGGGTCCAGCCGTGATATACTGACACCTGAGAGTCGGTGATAATGTGACCAAGCCCACTTCATCCGGAGACTCGCTGCGCGTAAACCAGGTGACATCATAGCCCTGCTTGGACATTTGCTTGCCGACTTCACGGACATAAATGTTTTGTCCGCCCTTGCCGTCGGAGCCCAGCTCTGAATCCGACACCAGGGGGTTGCCGTGCACAGAGATCATAGCAACACGTATAAGCTTGTTGTTGCTTTTTTCAGGCACCATATTGCTGTAAAAATTAAAAAACATAAATATATCCACTTGTTGTCGAAAAAAGCGTAAACAAGAAAGTGTTTTCATACCAAACCAACGATCTTTCGGTGGTATAAAAGTATATTTATCATGCAGCAGCCAGCAGGTCAGTCTTTCCAGATTTTTCTAGAAACACGACATCCGCACGCAATTACGTGAAAACGTTGTGGAAATTCATCTCTGATCTATTGATCAGCTGTGATCACATTATTATTATTATCATTATTATAATATTATTATTAACGTTTATAACCTTCAGTGTCTCTACAAAAATTTGTTTTAAAATAACAATCACTCATAATTCACAAAAATGCCTTTAACTTTTAAATTGTTTAAAGACTTTAGTCTACATAAGAACAAATCGGATCCTCACCTCCTATTAAAGTTACGGTTTCGGTAGTTTTCGCCTCCTTTACCTTCAAGTAACAACTAATTTGTTTTCCTTTTTCTCTTTAAATTTTCTTCTGATCACCTCTTGTGATTATGGACGCTTTGAATGTGGGAGCCATGTACGTGCCTGTATATATACAGCTCGGACAGTCCGATAATCATTCACGGGAATTTTCCAGAAACGGAAAATTACTGAATGGATAGAATTCCTCCTCACCCCAAATGACCTTTACTACGTCATCATAATAAATCGAGCTGGTGGCTGACTGCGCTGTATGTTTGTGTAATACAGAAGCAACCCGAAACAACGTGCATCTGTTTATTTTCATTAAAGGGAATTCAGCTGATATTACTACCCAGAACAGACTACATGCACATAACCGAGAGAACGGGGTTACATAATTACGCAACGAACCAACTGATTAACAAAAGGTATTGTTTTGTGAGTCACGTGTGTTTACGTGCGAGTACATGATGTTGACACACGCACTCACATACTCAGTACACACATATTAGCTATACTTTCGCCTTTCAGTTCTTTCCAATAGTATTTATTGAATGATTTTTATCAAGATTGCATTATATACATCAGGCATAGAGGGTTTATAGAACAAATTGAATATATGATATTATACATTGTGATTTGGAAAAAAATAAAATAATTCATTAACCTACAGGCCAATTGTTAAGGCCTACTCATATATATTGTCTGAATGTTAAATTTTGACCTCATTATTCTCAAAATATTGCGTAGGCCTACATGTACTTTATATAACTTTATATAGCTCGGTTCAACAATATCAAAGTGAATATATGCCCATGCTGCCATTTTTATGTCTAAATTGAATTAAAACTAGATGAGAAATTTAAAACCAGTTTGACATTTACACCTCACAGTGAATCTATTAGTTAATTAGTTGTTTACATCGCGTCGGCTTCAACTGAAGGTTTCCTCGGTAATGGAAAAAAACCAAACACGAGAAATCCCCGCATTAGTCATCCTTTCCAGCCTGGCATTCAACGTTCTAGAGCCATGCATAATAGATTTAGAAATTACCCGACAGCAATTCATGTGCTAGTCACGTGAATGTTCCATTCATCGCCATTGTTCAGATTCACCTTGGTCAAGGCTGAACGTAATTGTGGGATAGGTTCTAATAATGAGTTTGCTCTGCATTAGAATAGCCTTATTGCAGTGTATTGGTTCAGTGGGTATCCACAAATATACCCAAGTACATGGTCGACACGTGATCGGATTATTATCGTTGATGAAGCAAAATATGCCTTCCTAATATTGATCAATGCACATGGTACGTACGGAAAGGTAAACTTCCTAACAAACTTGCAATAACGGTACCCTCCATTGGAGACGGAAGCCTAACACCAGAATTTCAGATTTGTCCAGTTTTTAAACGTGTAATACGTTTTACAGAACTGGGATTTAAAATCTGCCAACGGCAATCCGCATTACTGATTATTATAAAGGCACACCAGAGGAAATGTCATGAATCTATCTGAAGTCACCCAAATGAAAGTATATAAAGCCGAGAGACCCAGTTCGTTCAAGCCCCCCCCCCCCCCAATCAGATTTCAGAATAAACATGACTGTGACACACATGCACACCCATCGCTGATCCATTAATTAACTGTTCGGCTACCAACTCTATGATTCTACAGCTTCCTTTCCCATTTTCTTTCAGGAGAATAAATTTCAATATTTTTGCTGTCAATAAAGTAATCAACTTCTATATGTTCATCTATATATCTACTTAATTCTGTATGCTCCGTGATCTTTTTAGCCATTTTTTACACATTTCCTATCTAAACAAAAAATTAAATAATTTTAAAATAAAAAGTCTCTGTTCCAAAAAAAAAAAAAATGATATCATAAACATTTAAACGCTCTTATATATAGCTTTTTCATGCATTCCGTTACCATTTTCCAGATTATAGAAATTAAATGCATTCCCCCAAATATTACTACTACAGAACTTTGATTCAAACCTTGTATTATTATTTCGAAAAGACTTTGCGCCCAAGATCATACGGTACTGTGAATCATACGGTACTGGAATTATTTTAGAAAAAAAGAATTATTTTTTCCAAATGAGAGGTGATGGGGTAGAAGAAATAACTGGACAAATATTTGGACGATACTAGTGTTCAAATTTCTACCACGTCTGAAGAAGCATTTACACACTGGACAGGTACACGAGACTGTCACGTGTCAGGCCGACCTGGCGGCAGGCCAAATTCGCAATCAATTTGGCAAGCATATCGTATCAACAGTCTGCGACGGATTTCCAGTACTTTTATTTTGAGACGAATTGCAACTCGATCTGCCATACTAGTTGCTCTGTAGGAAAAGTTGAAAATTAAAAGCACAAAAAATACCTTCTATCAGGACCAAAGAGAGCTAGATGTATTTTTATATGCACACTGCTGTGCCCAGTGAGAGAAAGTTTTCAAATAGGGTTGGTCACTATTGCATAACCTCCACAGGCTCCAGATGTCAGAAATCATGACAGTTAATTGTTTTGACCTAAACCGTCAACTCTACCGCGATAACTCACGATCGAAAGATGCCACGTGCAACTTTTACCTATTTTTAAAGAGCAACTCGAGCGCAAGTCTGTAAAATATAAAACAAGTTCTTTTTGACACCCGGTTGGCTTTGTGGAGCCGACTACGGGAAGACAATAGGAAACCCCTCCGTACCATATGTCTGGTTAGACCGATAAGCAAAGACAATTTACGCAACAAGGAAGAGTTTCCTTTTGGTAATACTCGCTTTCAGTTATTACCAGGGGTCTGGTGGAAATTTTTCCATACAATATAAGAAAAGGCGCCAACACCCAACTGATCTCTGGTAGAAAATATATTACCATCGAGGTCACAATCTGATGCTTATAATGGCGGGAGTTATCGTGAATTCCAGTCAGGCCCACCTTTGCCGTTTATGGAAAGGTACCGAATAAAACCAACATCCGTTTTAAAGGTGCATTTCAAGCCAATGATCTTCGTGTTAAGTTATCTTCAGGTATAGTGAAGACGAGTGACTCGATTTTGACAAGAAATTGAAAACAACATATATTAATATAATTATAGAACTACTCAATACAAGTCCATATGTTAATTTGATTTCGCAATTAAAGGTATTAAAACCTTTTAGGAGCTTTTCAAAGAAAATGAGATACTCACGCTGTTGTGGGCAAACATTGAAATATATGTATATAAGAGAGAAATTGGTACAATTATAGGCCCGGAAACAGCGACCAGCCAATTTTTGGATCTTTTTTTTTTTTTTTACAGTACAGTGTTGCGCTATGGTCGGTTTGGGGAAATTTGAAGCCTCGATGGTTGTTTAAGTATGTATACCAGTATACAAAGTTAATTTTTGTAATTGATTAAAATCTAGGCAGATTCTCCCTTTTAAAATAAGCTAAGGAAACAACCAGTTAATGATTGATAATTTTGAAACTTATTTTACTTTAATGTTCACAATCATACAATTGCAATGGATAGTATGGATTACATATCTACTTACACATTTAAATACATACAATACAAAGAGTGTTACTGTCAGTTGTAGCAGTAGCATTTACATATGTACAAAAATGTCGACTACAAATACGTACTTATAATAATAATAATAATAATAAATAGTGCATTAAGGTCCCTGGAAAACGGGTCCAGAGATTCGACATAGCTCAACATTGTAATGTCTGATTGTTTTTCTAAATACCAATATCCATTCTTCATGGTGGGCCATGCACTAACACAATCATAACATTGTCAAGCAGTCTTCATGAGTATGGCACCTCACACAGTGAGATTTAACCACAGGAACAGGACAATGTGTAGTTACATCTCGATACAAATACAGACTAAAATATTATGTAGCTGACAAAGCCAAAGGAGATCCTCAAAAACAAATGTAATATACTGTATGCTGGACATCTTCTTTAGCCCAGGAAACACTGTGGAACAGATTCAGAGGCGAGCACCAATACTAAGGTGCACTCATTAATACTATATTTGCCAAATTATTCTTTTTAAGTGTTATGCTTATTACAAAGCATGGTCACAGCATTAAACAATACTCGTTGTTCAAAAACAAAGAAGCATAAATAACATAAGCAATTTGCAACCCCCTTAAATCTGAGCCCCCTTAAAAAAAGAAATAGATATTAACAAAAAATATGAATGTTAACAAAAAGCAGGAGGAAAAGCCTTCTCACTACCTAGTATTCAAAACTGAAGAAAATAATCTGCCGTAACTTTATCATTTGTATACCTTCAGAACTATTCCAAAACAGAAATTTGGATAAATCATAACACAGGATTTATGTACCTGCAAATAATCCAAACAACTGCAGATATGTGGTTACAGGACATTGCAACTTATAAGTCCATCTCAAAAAACTATTGTAATTAGAAGTTGTAAAATAGTTTTAGTTTTTACTACCAAAGATAACATTCATTCCTATTATACTGGTGTGGCTATCATTCATCACAAAAAAGTTATTTTTGTACTCCTGATAAACAGAAATGGAGACTACTTTTGATAAATTCATTGCACTCTGAGACTAATATGACATTACAGACAGTACATAACATACATTACGCCCTCTCAAACAGTGTGACTAGTTGTTTCGCTGCTTTGGCAATATCAAATGCACACTGTATGACTTGAGGGGTTTTGGATGCATAGTCTAATTGTCCATCCTCCCCTTTGATTGGCAGACTTTTACATTCATGGCACAGTCTATCTGCTCCTCCTCCCAGCTGCTGTAAAGCCTGTCCAATACAGTCAGAATTGACATTCTGGAAAATGAATTGTAAAATATTATTTTTGGCATGTGATAACTACTCAAAATCAATATACTATGACATGTGCTGTTAATATTGCTTCAACATGTACAACACAGCTTAGATCAAACAGTTTATAAAGTGTGAAAGAAAAAGGTGCTACTTTCATAAAATCCAATGAAGGACTTTGAAACTTTAAAGGCATCCAACTTGTGATTTTCACGTCAAAGTTAATTTTCCTTGAAAAAAAAAACAAGCAATCTTCTCGTTTCATTTCTTGACCCATCTATGCACTTGGATTGTTTTACCATACCATTTCTAATTCAAGAATTTAGTTTTAATTTGCTTGCCAGACATTCAGATTGCCATATAAATATATACATCAGGTACTTTAATTCCAGGTGTTTCATCCCTTTTAAAGTATTAATTGGGAAAGAATAATATCTTTGCAGGATGTTTAGATATAACTGTCATACCTATTGGGCATTTTCAAATGCATTTAGAATACGTTTCACTCAACTTTGAATGTAACAGTATACAAATGCATAAATCAAGTTTGAAAATCTAACAAATTAGAAGGAAAAAAGCACACAGCAGAGTGAAAATATTAATCCTTTTCGGTCAGGAAATAGCAAAGTTTATTGGAAACTCTACAGCTCTGTACTTTTCTTCATAGTATTACTTCAAAGGTTTTTTCATCAACTCCTGGTCTAATGTGTACAACACTTACTTGAGGAAAAATTGCAGTCATTTCACTGACAGCTGAGAGAATCTTGTCAGCACAGGGACTATAACTGAAACAAATAAAACAACAAATTTGTATTCTAATATGTCAAAATAACTAATAAAATAGCACACACCATAAAATGGACAATTCCAGGATGTTTCAGTCTGATATCAAATAAACATGCTAACTGCTTACACTCAAAATTCACCATTCACTTTCATTCAATATTGTACACATCGTTCCAACAGTTTTCTTCAAAAGCCAAGATAATATTCCATGTGATGTGTTCCACTATATTCACATGGACTTTAGTTAATTATATGCCTGTTCGCACCACAACTACCTCACACATATATTAACCCACAATGCATTTATATATCTAAATAGAGATATAGTAAACTCTGTGAATAAAAAGTCGGGGATACTTAGAATTTTATCTTCCCTCCAAAAGGAACAAAATAAGGTAAACAACCCCTAAAATTTTTTAATAAAATGCATTTGAGACAAAACTGGACTGAAGATTCTTGGAGCTATGCTGCCCTTGTGTGAAAAAGGTTTCCAAAGCCCACCTTTCATGGTTTCCCTCTTGTGCATTCTTTAGCAACTCTTGGATTTTCTTTGTAATAATCTCAGTTTTTTTCACTACTTGTTCTTGTGTGGGCAGACCTTCCTGCATCTCGTAGCCATCTTGTGTGCAAGGTCCAACTGCCCCCTCAGCTTCATCTGGAGATGGGGTGAGAGTGGACTCTCTTTGCCTGAAATATAACCACAAAACACTGATCCAACTTGAAGATGGGGCGACAGTGGACTCTTTTTGCCTGGAGCAATACTCTGTTCTACAGTAAAACAAGATCACTCAGTTGAACTGAGTGTAGACTTCAGAATCCCTAGACATAGAGGAAAAAATTCAAAAACAAAAATATGCATCTGAGTGGTGTATGCAGTTGTCACTATTGTATTCAACCCCCTACACAAGATTTTATCGAAGAGCTGGAATACTGTAAAAAACATCATGCTAGAAAAACTGAAAGCCCACATTTTGACAAACTTGATTGTGTACAAGCATTATTATCTTCTTCAGCTTTAAAAAGAAATAAAATCTACATACCTATCTTCAGTTTCCTTATTAGCATTATCATAATCTGAATCTGATGCATTGCCTTCCCTAGAGAATTGTCTTGGAGGAGATTCCCGTTCATCCAGCTAAAAGACAAACAGTAATGCCAATATATTGTATGCTCTCAACTATAACACATAAATAAATAGAACTTCAGACAATGACTCTTAAAAATCTTGCTTATTACTGAAGAACTGACAACAACCAAATAAAAAACAACCTAATACTGCATAATGTAACAGTAGAAAAATTATGTACTACTGCCAGTTATGATATAGAACAATCAGCTTACAGAATATTCTTCTGATATCCTATGTGAACCTGTTCCTATTGCATTGTCATCTCTAAAAGGAGTCTAGAATAAAAAAAGAAAAACAATCATTTATAAAACAAATGAATCATATTGCTTATTATATGCGTCATGTATCCGTGCTAAATGCAAGCTGACATCATTTTTTTTCTTATCAGAATTCTTAAACACACACATGCTATGAGGCTTCTATTATTTTATTTTATTTTTTTACAAAGAATCAACTCACATAAGTTTTCTGCCAGGGTAGCCTATGGTGATTTCTTGGCTCAAACATTGATTGCGGTCTAGACAACTGCCCTATGTGGCGTCTGGGCACAGCTGTATCAAACTCAGGTTGTGTAGGTGATGGTTGTGTGCTGGGTAATTGTTGCTGTTGTTTTAAGGATGATACATTATCGTAACCATTGGATAACGACGGTACACTAGCACTCGCATGTGGACTACTCAGTATGTGTGCACTTCCCACAGCATGCGAGCTCCCAATGGCATGCTGACCTTGTAATGTTGCATTCTCTTGTGTTAATCTTTGTACCTGTAAAGAGAAAGATTTCTGGCCTATGCCCTATTCCTATGTGTCCAATGCAATGCACACTGCATATGCACACCTCTGGCTGGCTCTTCATGCAATGAATGTCTAGACTCATGGGTTTTGTGTCTGGGTTTTGTGGCCAGCTGTTTGTGCAATTTTTTTTTGTGAAATATTTCTGGTCACACGCAAGAGAAAAATCAATACAATTTAAGAGGAAACATAATATAATTTATTAATAATAATATTGATAAAACAAATAAATAAATGAAAGAAGTTGAATTAAATAATCTGAAATAAACAAACAGTAGGCTTTTTAATATTAGTTTGTTACCAAGTTAATGTTAGTACTTGTATTGATTTCTCTGTCACTGTGCCCAGTTCTCATTGGTGGGTACGAGTAAAGGAACACTAACAAACACAACATCAACAACTAGGAGACACCAAAAATTTGAGCCTAAATTTAGCAGCACTGGTGTCAACTTCCGGAAGGACCTAAATCTGCACCGAACTACAGCTCTAATTTCTGCCTTTCTGCTACATATCTAGCCTTGGTTGGTGCTGCACTAAGACAAGACCCGACACTCACTGCACTATGAAGCCTTTTCACCTCCTCCACTAGTTGTGCATTTTTAGCCATAAGTTGATGGACCACAGAATCAGACTGTGCTAGTGCCCGCTTCAGATCATGGTAGTCTTGGGAGGTAATGGGGCCATCGGACTGGTCTGAGGAGGCCATGCTCTGTAACAAGAAGCAAGGAATACATGATGACCACCGCCTGGAGGTCCACAAACCCAAAGAAATTAAATTAAAACCATTCACAGTCCCAGCACACCTGCCATGCACTGATTGCTCATGTCCAGGCAGTTGCTACAGTAATTTGTATACAATAATTATAGTAGGTAAAACAGACTATATGTTCAACTATCTGCATTCCAAAGAAATTGCTAGGTAAAGGTATATTAGTTTCAGTTATACTGAATTACTATATACAAAAGAAAATCTAATATCAAGAGTAAGAAAACATGTTTTACCAGTCCAGACAATATTATTAAATAAGAATATCGAAAAGAGTATCCTTGAAGAAAAACATACTCAAGGGAAAAGTATTAATGTAAATACCTCTTCATTTTTACATGCATTTCATGCAAATAAGCTGCACATGCGGGAATCTATATCTGACAAAAAATTACTGAACCAAAGAAGCTTTGGGGTAGGCTACATCTCAGGAAGCAGGAAGGCAAGGCTAGATATACGTACTTACAGACATTACGATGCTTACAACAGTTAGGAATACAAATTTGACCAAGCAGTTCACATATAGCTGGGGTATACATTATAGGCAAATACAAACCTTTTGATCATAGACATACAAAGTAAAAAGCAAGACCAGTGGCCACAAACAAAAAACGGTCAAAAACTACACTATCTTGACTTCAAAAGACTGAACAAGAGTGATGACTGTATGGAGTCCACTGTAGATCCCTTACCTCTTGTTACAATTTCAAACAACAACAGACAACACCTAATGTTGAGATGCTTCTTCAATACTAACCTACAGCCAACCAGACCAGACTACCACTGTACATGTTTTGTCACTAATCAATACACAATTGCTGTCATAAATAGGCCCATCCATCCTTGTGGGATAATAGTCTTAATAACCTGTGTATTGTGGAGTATAAAAGTTGGGACTCCAAAGACCATCAATTACACTATTCTTTTTCCAAGAACTTGCCCAAGTTACATCAAACTACAATTCACATGCAATTTTACCATTCTTAATTTTCTTGCTGTCTGGACCCTGCCTATAATAGATTATCACAAAGGGTATAACTAAGACATCACAGGTCTTGTATTTCCAGCTATGCTATGGCCATAAGAGCCCTGAAGAAGTTCAGTTACTGGTGATATATGTTTTATGTGCCTTGTAAGTAATACCAGAGGAGACGTCCCAATACACTTACCAAATCAACTTTGTCTGCCTGAAATAAAATAGGTCTATGACTGAAACCAATTGTATGTTTTTTCCTCATTCTTTATTCTTTAACTACCAGATGCAACTATAACCTTAACCATAGCTGAGCGGGTCCTATTTTTTATGTTGGTTTCTATATTTACTTTGATTTGTCTGGTGTTTACATTCAAAAATCTATATTTCTTGGTACTTATGACATGGTTTCCTGCTGACAAACCTTAGTTTTGTCTCACTTGTACAGGCTTTAATCAAGAACAAACTGATACAAATTAAATGGGTGACAGATAGTAACACCAGTATTGTTCTGTAGGCAAAAGGCAATTAATCAATGCAAGAACCAATATCCAGAATTACTGTCAAAGATAATTCAAACATTTATTAAATAGGCATACGAAAAGGGATATCAATATTTCCTATTTAAACAATTTTCTATATCAATATTTCCTATTTAAACAATTTCTATAAAGTATTTTAGCACAGACAGACATAACCAGTCATGTAATTAAAAGCAAATGCTACTTTCACACTTCTATGCCTTTGTTAAGGAGAACTAATGCAGTTAGTTGTAAAAATGCTCCCTCCCTTTTTTTCCCTTATATATCTTTTTTTCAGCACCTGCCAAGCAAACAAATAACTATCTATGTATATAAATGAGGCAAATATGAAAAGTAAACAAAAACTACTACCAACTACATAAATGAATGAGTGAATAAATGACTTTCTTTCAGACATAATAAAACAAAGACAATAAAAACAACACAGGTGTCTAAACATCCACACTAAATCCGACATTTTTTCCAGTATCAGTGGCATTCTGTAGTACAAACAAATACAATATCTTAAAAAAAAAATACAATATCCATAAATCTTACAACTGTTTCCTGTCCAGACTGCAATCCGTAAGCATTATGAAAATCAACAAAAATTTTCACATTTTGCTAGAGAATATATATAATATCATCTGAAATTCACTATTAGAATTCCTGCTTTAAAGTATGCGATGTTCATTTTTCAAGGTCAACCAAAGGTGAAAGGGGGATCTTCATGTTTGACAACCAATATCTAGAAAAAATTATACTGACAGCAAAAATGGAGTGTTGAATTGTGTTAGAGGTGTCAATGAGAAGTGATTGTGCCATGAACAAATTAGCAAACTGAAATCTTCTGCATCCTCAAGTGATTGTTAAGATGAATAATGTAAACTATTTTTAAAAGCATTTGCAGGATTTTGTGTGCATGCATGTGTATGTGCGTGCACCCATGTGTACAAAGTAAGTGTTGTTCCTAGTATAACACGTAAAGCATTATTTCTTTTGCACTGGTTGGGGGTTTCCCACTACCATTCCATACAACTATGACATGCACTGTGCTTCTCTCACAAAATTCACCCAAGATACAGATTTTTTGTAAGAGTCATTTTTGAAAATCCAAATGTATCAAAATTGAATTTCTATGGTGATAAAAACAGTTTTTCACACTTCTATTCAGCAAACAAATATTCATTTCTTAAAACAAATAATTTTTTATAATGCTCATACAGATGAAAAATATCAATCTACATCTTGGATCTCTCCCTTCTCACCTCCGTGAAAGATATCATAGAAGTTGGGCTGCCTGAACTGCGGCACGCATCCTAAGGAGGGAAGAGATAGATAAAAAAGGTGTTTACAGTAGAAAGTTATAGTAAAAGTAGTGGAGTGGTAAGAACCTAACTAATGCACTCAAAAGATGGACACAACTACAAGAATTTGCCAAGTTTAAATGCTTCTCTAGAATATAGAAATGTTATAGGAAATGTTTAGACTTTGTCCCTCTTTTAGGGCTATGCATCACTATGCTCAAACTCCCACACTTCAATTTAGAACAGGACAGATGGCAATTTTGCATATCAGATTTCTGCTGTGAGTTTGAATTGTGTTGTAAGTATTTAATTTGCTACATTTTCAGTGTTACTGTATTTCACACACACTCACATATAATCCAGTATGGCATAAATTGGGAAAGGCAACAGCATTTGCAAACAAATTCATTACTAATTTTAAGTCAAACTTCCAACAACATCAATCCTAGAGACCTTATGAGTCATAACATTCCATTCATATCTAAATGGCCTCTACAAAGCTTCATAGATTTCAAAACAGGGAAAGCCATGTACTGAAGCCTGAAGAAAACTGCCATTATCTTACCTCCAATACACCTTCTTTTTTCTGTGTGTTCTGTATGTCAGAATCCTTGAGACTGGCCACATCCCCTCCTATGCTGCTGTAGTCTTCATCTGATGCCACGCTATCATAGACAGGCTCATCATCACTAAAGCTGCTAGTTTTGGGCACACCACGACTTTCTTTTGTGCTACTGTTGGCGAGACTTACTTGTTCTGAAACACAACACCATGCTGTTGATTTTGGAAAAATATGAACCAGAGTGAGCTTCTTCATGACTGTACACCTTTCTCTCACCCATTTTTCTATTATTTAGCCTGACCTTTGCACTTTTGTGGTTTGGGAACCCTAAAGGTCTGCTGATATATCTGTGATTGAATCAACAGAGGAAATGTCAGGAGAAATCAGAGAGTCTGTTGGGATAATATTGCCTGTCTAGGAATGGGAAACAGGACAATGGCATAAAGGATGCTTCCACTGGAGTTTGTTAAAGTAGATAAGTGCATTTGAATAGAGCAAAATATCAACTCACTCACTGAATTTTCAAAAAAAAAAAAAAAAAAAAAAAAAACTCCAAAAGACCATTTTGTGTCTCAAAATTATAAATGCTTGTCTGTTTATCTTCAGAAGATATAACCAATGGAAAAACCCTAAATACTGAGACCATAACCTTTATCAATTCTAAAGCTAAATTAACAGAAAGAAAACATCTCTTAAACCCAAATCATAGGGTTGAGCATATTGACAGCAAAGCAGGTGCCAGAATTTATGCTATGCACATGTTGTTATTGATTATATTTAAACTGCTTTTTTTGGCTGTCTACTTTCATCTACACCTGTTTTTTCATGTGGCAAGCTAACCTGGAGAATAACCCCAATGGTTATAAATCTAAACTTAAGTGCCCCCCCCCTTTTTTTTAATGTAAATGAGAAAAATAGTTAACCAAAGAAAAGAACCTAAATCTTATGTCCCGTGTGATAAAAAGTGGAGTTTTATTAGACCCTAACTGGCATTTTGACATAACTGAAGTAATTTTCATACTGTCTTTATGTCTATAAAGACTAACAGGTTATTTTCACCAGTCTATATCAAATTATGTAGAGCCCAACTTTTTACCACACACAAGGGAAAAGCAATTAAGAACATATTGCATGTGCTGTTGTGTCCTAAAAATGAATTAAATGATAACTTTCAGTCATTTTCAATAATTTTCACTTCAGGGATTAACAAGAAAAGTGAAGATGCAAAAGTAGATCTCTGTATACTGCACAGAAGGCCAAAGTCCAATGACACCCCTGCTATAACACTTATTACAATGGGCATAGATCTACACTTTCTCCAGTGATGTTATACCCAGCTGATAACCCCCTGTTCTCACATCAACCCCTGAAGTCATCAAAATCCACAAGAAAATGACTGCAAATGATCCTTTTAGTCATTTCAAGCCCCAGAAATGGACATTCTCCTTTAATATAGACATGAAGAAACAAAATGTAAAATAAAAACTTCGCTTAAATTTTCAACTATATGAAGTGCGCTAATTAATGAAAGTTACTTTGGAACCATGATATATGTACATAAAATTTGAACAATTACTGTCATCAAATCTTCATCTAAACAAATATCTTCTTTTTAAGCGTGCAAAACTGCAACTGGTAAGACTGACAGAGAATTAACCAAAATGGAAATACATTCACTTCAAGGCATATCACCTAATAATTAAATAGGCCATTTCACCTTTTAATCTTGATAATAAAAACAATTATCAAAGTTCAAGCAACACATATTTACACAAATTTTTATACTTGATATTTTGTATATCATCAGTCAAACAAGTCCTTCCTACCTCTATCACGTGGTGTATGTACAGGACTAGTTATTCCTTGCTGCCGCCTTTTGGCATCACTCAAGACATCTATGATTAATGTTGCAAACTCTCTAGCATTAAACCTGGCTAGCTTCTGCCGACCCTGAAAGATTGATGAATTACATACAATAAAGTTTTTTGAAACAAGGATTATCAACAGTACATTATCTGTACTGTTAGGTATAGGTATAGGAAACTGGTCAGGGGCAGAAGTCATTATATAAATACATAAATGGCAATTAAAGGTCTAATTCATTTTGTTTTAAAATAACAATAAAATATAAAAACAAATTCCATCTCTAAGCCGGTTTTCTCACTAAAAAAACAAAAACATGCCGACTTTTCAAATTTCAGGATATTAACACTGCCATATTCTACAAGCACCAGTGATACCAACTGTAATGCTCACAGATGTAATAAAAAAAATCTAAAAAATCACATATTTACTCATTAATAGCATAATCTAAGGCATTACCTGATTTCTCGTTGAAGAAAATTCTGGATTTACTGGCAAGAAGGGAACTGCTTGTCTATCACTGACCAGAGCATTGTGGTTCTGTGAGCCCAACCATACTGAAATATTACAGAAAAGTGTTATATATAGAGATTATAATGATGAAAATTTCTCACAGATTTTTCATTTCATCCTAAAGCCATTTTGCTATGAGGAACACACACACAGAGTTCTTATTATACTCTCACGTTGAGAGCATCCCATTAGTTCTTTTATACTATGACATTGACAGAGTTCTGTAAGTTCTCTTAATACTCTCACATTGAGAGACTTCTATTAGTTCTTTTAATACTTGTTCAGATATAGAGTCTGAAACAGTCTTGGGCCCTGGAGTCTAAAAGCAATATTTCTTACTTTTATCATTCTCTCTTCTGTCCACTTCATCATATACATCCATGGCCAATTCTTCAAACAAATGGTTAGGTAACTGAAGGAATGAAATACATGTATAAGATAAATCCAAAATAGATGCTCTGCTGTCTAAACATTATACGTTTGTGAATGAATTTTAAGTCATAAAAATTAGTTGAGTATACAAAGAAAAGTTACATGGAACTGCAGATTTCAGATGTTCAAAAGTATCTTGTGCCTGGGTATTGTAGATTAAACCTTCCCCCCCTCCCCCCATAGATAATATCATATTAATATGACTAGAAGTATCTTAAGTGTGTTTAGGCGTGACAAAGTAAATATAATACTTACGCCTTGTAATTGTTTCTTGGCTGCTTTGGCTAATTCTGATAAATCTAAACTACTGTAAAATCAAAAGATTGAAGTAAATATCTTGCATTTTGCATCAAGAGAATATTTTACCACTTAAATTTTTATTGAATCCTCATTTTGCTTTTTTGTATTCCAACTTAAATCACTCCCAACAGTTAATTCTATGTGTTGTTGACTCTTGACAAAGACAAAGAGAAACCTCTTAAATGAGAAATGTTTGATATTTGTAGAAAAAAATCCTACCTGTCAGCCATTTCTGGTATAATAAAATGCTGTCCCATTTTATGATCTGTAGCAAAAGAAACAAATGTGTGAATGTTGTTTCCATATACATTAAAAATGATAACCAGTCCATAGCTAAAAGACAATGACATCACCATGTAATTGTAATTTTTATGTTTGATTAAATGACTTATTACTTTGATTTAAATATCCATCTAGTCAAACTTCTGTATAAAGAACATTAATTCATAAATACCAGACATAAAATGAACATTGCTATAATTATTCACATAATTGGTTTAACAACTGGCATTATGATGACTTATTTTTACTATAGGACAAAGCTGCTTTACCTGGTTTTCTACCACATAAATAATAAGCTAATCTGTCTGTAAGTTCATACTGAAGTTCCACTATTCGATTTGATAAATCCGTGTAGCCCTCAGCCCTAAAAATGGATTGAATTGCGAGTATTTTCATATGTACATGGAAAACAAAAACACCAGAAAATACCAGAACATATCAACATTAATTCAGAAACAAGCTGAGATCTTGATTCGATTCATTTCCATCATTTTACTCTTCGTCAAATCTCACCTCTGTCACTGAAGTGGCAAGATAAAATACAACCTATGGTCACAGAGTGGATGGCAGCAATAATTAGTTTGTGTATGTATTTATCTTTTGATTATAAGGATCAGCAGCTGCTCAGTTCCTTGTAAAGTTTCCCAAGACAACTGACAACTACAACTATTGTTGTTTTACAATGAGTGTCAAATGAACATCTTGTCCTCTTGATAACATAATATCAAAAGAAACACATAATCTTTACAAAATGTGCAAGCTTTCCACAACTGCTCCCAGTTCTTAAACCAGTTAATGCTTCCTAGAAAATGTTTCTCTTATGAAGAACACATACTTTGCATAATCTGCAGCTGTTTTTCCACCACTGTCCACTGCTCCTGGATCAGCACCATAGATGACCACTAGTTCCACCTGAGTTGCCTGGCCTGACTGGGCAGCCACATGAATGGGACAATTACCACGCTCCTAAAACAATTTTCAACATAATTTTAGGATGCAAAATTAAAAAAGTCCAGTCTTATTTTTGTTAATGCCTACTAACAGACAGTCTCCTCATTGGCCTTCATCCTCGTGAAAAATCTCAAAGTAAAAATTTATGATCGGAATACCTTTGTCAAATGAAAAGACGTTTGATATTTTTTCACTACATCACCTTCATAATATAAAATGCAACTCTTCCCACTAGAAATCAACTAAAAATCATATTTAACTATTTTGCAGCTTCACTATCACAGAATAAGCTCAAATCAGTGTGACATTATCAAACAGGAGACCAAAGGAAATTGTGTAAAAACAACAAAATGACAGTTTTACCATTGTTTGTGTTATGTTGTGTAATTCTGTGTTATAGTATACCATGTTAATGTCAAGTTTTTATCTTATTTGAAAATAACATGAAACTGTGCAAATGATAATCACATATACAAGTACTGAGAGCTATGAGTTAACAAACATGTATACTCTGCACTTCAGCTCAATGTTACCTGATGAAAGTAGTTTGGATTAGCTCCAAATGACAGTAACCTCAGCGTTGTCTCAAGATTGCCCGTTCTCACACAGGAATGGAGTTGCTGAAATCATAAAGAAACAATTAGAAGCCCCCAAAAACAGCATGGCGGGGGGTTAAATGTCAAAATATCTGGCAAACTATTTAGTGGATTCCTATGCCAATGTCCTATCTTAAAGGAAATATGCACTTATGAAACAGCTCAGCACGAAGAGCAGCAGCGAATATCAATCATATACATCCTTGTTATGTTTACATTACATATGAAAATATTCCTTTACACATATATGAATCAAAATTATGAAAAGTTATAGTTGACTTATTTGGCAAACAAGTATTTACTTATAAAATATTACAGATCTGCGAGCAAATGTTTTGTCATTTCTTTTCTCTTCTATAGCTAAGTACACAACTAAAACCTGTTAATTATGTTTAATTAACTCAAAGTATTTCATATCTCAGGGGCAAAAATGTATCTTCTGTACATTACTAGATCACACTCTCTTTACTGATGGACCGTTCGAGTATACTCCTGGGCTTAAAAGTAACACTTACAAAGGCAATGCATCGTGCAAATATTGATTATCAACATAAGTTTCTTGATGTCAGCTTTTCTTTCAGTTACTATTACATTAGTTAGAATGTGTTGCTGTTTCTAGGAAATCAATAGTGCTTGCTTTAAAATACAAAGGAGATTTTTTCCATCGCTCAAGGAAATGCATCTTTGGAAATGAAATTTTTTTATTTTCCTACAATAAATATGACTCATTTCGATCTATATTTGTCTAACATTGCTTCACAGTAAGTTTGAATACAAGTTCATTATAACTCCAATTCCTTTTTCTCAGAGTGTTTAATCAATTTTGCAGATGATATCTGGGAAATGTTATTTCGGCACCTCCTGGGACATAATTGTAGATATGGGCAATTTATAAACATGCTTAGTGAAAGGGTGTGTAAATAGATTTCTGTTCCTATACTGAATAAAAAGTTTCCTGACAAATGCCACTATACTACAAAAATAACTCTCTCCTACACAATAACATGGTCCTAAACTCTTTTGACCTTCCAATATGCTTGCCATATCATGAAACTAAACTTACCTTGCTAAGATCTTCTACTGATTGATTTTCCTCATCTTTGGGTTTTTGAGCAAATGCTAAGAACTGGTACTTGGCTCTGATGAAATCTGCTTTCATTGGACTAGGAAGAAAACAAAAAGATGTATACTCTGGAAAACAGGAATTGCCTGGAGAGCACATCATATCGCAAGAAGTGTACATGAAAAGTAGCAAATATCTGCCCAGAGAAGAGCAAAGTCACTGACTGATTGCCTGCACAAGAACTGTAAGAACCCAGGCACATTCCACTGAGGCCTTAGTTTCTATCTGTCTTAGTCATAGAATTCCAAATAGGGAGAAAAGCATACCATTCATACTGAATGTAAAATGTGTGTTGAATGTGTCAGAATATTTAAAACTCTGCTAATTTTTAATATTTTCATTCTAAATTAATTTCAATACCATACTGAAGAATGTATACCTTTAAACATGCAAATAGGATATTAGATATTTTAAATACATATGTTCAATACCCAAATGTTGATTCTGCCAGTAAACATTGAATTGTCTTACCTCACTGCCACTTTTAATACATACACAAAAATTAGCCTAATTAGGTGATCAGGATACAGAGTGCTTTCAAGTACCCCCTTGTATTTATCTTAAAGTGTCCTATCTTGCTTTTGATATAATCTTTTTGGTCATTTTTTCTCCATGTGCAACATAAGCTTATTAGTATTTACAAAGCCCTACATTCCAAACAGAATGGTAAAAATCCAATCTACCATTGCTACAGAATAGGATTAAACAGTCATCACTCTTTACTCAAGAGGGAAACAAAAAAGTGAAAACACTTAGAGGGTAATAGCATTTAACAGGTAATAGTGCAGCGATCAATACCTCATTCCAATAAACACTGCAGGGGGGTTAGAACTGGGGAAGAGATGGTGTGCAGGGTTGGTTGACTTACTGTAGCTGATCTCTGGGGTTGGGTTTCCTCCGGCCTTGTTTGTTCTGTGTTGGATCCAAGAGTGTGTGCTCCCAAATACTGTTGGTACTCTGACTCACTAACTGATGAACCATCTGTAACAAAAAACACCACACAATTAACAAGGTCAAAATAAAGCCTTACATACTAAGAGGAACTGGGTATAATAAACAGCATCTCCTTAGAAAATTACACATTTTTTTTCCACAGAGGATCATTTAAGGTTGTTAAATAATATATATAGTAAAAATTAATGAGAAACCTTTAACGGCAATTTTAAATACAAAAAACACTTTTTGAAATGATAAAGCACAGTGGAATGTGAATTACGAAGTCAAAATATTATGTACACAGTTTGGAGGGCAGGAGAGGAGGGTTTATTATATATGAAATGCATTCCCCTTCTTTCAAATCTGCAAGAACATGAATTTAATATTTCACCTGAAAGCATGCATGTCATTTTGTCTATCTTTTATTGGCATTACTTTTTTAAAAGACTCAGTCAAGACTCAGTTAGAGAATAACTGTTTTTTGCGAAATGCCAAAATACACCTCAGTTTGAGTAATGATAAAGCATTATTTTTTAAACGCTGCCAATTTATCAACATTTTGACTTAAAAACTTTCCAGCTATTTGATATTTGACTTAAACAAATCTTATGCATGAGTGAGCATAAGCAGTAGTGAAAAGAAAAACATTCTTTTTATAGCAATGAACATTATGTCTTGTCAATTCAATTAGTCTGTTCCACATTTAAGTCCCACTTCTTATCTATGCATCACAACTGCCAGTTTTTCTTTAATTTTTATAACATAAATGCAATATAAAGAATAATTTTCACATTCTGCTGTTGAAACACCAACAATTTAATTCAAATAAATAAATTAATATATTATTCTACTGAGAACCTAGTCTTCAACATTGTAGAACAACACATTTTTAGGTGCTCAGACAAGTAATACAAACATAGGCTGCATGAAAGCACTGGGTATAATTACATGGATTCCTTAACACACTTGAAAGCTGCAATAGGTTTTTCACTAAGGGCTTCAAACTTATTTTCAACTCTCTCTGTAAACAGTGCGGAGTTCATCTCCATCACCTTTTATTTCAAAAATGAGGGGTATTTTTCATGAAAATAGGCCTGGCACCTCAAAACATTGTGCTAACTGCAACCCTACACAATGCTTATTTATAAACCAATTAGCTGTTAGCAAACTCGAGCCTCAGATTTGTGAGCACGAACACCCAAATTAACGATTCAAACCACAATAAATGTAAAATTAGCAGCCAAACCAAACATACCATGAACCGATAATCTTCTTACCTACCTGTCAGTACACTCTGTCCTGTGTCGGAGATTGTCAAGAGTGCACTGCTTCCATATTAATACGCATATATGGATAGTAGATCATAAAAATATATTAGTTCGATTTGTTTTGAGACCTTCTATTTATTTTTCATTTATTATTCTATTGATAAAGTAAATTCATGCACACTGCAGATAATTACACTTCCACTGTGGTTATACTGGCAAAAATGCATTTTCCACACTGCTCAGATATTTCATCTAGTCCAAGCTTTGAGTGACTACAGCAATTAACATTCCTTTCGTCAAATTCTGTCAATAAAGCTCTAGCCACTCAATTGGGCCTTGGTGTAGACATCAAGAAAAAATTCTCCTTTTTAAAGAAGAAAGAGGAGAAAATGTCACTCTTTTTCCACTAGGAATCTTGGAAAGCTAAGCTCTACCATGCAGTATTTTATTTTTTTTTGTATCTTCTGTCGGGGTTAAGAAAAAGAACCCTTATGCGTACAGCTACTGCCTTGTAATTGTTTCTTGGCTGATTTGGCTCATTCTGATAAATCTAAACTACTGTAAAATCAAACAATTGAAGTAAATATCTTGTATTTTTCATCAAGAGTAAAGTCTGTGCCATGAAATCATCTTTCATGTTGTTAATTTGAGCGTTTGCGCTCACAAATCTGAGGCTTGTGATCCTAAATGGCAATTATTGTTTCCGAGGCCTGCTACACAGAGCAAATTGGCAGATGTGAAAACATGATTTTTGACTTACCTGCAAAAGAGTAGGATGCCAGTTTCCCTTCTTGAGTGACTTGACATGTGATATGTGTCTTCCCAGACTTCTGTGGATGCTGCAGCACTCATCACACATCAACACCCCACGGTTCACAGAGGCCCAGCTGGGATCTGCAGCAACAATGCTAAAGTTATTAAATGTACCTGAACACATTTAGCCATTACAGGGTATAATGATTTTCCCATAATCCACACTATATACACAGTTTACAGAGAACCAGTTGGGATATGCACACAAAAGCTGCAGTCGATCCATTAACTAAAATTGTTCACAACCATTTCATATATTTAAATTAAGTAACTTACAGTACTGTATTATCTTATATAAACACTCTACTTTCCAGATAGTTTTAGATGGGTGGCAGTAAACCATCAATATGCTATCATCAACATCTCACATTACATGTTTGACCAGTAAGGGACTGTGTAGAAGTGCATTGTTATGGACCATCTAGTTTTAAAAACTAGCTTATTATGTTCAAATATCAGGTATTAGCGCATGGGTCCTTGTTTGAATATAAAATAACATCACAGTAGGAGTAAACTTGGGGACTTTAAAGGTTTATTTATTGCACAGTAAAAATGTGTTCCCTTGTGTCATGGTGCTGTAGTAGCGGAGTTTTAGCTATATAAGCTTTAGATATATCCCAAACATATATTATAATAATAATAATGGTAATTTGCTCTATGCACCAAAACAGTGGGTGCTATCCAAGACCGAGACAAGAGGCCCATTGAAAATGGAAGCAAAACCTGACATGATTCTTCACTTTCAATTTTTCTTCACATGGAAATGAATGGTTAAAGAAAACATAACAGTCTCCTCTACAAGGATTCAAAGAAGGAGATGGAATTACTACAGCTCAACTACACAACAAAAAGATGCAACTTGAGTCAGTGCTAAATCACATCGCTAACTTTAACACAGTTATCTTCAGCAGATCCACCATCAAAACTTCACCAAATTAAATATGTATACTATTTTTTGTGTAGCAATCCATCATATTAACTAATAATCAGCTATTGCATACTTTTTAGGATTTTGCACAAATAAAACCTGTATGCAGTAAGAGGTTGGAGGATGCCAGCTTTTGATACCATTTGTTTTAAGCTTATAGTGTATTACACATCACATAAATATCAAGATTTCTAGTGAATCAGTTAAATTGACCCTAGGTTCTCCATACAACAAGGGCAGTTATAAACCACCCATTTGACTTTAGCTCTCACAAAAGAGAATACACAAATATTTAACATGAAACAGCTTTTATACCCTATAAATTTGTAAATGAACAGGTGGACAATGCTACATTTTCTCAACTTTTGAAAATATTTACCTGAACAAGACAGACAGAATATCCAGTCACCTTCTTAACAGATTAAATTTGTAATGTTTCTATTAAATGTATCATGCTTTTCACATATTACTTTACACTTTAATATTATAATTTTACAATTATCATCCACTCTGTCCACAATGTCCTCCCACTGACCTGTAAGCAAATAACCAGACTTTTAAAATAGTCTAGTTTTCTGTTCACTTAAAATACAGAAGCATGTACATTATAATAAAAATTTTAGTATGAAAAAGGTGAACGTCTGGTACTGTTCATGGCATGTTATAATGTAGAAGTAATCTTTTTCTCCCTGTACTTTTTATACATTTGTCTACACCACAGTTTCAGTTTTAAATGCTTGTACCTTTGAAGATGAAACTGATAACGCATTCTATTATCACTGTAACCAAAAACTAAAGATAGAGTAAGGTGAATAGGCAGCTATGCCTTACTCTTACTTAACTATATCAGTATTAAGTAGGTTAAGGCAAGGCAACAAAATACCTAGAAAGCATCTGAATACAAAATAAAAATATCTGTATCAAGAAAAGGTGTCTACAATATAGTCATACTGATGTCTCCTGAAGACAGTTACAAAGAGCAGCACAGAATTAAATGCCCCCAGTTGGACATGGACAGGCTGTCCTACATATAATAGAAAGAAATAATTAACAATACTTGAAGAGTGTTTGTCAAATCAGTCGCCAGGAAAGAAATGCATTACTCAGAGTTAGCAAGAACTTCTGCACCCTGAAGTTATCAGTGGATATTCAAAAAACATAAGACCATTTTCGACTGATACATCAAAGATTGGAAAATAAAATATTAACACTGTGAATAGTAAGATGTATGTTCAATTTGCACATTGTAAGTTGAATGCAGTAAGCGCTCCCAATGCCACCTTTCTTTGTTGACAAATTATAGCAAGATCTGCACGCATTCAATTTTTTCTACAAACTTTTGAAGTCGTTCCTTAATTTGCACAAACCCATTCAATCTCTATGACACATTCAACCTAAGTAATAAATAATGAATCGATGACAGAGTGCACACCATCTGAAATTGATTAAAACACAGTGAGTCAGTATCGCTTTTCCCAACCAATTTTCACAGCAAGAAAGGACGGAGATGAATAATGCAGAAAAAAATGTCGCCTTAACTTTAATCAGTACGTACCTGGGGCTCCGCAATCGGAGCAGATCTCGCTCGGAGTTCTACCCTTTCCCCGGGACATGAAAGCACTGTTGCGCTGACATACAGGGGTGGAATGATAGTGCCGAATTCCAAATGGGTGTCAGACCCTGCAGTGACAATAAAGATGGTGGATGCGGAAGTTTTCCCGTTGTACGGGTATAAGTTTCGAATACCAAGAAATCGATCTTCCATCATGGATGTCACATTAGAAATACGTTATTTTTCTAAAATCATTTGCATATTATTTTGAGAATAGGAATATTTTACCTCACTTCCTCAAAATGTTTATTGTTAAACATATTTAGCAAAACGTGCAGCGAAACTGTATGCATAACAAGTACCTGAGCGATGATCTCATCCTATATGTCGTAAAATATGTTGATTTTATTTATTTTAAGTGTGTTTCATTGTATGTACCATGATTTTGTCGATTTTATCGTTAAATTTTTTAATGAATGTATCAAATATAACTCATTTGCTTATATAATTAAAGGGCTTGTACCTTCCACTCGAACGACAGAACCGTTGGATGGCAACAACAAACTTGGTTGACTGTCGAACATCCGTAAGGACATATACTTTTAGGTTTCATCACGCCTCTCTATGATTTTACATCTAATATGTCGGAAAAGTCTATAAGACAAGACTTTCCTATACACTGGCTTGTATGGCACAATGAATTCCGTAGCCTTGATCAAGAATTGAGTAAGAATGACACAGAGGTATGTAAAAAATTACGCCGAGATTTTTAGCCGCTAAATTATTCAAGTCAAGAGATTTCGGTCATGGCATTAAGCGAATCGGTGCCTTTTTTAAGTGCGCGAATCTCTTTTAAATAACCAAGGAATGCTTTATGTATGTTTCAGTAAGAAATGGTAAATATGTAGGCTATTTAATCGTTTTCTCTTAAAGCGCTGACTTAATAGATTTAAGCCACAGATTTTTTACTTTTGCTTTCCACTTGGTTCATATAGCAACCTAAAATAACGTGAAATAAACAGAAGGTTCAGTGCACAATCAAGTGTTCAGATCATGCATTGACTAAAATTGACATCATATATATATATATATATATATATATATATATATATATATATATATATATATATATATATATATATATATGTATCATTCACTGTTGTAAACATTGCATTCAGATTTAAACATGTTCACAAGTAAAATCCAACTAACAGCAAGCAAATTAATATTAACAAGACACATTCTTTATTTTAGATTCATCTAGAAAAATTAGACCCTAGAGGTCGTACTCCACTTCATCTTTCTGTGACTTTGGGTCATATAGAAAGTGCCCGAGTACTGCTGAGGAAAGGGGCAAATGCAAATGCTGAAAATAAACAGAATTGGACTGGTATGCTGCTGTTCCTTTGAGCGTGCTAGTAGCTGTTTTGGTTAAAGAAAAAAAACGTTTTGTATAGTCAATTATATCTACAAATTGTGTGGTACGTCTGCATTTTAATGATTGTTTAGTTATCTGTGTTTACAGGCCCGTAGCCAGCAATTTTAAAAGGGGGGTTCTTTTTCTGAAAAAGAGGACCTTTTTCCATAAAAACTTCATGTACCTAGATCAAATTTTACCCAGAGTGGACCTTTTCCCAGCAAAAAGGGCGGTTCTTTTGAACCCCCCGAACCCCCCCTGGCTACGGGCCTGGTTTATATTGTATGAAAACAGTCTATGTATTTGCATATTTAATGAATCAGTCAAAGAATCTTGACATATTTTCAGCCGAAACACAGTACCTTCCACTTGATATTGTGAATGTTTATATTTATATACCAGCAACTCAAAAATCATATTTTTAAAAGTACTTCAAGAAGCAGTAAGTACAGGGGATCCAGAACTAGTTCAGTTGATTCTCCAGCACAGGGACTTCCAAAGATTTACAACCAGGACAGAAGGAATTCCTGGGCTTCTTGAGACACTAAAAGAGGTACACATGTATTTTAAAATGCTTAGATGCAATGAAGACTACAGTTGTCAACTTGCTTTTGAAACCACATGCACACACGCACAAAACAAAGAATAATGGATATTTGGCTACAGGTGGTCTTCTTTTTCTGAATGAAAGTGACAGCCTGATTTATATTTTAGATTATATCCTTTCAAATACAGCAATATCAAATATAGCTCTATACCAATTATCTGTAACAATTGTTGAAATTATTGGTATTTCCTTATCAATTGTATTTATATATTCAATTTTTTAGTCCAATTAATATGTCTTTAGCTTTAATTATTCATTTCAAATTTTTTCAGGCTCCAGACTTTTATGTAGAGATGAGGTGGGAATTTGCAAGCTGGGGTGAGTAATGAGTTGCCATCTGTTTATTTGTTTGTTTTTTTAATATACACATTAATACATTATCGTCATAAGAGTATATCCTGTGACCCAGATTTTTTGTAGACTTGTACTGAAATTGTTTGTTGTTCTTCAGATTTCATATATTTTATCATCAATTTCAGTACCCCTAGTATCTCGCATGTGCCCGAGTGACACATACAAAGTATATAAAAGTGGTAAGTAACACAGGAAGTATTTCCATTTTAAATAATGAACTTGTACTGAGGTGTTTACTGAGTTTGATAAGGTACATAAACTTTATACATGTGTTTGTTAGTGAAAAGCATGTCTGGTATTTCCACTTTTCTTCTATAGGTGCTAATGTGCGCATAGACACAACCCTTCTGGGTTTTGATAACATGAGCTGGCAGAGAGGCAGTCGCAGCTTTATATTTAGAGGACAGCGTAAGTGTCAAATATTTTCGGTTTCATGTTGATCAGACCTGTATTAATTTTATTAAGATACACAAGTGTTTTTTATGCTTATTACTAGCCAATTTCACCATTTTCCATTTTATCAAAATTCAAGATGTGCAAGAATTAGAGGCTTATTTTCCATGTACTTGGTAAAGTCTGACATGGCATTTTATCCTTACCAATGTTATCTAATGATTTTGAAATTTTTTTGCTTAGATGATTTTGGATTTTGTTTTCATGTAATCTTATTGTAGACAATGAAGCCACAGTAATGGAGGTGGACCATGACATCCGTCAGGTGTACACGGAGACCATGCGTGTGCTGCCATCCCCTCCAGACCCCACTGCATTGACCCCCTCAGAGGACGCCGTGGTGTCTAGACTGACCTCTCCTATAGTCACCACTTACTTAGATACTCACAAGATTGCTTTTGAGAGAAATAAAACTGGAATTTGGGGCTGGAGGAGTGATAAAGTGGAAAATGTTAATGGTTATGAATGCAAGGTAAATAGTAGAATTTACTGAAATCAGGATTTTTGATTTATATATATATATTTTTTTTACCATTGATTATTAGAAAATTTATACCTTTGCAGTGCATTTTCAACCTTCTTTGAACCTTAACAGTCCAGTTTATGAAAACCCAAGATATATTTTCATTCAGAATTTGTAACATGTGTTACAAATTTTGTCTGTATAAAAAATCCTTCAGATGAAACATTGTTAATCTTGTTACAGCATTGAAATTCATGTGGTAGGTTATTCTGCCCTGATGTCAAGTTATAGCCACCAATGTAAAAAAAAACTTTGTAATATCTAAAAACAGTTTAAATCAGTAGAATATTACAGTGGTTTAACTGAACTATTACAATTTCTCCTCAGGTCTTTAGTGCCACTAATGTAGAGGTCTTGACTAAGACAAGAACAGAACACTTGACTGAAGAAGACAAGAAGGAAACCAAAAAGCTGAGTAGAACGCCACTAGAATCCTTTCTAGGCATGGCTGAGATAGAGAATAGTAAAGCACAGGGGGCTACAAATGGGGTAAGGGTGTGTGTGTCATCTATAATGACATTTAAAAATATGACTTGAATTTTCTTACTCATGTTTATTGGGTTGACTGTCACTATATTACAGGTAAAATGTATATACCCTGTTTAATTGTGCACCTAAATGCCCAAATAGATCATAAAAGATTGGTTTAACAATATTTGATTGAGCTTTTTCATCATCGTGCAGGCCATGTTTGGTTACATCAAAATTATATTTTTCATTTTCACTTTGGGAAATTACACATTTAATACGTCATAAAAATAATCTTTTTTTTTAATTTCAAATTGATGTCTGTGATTGTTTCAGGATGTGACAACACAGAGTAACAACCCGTGCTCTATATCTCCCCTTGAGTATTTTAATTCCATGATAGATCTACAAGGAAAAGACATAGGCAGACCAAAGGAGCAAAGTGTCAAAGTGCAGAAATTTAAAGTATGTTATGAAATTCTTCAACAACACCAGCAGGAATGCATTATTAGAAATTCCATTTTTAGTCATTTATTTCTAAAACATTCTGTTTTAGAGAAAAATCCTAACAAGTATCATGGGGAACAGAGATTTATATTATATTTCTCAAGTTGAGGAATACTAAACCTACTGAAATAAAAATTGGAAGTGAATTGGAAAATCTTTGAAGAATTGAAAAAGATCTAAATTTTAAAATCAGGTTATAGTAATTGATACAGGAATTTTTATTATTTTTTAAAACTTCTTTTATCTTTTAAATTATTCTTATATATTGTTAGTAATTTTTAGATTCATAATTTAAGACTTTCATTAGCAATTTGTTAATTTTAGCTCTTGATTTGTAAGGCACAATAAGATTTTCATGGAATGCGCCATATAAAAATAATTTATTACTAATGTTAGTGTAGCATATATAGTATTAGGTTAACTTTTATTATGATTGATGTTTCATATTACATGGTGCCTAAGGAAGTTGCACATTGGATGTAAAGATTTGGTTTTGAAAATTAAGATCTTCCATATAACATATAACATTGATGTTTCAACTGCTGTGATTTCATTACTTACTTATTTCCTTTTTATTTTCTGTTATTGAATTACAGGCCACACTGTCCTTGTGCGAGTCGTTCCCATTGTCTCTACAGGAGCAAGTTGTGCCCATCATTGATATAATGGCACAAAATAATGCACATTTTAAGAAACTCAAAGACTTCATTACATTGACACTTCCTGCAGGGTTCCCAGTCAAAATAGGTAAGCTGCAGTTGATCATGTTCTGAAAGTTTTCATATCTTCACAAGAAACAAGACTTACTACTTAGACAAGATGTGACAGGTATATGTTCATAATTGTTTTAAAAAAGAATTGTAAAAAGTAGGATAATGATTAGTATACATTGAGTAAAACGCATGTCTACCATTTCACTGATTTTGTTATGATAGTATCCTTTTTTTGCTTACAGAGATTCCTCTGTTCCATGTGTTAAATGCGAAGATTACCTTTGGTAACATCTATGCCAACACAGAGGCAGTTCCTGGTGTAACGTCCATAAAAGATACCAGTCCCATGACTTGTGTTGTAGATGAAAGTGTGTTTGATGTACCCCCTGGCTATGTCATTCAAGGTAGGGCTCTGGTTAAATGGTTAGAAATCTAAAAAGTGACTGCAAACAACAGCATTGATTTATATGAGACTTAAAGGTTGGGGGATATGAAAGGTTTCTCTTTTGAGCTGCTCTCTGCACCTTCAGTGTATGGTCACTTCACAGTTTAAAGTCATAATAACTCTTCGTTTTGGCCAAAAATAGGATTTTCCTGGCGTAAACGGCAATTTTCCCGTACTTACCAATGGTCAACGACCCCATTCCTGCATTCAAAGTTAGTCTAGGGTTTTTTTCCTAAACACTTGGTTTTTTGTTAAAATCTCTTAAGAGATTTTAACTGACTTTAATCTCTTAAGAGATTTTAACTGACGGAGCCCTCTCTGACATTGAATAGTCACGCGATATCGAGCAGGGTTTTGTGATGACCTACTTAAAACCGTGGGAAAAGCAGACAACAACAACACTTTATTACAATAAAATAAGATTCATACAATATAATCGTCTTATTGCTCAGAATGCATTTATATCTACAACGTGTGCAGTTCTGGGCTTTTTGTTATCCCACACACTGTACAAAAACTTGCATTTTACGTCTGAGGATTGTTTCATGTGCCTGCTATATCATATCCCACCACATGTTATTTTGGTCTCGAATGCACGCGAGAATCCGCATGATGCGCCAACATCCTTGGCAACGGATGCCTTGACGACCGGGAAGAAAGGCACCGAAAGCCCTATTGACAAGCACAGTTTTTAGTTTTAATACAATAACAGCCGTTTTAGTGGTGAAATGCAATATAATATATTTCCATGTGTTGTTTAGAATGTATTTCTTGTGGCATTTTGAATCTCAAAGGAAGAGTTATTATTGCTTTAATATAGCTGTAGATTTACAAGGAGTCAACATTATAATGTGTGCAATTGTGCCTGCACTCTGAATGCATGTGTGTGTTAAAGTAAGAGAAAGACTGCAGATATCATCAGCTCAATGTAATACTGCTGTTTCCAGGAGAAGGACACATGGACAACAGATATCAAGATGAAGATGATGCTTTGTTGCAGTTTGCAATTCAACAGAGTTTATTAGAATCAGGTTCAGAAAATGATCAGGTAGTAAGAGTAGAGCATTTTTCACATTGATTATATTTATTGTACCACCAGCGTTAGCGCTGGCGGTACACATGGTTTCGGTCTCGTCCGGATCGTTCCGCCGGCTCCGCCGGACGGCTGCTGNTAGCTTATATTATATTATTTCAAATTGATGTCTGTGATTGTTTCAGGATGTGACAACACAGAGTAACAACCCATGCTCTATATCTCCCCTTGAGTATTTTAATTCCATGATAGATCTACAAGGAAAAGACATAGGCAGACCAAAGGAGCAAAGTGTCAAAGTGCAGAAATTTAAAGTATGTTACGAAATTCTTCAACAACACCAGCAGGGATGCATTATTAGAAATTCCATTTTTAGTCATTTATTTCTAAAACATTTTGTTTTAGTGAAAAATTCTAACAAGTATCATGGGGAACAGAGATTTACATTATATTTCTCAAGTTGAGGAATACTAAACCTACTGAAAAATTGGAGGTGAATTGGAAAATCTTTGAAGAATTGAAAAAGATCTAAAGTTTAAAATCATGTTATAGTAATTGATACAGGAATTTTTATTATTTTTTAAAACTTTTATCTTATAAATTATTCTTATATATTGTTAATAATTTTTAGATTCATAATTTAAGACTTTCAATTAGCAATTTGTTAATTTTAGCTCTTGATTTGTAAGGCACAGTGAGATTTTTAACAAATGCGCCATATAAAAATAATTTATTGCTATTGTTAGTGTAGCATATATAGTATTAGGTTAACTTTAATTATGAATTGATGTTTCATATTACATGGTGCCTAAGGAAGTTGCACATTGGATGTAAATATTTGGTTTTGAAAATTAAGATATTCCATATAACATAACTTTTTCTATCAACATGATTTTTCCTATCATTGATGTTTCAACTGCTGTGATTTCATTACTTATTTCCTTTTTATTTTTTGTTATTGAATTACAGGCCACACTGTCCTTGTGTGAGTCATTCCCATTGTCTCTACAGGAGCAAGTTGTGCCCATCATTGATATAATGGCACAAAATAATGCACATTTTAAGAAACTCAAAGACTTCATTACATTGACACTTCCTGCAGGGTTCCCAGTCAAAATAGGTAAGCTGCAGTTGATCATGTTCTGAAAGTTTTCATATCTTCAAAAGAAACAAGACTTACTACTTAGACAAGATGTGACAGGTATATGTTCATAATTGTTTAAAAAAAGAGTTGTAAAAATAGGATTATAATTAGTATACATTGAGTAAAATGCAAGTCTACCAATTCACTGATTTTGTTATGAGAGCATCCCTTTTCACTTACAGAGATTCCTCTGTTCCATGTGTTAAATGCGAAGATTACCTTTGGTAACATCTATGCCAACACAGAGGCAGTTCCTGGTGTAACGTCCATAAAAGATACCAGTCCCATGACTTGTGTTGTAGATGAAAGTATGTTTGATGTACCCCCTGGCTATGTCATTCAAGGTAGGACTCTGTATACACTGTATTCAGATTTTCACTTAGCTTGAATGGTTGTAAATCTAAAAAGTGACCACTAACAGCAGCATTGATTTATATGAGACTTAAAAGTTGGGGGATATGAAAGGTTTCTTTTTTGAGCTGCTCTCTGCACCTTCAGTGTATGGTCACATCACAGTTTAATATAGCTGTAGATTTACAAGGAGTCAACATTATAATGTGTGCAATTGTGCCTGCACTCTGAATGCATGTGTGTGTTAAAGTAAGAGAAAGACTGAAGATATCATTGGTTCAGTGTAATACTGCTGTTTCCAGGAGAAGGACACATGGACAACAGATATCAAGATGAAGATGATGCCTTGTTGCAGTTTGCAATTCAACAGAGTTTATTAGAATCAGGTTCAGAAAATGATCAGGTAGTAAGAGTAGAGCATTTTTCACATTGATTATGTTTATTCATCCATTTTTTACTTCTCTTAAAATGGTACATTGCTAGATATTCAAAAGCAGTGGGCAAGCTTTTAGTATTCCTTTAATTTTTGTTTATTATTGTTATTGTTATTATTTTTTATATTCAATTGTGACTTTCATGTGACTTAAATGTTTGATACAGGTGTTAGATACTGTGATAGGCAGCATTATGCTTTAGTAACTGTTTGTAGGTAACTTTCTATGAAGCCTTAATGAAGAGCCCCCCTGGCCCTACAGCTGGTTATAAAACTCTGGAAGAAAGACAACTGCAAAGGTTTGTATTTCTCCTGTTGTGTTTATTCTTTTAGTAACTTTTGTTCAACTTCTGTAATAGATAAAATTGAAAATAATTTGGTGATGGATGTTGTATATGTGTAAGCTTCAATCATTCAACTGTTTCTGTTATTCCAATATTTAAGATATTTTAAATGGAAATTGTTGATTTTTCAGAGCCCTTGCTGCAAGTCTATCTATCAGTCACCAACCAGGGGAATCTTTAAGCCAGGATTCTGTGCCAGAGGAGGACATATGTAGACCGTACCCCAGAACACAGGTATGAGATCAATTTATTGATTTATTTATTTTTGTAAGAGAAGGTCCTGAGTCACGTAGCAATAACTGTGTTTTTTTTGCTCAATGTCTCCTATTTTATTTAAAAACAGATTTGAAAGTGTGGTTGTGTATTTTGCAAATATTCACTCTTCATTTCTTCAAAATGAGTTTCAAAATTTGTCAGAAAGTTTCCTAAGACAAACATGGTATTGAACAATCATGCTTTATACAGGGAAGATATTAAAGAGTTGTTGTTTAACAATCCAGCCTGAAGACCCTATGGACCAGCAGCTACGCCTAGCCCTAGAAATGTCCCAGAAGCAACAGGCTGAGGATGAGAGGAGAAGAATGCAAGAAGACGAGGAGCTACAAAGAATACTACAGCTGTCCATGACTGAAAAATGAAACTCATAACTTATACATGTACAGAAAGTTGTGTTGGTAAGAGATGATTAACTAAATGCTTTGGAACAAGGTGACAGTTGCAACTTGGCTAGAGCATGTTTGGATGGTTTAAAAATGCTTATCCTGGACTTGGAGGAAAATGCTGCTGATAAAAGAACAGAAACTTTATTTATTTGTGATTTACTGTTTCTCTTGAATTTGCAGCAGAAGTAAAGCTGGTCATTGGAAATAGCAGTCGGTAATGATGAAGATCTGCCAGAAGCTGTAGTGCAATATTTCACATTATGAAAGTGGTAAAAGCCATAAATAACGAGTGTTCCAGAGTAGAAAAAATCAACTTGTTTGCATGAATTGACAGTCTGTGTCCTTAATGCTTTTGAAGTTACAACGTAAATCAACTTTCATTTACCACATCAGAATAAGAAGTAAATTATTGTACAAAAATTTGTGATATTTAGACATTTTATTGATGGAATGTTGAATGCTGCTAAAAAAAGGGAACTAAGGAGGAGAGAGACATGAAAGGAACCATATCAACCGCATATAATCCAGAATATGTTGTCAAATGAGTATTCTTATTGTAGATCAGTAAATGTAGATGGCATTATCTAATCCATACACTGACATTGCACTTCAAATTATTAATGTTAATCAGCCTGGCAACCTTCAACATGCACTTAAGGTTGAAATTTATACCAAAATAACATATTCTAGGGAGGCACAATATCCCTATGATGCCCAAATATAGGTATGAGTATCCGCATCTAGCACAATAAATGTAAACACTTCTCTGTCTTCCCATTACTTTTGATGGGGGAATAGGGGCTGCCATAGCATGCAAAGGGAAACAGAATTGAAGACCACAAGGTTACCTGCAACATTTTAATAACATAGCATGAATGCATACATACAGTACCTGTTGATTGTGACCAGGCCCTGATGTCTGTAGGTGTAATGTGCCATAAAATAAAGTAAAATGTGATCATCTTTACATTCGTGTTTAATCATTTGATATATTCGACTTGATTGTAAATATGCTAAACTGTAATGAACTCTTGATACGAAATATGAATTTTCAATTAATTAAGTAATCAAAAGCAATAACATTCTTTTTTTTTAACTCTACAAACAACTTGAATTTTGCGTCGGAAGGCAAATTAAATGCACACTATAATCGGGGCATTCAGTAGCTCAGCACTTTGGCCATATTTTATGGGAATATGAGGAACGAATTTTGAGCAAGAACATTACTCTGTGCATATATTATTTTAAGTGTACTTCCTGTCTTTAAGAAAAGAGACCAAATGTCAGTATTACTTACCTACTCAATGCACTACTCACTCAACGTGTTAATTCCACTGATATGTGCACACTTACCTGTCCGTCAGCGGTGTTTGATTCACGTTTTCTGCGGTAAACAATGATTGCCCTTGACGGCGTTGGAAGATATTCAGGACGAGTCGCCTGCGCTGAGATAACTTAGAGTTCGTAAAATCGTGATTTTTATAACCCTAGGCTAGCGTCAATTCAAAAATTGTGTTGTATTACATGCGTAAGTGCCCTGTGAAAACTTATGATACAACGACAGAATTTATTATGCGTCCATTAATGTGGGTTTTATCTAGAAACGACCCTTAGACTATTTTTGAACTTATATAAAAAAGGAAAAATAAACAAACCAGGCCTGTAGCCAGCAATTTGAAATGTGGGGGGGGGGGTCGTTTTCTGAAAAAATGGACCTTTTACCATAAAACCTTCATGTATCTAGATCAAATTTTATCCAGAGTGGACCTTTTCCCAGCAAAAAGGATCGTTCTTTCGAACCCCTCGAACCCCTACCCCTGGCTACGGGCCTGCAAACTATACTTCTACCCTCTAGTACCATTTCGGTTTATAATTAAGTTCTAAAATCGCCTCCGTATTTCTTTTACATTTTTGCAGGTTTGAGCAGGTCTTTTATACTATTAGCAAAATTGTACACTATGTGTGCTCGTCAAATAACAGCTCAATGCGCTTGAATTTATTTTCAATGGGTTTAATTTCGTTAGTAGGCCTATGGTTTTTGAAGTTGGCCATCGCAAAACGACATGACGCGGACTCGTTTAAACGTTTCTAAATTACTACCCATAACTTCATGGATTTAGTAGTGGGCGAGGTCAATTTAAATCTAAGACAGCTGACTGTCAGAATATAACTGTGCTGGAGAGGTGGAAATAAAGAAGTTAACACACGTGATCTAAAGCTCGAGGTAAACGAGATCCATTCATGCTCTGATTAATTTTATCAGGACTGGCCTCAAGATAACCTATGAAATAAAATTAGTATGTGATCAATATCAATTTTTTAGTACTATAATTCAGATGTTATGTAGGCCTGTCATCTATGCCAATATCTCTGTAAAGTTATAAAGAAGATTTTACACATTAATTACAAAATATAAGCTTGTTCGATAAATAAGGTAGGCTACAATGGAGATGTGAGACTGAAATCTTCCTTACCAGCCTCAGCACCTCACTGACTTTAACTGTAACTCGTTTTTATTTCTGACAGGATTCATAAAGTGAGCGTACGTTACATGACAACTGCTAAGTCGAGGTTTGGGAAAGTTATTTACCAACACCGGGAAAGAGAGGGGTGCGGCTTGTCGATCTATTGACTTTTGAGTGATAAATTTCGATGTCCGTTTCGAAAGAACAAAAGCTGGACCCCGACCTTGTGTATAGCACCAAATATATCGTTAGTTCTGTCCACACTGCTCTCGTGTATCTGTATATCTTTCTATCTTTATAGATAGACAGATAGATAGATAGATAGATAGATAGATATCGGTATCCGTAAAAATTATGACTTGAAATGAGTAATGGCAAAATTTTCTCCACTGTCTGTAAAGTTATTAAGATATGGTGACGACGTTAATGTAGGTAATATTAGCGTAACAGGTCTATATTGAGATGTTAGCATTACTATGTTATAAACTCAATCGCCCACAGATATCGATCTCGCTTTGAACATGCCGTGCAGTATCCGATAAACATTTGCAAAATTGTGCTTGCACATTATCATAAATGCATTTAGGATATTGTGACTTAATATCAATGTCCAGAAAAAATAGCATTTTCGAATGAATTATTCCTTCGGGAATTGAGTAAATAGCATTTCTAAAACATCAAAAAATATACCCTCGGCCTTAGAATAAAGATCAACAGTTTCAATATACTGAGTCAGACAGTGACGACTTTGAAAGGTGTATGGTCCTATATGTTCACCTGAATATAGCTTTCATTGCTTTAAAAGGTGGGGTATCTACGCGTGACCTTGTTGGGATCAGATTCCGGGCACGTCTCTAACGAGTATGTAGAATACTACTCAGCGCTCAGTATTTGAATAAGGACAGGTAAATAATGTTTGTTGAAGTATAATAAAGTTTGAGTTTACAGCACAGTTTGTTCAGACTATGTCTGGAAGCATGTGTTAATCACCAAAATGCTTATCTATGCTTTTTGCTGAAGAATACGAAGAATAAGACCTAGTAGTTGAGATGCCAGATCAGTCATGGATACCACTTCAGCTGGGACATACATGCGACGCAAGAAAATGGAGTGGTTTGATGCGTGTGATGTGTGTTTGACGAAGCCATTACCTTATATGTATGCAGGGATTATTTTAATAGTGAAAACTTTGATAGAAGAAACAATTGCTCTCTTGTCTGACTGCAAGACAACTCGGATATGCTGGTATGAAGCGTTAGATTGGGATAAAAAGACTGTTCTTGGATTTTCTTTATGGGGCATGTGTGAGCTGAACACCAACGTATCTCAGGAAAGTACTTGTCAGCGCCTAGAAGCATTCAGTAAGTTTTAAAGAAACAAACATATTACGAGCTCTGTCTCTCTCTCTCTCTCTCTCGACTAAAGACCCTAATCAAAGAAAAATAATGACCATTGCATTTCACGCACAGCGTTATTAATTAAGGTACTGCATACGGGACACCTTGTTCTATATCTATAGACACATTGACTTGCTGTTTCAAAAGAACTAGGTTATCTAGATACTCCTCAAAAGACGTAAAAATCTTCGATTGAGCCACATGAAAAAAAATCTTATAATGCCCACTTAAATAACCTCAAAATACTCCCACACGTTGTTGACATTAACACAAACAGAAATAAAATCAAGTGCACTTTAACAGGATACTGAATTTACACATTAGACTATACGAATACATTTATTATATTTATGACTAACGACAGGATCAAAACTAACGAGGTTAAAAGCAGCCAGATGCATATCTGATATTAATATCCGTAAAATGATTGTCAAATGTTCAGTTAACCAAAACAAAGAAAGGTGAACATATGGCCAAAATCTTAAATTTGATCATTCCAGAGTGGGGTTTTGTCAGCTGTTAACGCGAGACATGCAGTACATTTACGGTGCAAAACTGGTATATTGTATATTGTTTTGATGATGAATGAAATTAATGCAAAGCGCAAATGTCAAAATTCTAGGAAAATAATGGTTATATTACATGGATGCAAGCAAGTTGTAGGGAGCGACATATTTAACACAAGACAAAACACAGGTCTATTAGAAATTTACTTTTCTACTTTTAAATTTACAGAACGGCTGCCACTAATCCAAGGATTCCATGTGGTTTCAACATTACTGTTATTGACAAGTTTAATACTTTTGTCAGCAATTGTGGTCAAAATGGTGCGAATTGTTCCTAGTCTTGAGTATCGATACCCCCCAGCAGTCACGTTGTGTCTAATCGGAGTCACCATGGTTCTGTTTATATCAAGTAAGAAACACAATAAATGTTGTTCATTTAGATTTTCTGTGAAGAAGAGATAATCTAATTTATCTATCAGTAAACCCCTAGACTAGCTTTGTCATGTAATGGGTGTAATGTTTTTTAATTTGAACAAACACCATACGTGTTTTCATTATCTATCATAAAAACTTATTTATTCCTTTCTACATAGGATCCATATTAAAAGTAATATTATTTCACGTCGATAACCTTAAAAGGTTGACTGTTGATGTGTGACTTAAAGCAGTATCTGCCCGTTTCAGGTATTTTTCAAATCTCAGCTATCGCAGTCTACAACAGCAATGTGGGAGATGTAAAGCGACTGGCCAGTGAACCCTACCTCTCCCAGGGCATGGCGTTCACGCTCTCGGTGTTGTCATCGGCGTTTTCCTTATTGGCGGTTTCAGCCGTTTTGATGGGTGCTCTTCTTACACGAAGTTCACAACCAGCGCTAACTGAACAAGAGTGGGAATGACAGGAAAAGTTAATTTATTCTATTTCAGTTTACACGTGGATATTTTTTATAGATCTATATCCTTTTGATATAGATATCAACTTACTAAATATGAGGCTGTGTTTTGATGTCGTAGGCAGTGATGTATATTATATTTGTCATGCTAAAGACGACGATTAACAAGATTATTTATTTTCATGTATGTATTTTTAATTCTCCCCTTTTCCATCACGTCACAAGCTGTGATATCAGCTCTCATGATCGGCAACTTTAGGTCATATCGCACACATTATCACTTCCGTGCAGCTGGGTCGTGAACTGAACTTTTCATTAGAAATGATATCTACTTGAACAAACCTGCCCTTACCTGATCGTTGTAAATATCACCAGATTGTATTAATCAATACGTAAACTAGTGAAAGGTTAAATTCGGTGGGAAAGGTGTCGTTCAGTTGACGAGAAATCGTTTACATACGTAATTGAAATTTAGAATATGTTTTGGTTCCAATCCTGAAAATGGGTATGTATCATTTTTATCCGAAAAGAAACGTTTTTAAAATTTGGCTCATCCACAATCGTCCTCAAACATGAGTATGATAATAAAATCTTAACATAATAGTAGCTTGTCCTAGATTGATTTGTCAGTACTTAACAAAAGTATTACTCGAGAACATTTGGAGCGACGAAAATTATACGACTTTAGTTTAATTCTTTAATAAATTTGAACAGCGTCACCCTTTGAGCAATTAAATGGTTTATGTTATGAAACAATTTCGTGATTGTATCAATTATCAAAAATTGGGTTGGCATCAGTTCATCAGCATACTGGAATTTGCTTGCCTGATTCACACCAACTGTCATCAGTTCATTGAAAGGACAAACGAAGGACGTAGACGATCAGTGAACAAAAACACACAACGCTACCAAAGTCATACCAAGGACGATTCATGGAATAGTACACAGACATGAGATCACATTAGGTGAGTTAACAGTCACAGAGGAGACGTTATACCTTCACTATCATTAGTGTTATGACCACGTCTGAACTTGGAAGCCAAGGGCGCGCGGGTTCACGGACAATTTACTGGAATGGATACCGACTTTCCACGTGGAAAAGTACTGGGGCGATCAAACCAAGACGTTTGAAGGATATGTTGTTTATTCCATCCAATTTGTGCGTGTTTTTATCCGTTTATTCAATGCCAGTGAAAACAGTGATGCGTTCCGAAGACTGTCCACTGTTCAAGAGGAATAAGAGCAAACAGCACCCAAATATCACGTTGTAAAATGTCGTTCACGAGTCAAGGACCTGCCTGAATATGAAGCTATCTGTTATGATTCAGATAACAATAAGTGAAAAATAATCGCTAGTCACATAATCAGAAATATTGTAGTATACGCTTTATTTTTGTTTTACTTCAAGTAAGGAATATTTTTGCAGTTATGAAATCACTTGCAGGAGCGGTAAAATGATGCAATGATTTTACATTTCAGAAATTTTAAGAAGTTTGCTGATAGTTATAACTCAAAATAAATCAAAAGTTTTGAAATAACCCTATCACTTTTTAACTGTTTATTTCCTTCCATATTTGAGGGTACTATGATATAAATCATTGAAAATTATGGGACAATGAAAAATGTGCAAATATCTCTTAAATATGTGCTTCACAGATTTGACACAGATATTCACTTTTTTGTGGAATGACCCGAGTTCAAACATGTACACCATGTTATGTGCATCCCCAATACACAACTATTGCTACCAAAAACGTATTTGTTAGAGGTAAAATAAAAGAAATAACAAATACTACTACTGACAGCAAAGTATTTATTTTAAAAACAAATTTCAGTGAAAAAAAGTTTCTTTGACCAAGGAGTTCTGTGTATACAACTTCTTGCTTTGAAATATTTCTTAGGGGCTTTGTACATGTACCTTGGGTAGTAGTCATAAAACCATGGCTACCAAGTGAAAAAATGTGACTACACATTATCCATTCAAAGAATTCTTATCCACGATATCCCGGGTGACTTAATACTTACAGTAGTAGCAATTTTGGGGCAAAAATGTCATTTTCAGTTTTTCAGTTGCCTCAATCGACAGAGCATCTATCAAGATAACTCCTGCAGAATTGTGTAGCAATGAAAAAGGACTACAGAACAGTACATGTATCTCAACTTCATTTTGCAGATGTGGATCAATTTTATCAACTAGACAGCAAAGCTGGCAAATATACAGACACCATACAAGTAACAAGGCAGCAAAGCTGACAAATGTTTAGACATTACACACAAAAAGTGCACCAAATAATGTTTTGGCCAATTTTGATGCATGTGCATGTTGGATGGTGCTTTAAAACAGCATAATCACTCTTACCCTATTACATTATGTACTACAGGTAACATGGACATTGGAAGTTTGAAAGTTATGGGGCAAATGTCACCAAAATTATGCAAAAAAAAAAAAAAAAGAATAATTACCATAAATGTAAACCGATCATACCAATTTTCCAAAGCAACCTGCTTCTTTGCCAAACAAAGCCACTCATTAAATTTAAATTAAAACAAAAGTACGGTTTGACAGTTATGGGGCAAGCATCGCCAAAATTGTGCACATAAAACAGAATAATTACCGAAAATGTAAACCTATTGTGCCAATTTTCCAAAGCAACCTGCCTCTTTAACAAACAAAGCTCAGTAAATTTAAAATAAAACAAAAATACGGTTTGGCAGTTACGGGGCAAACGTCATGTGTGGGTGACGGCGATGACAAGGACAGACAGATCAATCAGAATATATACATACACTTACAGTGTATGTATTTAAAAATGAAAAATAAGACATCCAAGTACATTTAATACATAAAAAAAGATTTAAACTGAAATGTTTCAACCTAAAATGTAAAGTTGCTAGCCCTATATGCATAGGAACCAAAATCAGTAAGTTAAACTAAGTTACCATCATTATATACATATGACCTAAGAAAACAGCAGAATTTCATCATTATGAACAACAAAACACTATGTTTATGTAAACATACCTGTATGTAAATATGTAGGTTAATATAAATACAGCTAGTTTTATTACACAATCACTGCTAAAATTTATTGGACTTAATCTCCTCTGTAAAAGGAATAATATTTAACACTTGCAGTTCAATCTGACTAGTGCCAATGGTAGTTCACTGTAAAGTAACATCTTGCCTGCATGAGCTCATCTTTCTAATAATTCTAAAATTTATAAATATACATTTGTGAATGTGTTTTACTTCAGCCAAAAATACTAGCATAGCTAACATCAGTGCACAAGTTAATAAGAAGACTGTGCTATGTTAGTAATCTGGTGGTTTTATCTTGTGGGAGAGACAGCCAATCATGAAACCCTTTCTGAACAATAATTTACACTGCACTTATACTAAAATTGATCAGTAGAAAAACTATCCACTATATATAAAAAACTATTTTTTGGGGGGGGTGGGGGGTGGGGGGTTATTCATTAAGACATTAAAATGAGACCAAGATGACACATTTCTAAACTAACACAAGACTTCAAGTGCCAAATTTATTAGTTGACATATTTTGTTCAGAAGTTTGTGAAACACAGGCAGAGGGCATTTCCCCACCAGAGAGAGCTCAATGTCTATGTTGGTGTGCAAATACATATCAAGGTCTTCAAGCATATTTCACTGAAAGTGATTGGAATCTGAAGGATTTGACTAGACAGGACTGCATCTGCAAATAGACAGACCAACACCTGTTTAAAATATGCTCCCTCCAACTTTGTTAGAGCAAGAGGGGAGGGGGTGGTAACACTGCATGGAAAAGGATGACTTTATTGAATATCTACAAACTATGTTTTCCTTATCAGCATTTTACATTGCATGAATAAACAGCGACAAATTGGCTAAACCTGGCCATCATTAATACCAAAATACAAATGAATACAGAAATATATGTGGTGATAAAAATTCACCTCACCGGTAATATTTTGAGGTAGAATGTTACTGGACGTATTTGAAATGTCCTTTCAGTTTGACTGGAGTCAAATCTTCAGTATCAGGAAGTAACAAAGGTGACAATATAAATTTCATCTTAAAATGTGATATATTAAAATAAGGAATGGTTTGGATCTTCTACACAGAAAAAATATACAAAGTGTATTTAAATAAATAAATAAATAAATAAATAAATAAATAAATAAATAAATATAAAATGCACTGGCAAATATACAAAAGTATAACTGTCTAACACTTAGTAAAAGTTTGTGTGATTTTGGTTTTTAGTTTACAACCAACCTATCTATCAACACAAGCTAAGATAGTGTTCTATGATTATATCTGAAATATACTAAAAAAAACTTTCAATTTACAGGCTGCTGACTGCAGAGATTCAATAAATTCTGGAGTAGTTTTCTCTGTCCATATCTAACGTATAAGGAGTACTGTTGCCTGGGCGTCAGGTTTTCAAAATTCTCCAGTTTCAGCAACAGCTCATCCTCCTTCATGCTGGAGTGATACAGTTTCAGCACCTCTTTAGCTGCCCTGTAAATGTTAAATTAAGTTAAGGATTTTAAATATGCATATTTCATTACTGCAGCCAGTATCCAACCCTTTTCAGTCTCAATCTTTTATTTAACAAATTAACAGTAATGGCGATAACTGCTGTATTCCAACTTTTTATAAACTTGTGCTGAAGTTTTTTTAAGTGAATTACATCTGAATAGTCCACATAATAGCATTAGCTCTTATGTAGTGACAAAATAAGTAATGTACTAGAATCATTATTTACATACCTAGCCAGTATTTCCAGCCACTCTTTTGGAAGTTTTGAGATATCACCTGTAAATTTTTAAATACATACAAAACCAGATCCAATTCCAATTTCATCACAATTATAACTGCACCCTAAATAACCAATGCCATAATAAAGTGCTCCATTCAGCGATAACTGCTTGATGTCATCTATATACAGGCAAGCTGCAGGTAATGAACCAACATACTGGTAGCTGACTGCGAAAGCACCCATATCATGGAAACTGTAAACTACATGGCACGTGTTGCAGTCTTCATCAGCATTGTATGTTAACCAGTATAAATAATTAAAAAAAGTTCTTAAGGGTGTCATTAAAGTACACATATGACTTACTAAGTCACAGTCTCATTCTAATTATTTAAACATATCATCGGAATTATCATCATCAATTTACTAAAAAAATAATATAATAAATAGCAAAAAAAGTATAAAAATAAGATATTTCAAGATTATTATGTCAACTGCTTAACAACCATATGGAACAGATGTTTCTATCTGTCTCAAGTACTTACTGTTCTTCAATGATATATCATCATCTACTTCCATCCATCCAATGTTTTCTTTTAATGCAGCAAATTCCTCTTTATTCATGCAAAGGACCTGAAAATAGGAAAAAAGTGTGACCACTCAATACATATTTACAGATCTTTTAGCCTTTTCTTATGGTTGAAATTAGTTAAACTTTGATTTTTTTAACATTTACAATTTCTTCTTTTTGACCGGTTTCTATAATTACTAGCCCAGTGGTTTCAGTTCTGATTCTATTGGTCTACTGTTACACCATACTGAAGATTACATCTAAGCCACGGCTTTGTACTGTGTTCTTAGAAAGTCTCCCAGCCTTCTCCACTCACTTCTCTTACATGTACTTCCACAAATCTCCATTGATATCTGGCATTAACATCAGCCAATAAATATTGACAAAAATATCTTGCCAAATTTTCTACCTTCAAGGTTTGATATGCTTCCTCCTCTGTGAGTATCCCAGAAGTCCCTAAAATGATGGCTGCATCATCAACCACCACAGACTGAAACCACACAAAAGTAAAAGCACAGATAAATGTTCTCATTTTTTTCAATATTTCTAATAATTTTACTTTTTTTGTTCTATGACATATAAGATAAAAATGACAAAAATTCATAATAATAAATAATAACTTCAACAAAATGTTAAATTCCATAAAAAAGAAATCAATCCATCCCAAAGGTTACCCACCATATCCTGCAGCACTTGCCATTTCTCAGTGAGGAGCTGGAGATCTTCTTCATCTTTACCTTGCTTTGCAACATCATACAGAATTTGTAGTGGAAGGTCCACCTGGAGTGAGAAATTTGTCTCGTTGAATGTAGAAAATCCACTGAAAATATATAACCACACCACACACACAATTCTATACCCTGTTTACAATTTTTTATTCCAGAAAAAAAAATTGAATAATTATTATAAATAAAAAAAAATGAATAAACAAACAGTAGAATCACCTAAAAAGAAAGCTTGGGAAGCAAACTATGACATGGGTAGAATGAAAATGGTCAATAATTATAACACTTCAGTCTATCTTTCATTTACAGGGAACTGAATGCAGTTTGTATACTCACTGTGTCATAGTTGTTATTTGGATATGGTTCTGCAAACCCATACATATGAAGCAGCTGCCAGTTTGCCAACTGACCATATGTGTTGAACACTTCTTCTCCCTAGATAAAATATGGAACAGACACATGAAAAAAATTGTCTTCTCCATTTTATATAATAAGAAAAGCAATTAATACGAGCATGATACTTTAAATAAAAAATGTAATAAAAATCACTGATATTCAGGGAATTCTTACACAGTAGTACTCCTTTCCTATCGTTTTAATGACCATAATTGAATATCTCTGTTCTTATAACTCCAGACGAAATTTGTTAACTAAATAACACCTACAGATTCCAAAAATCCGTTTATTTGAACAAAAACACACCTCTCTAATTGGTTTGGTGGATACCATTCTCAAGCAGTCTTTGTCAAATGACAAATGAGCATTGTTTTTGGCTACATGATTCAGGATATCTGCCATAGGGACCATCATAGGAGGGGATTTTTTCTCTGCATCTTCATCTTCATCTTCATCATTTCCATTTTCCTCATCTTCATTGCCATTTTCATTAGATTTAACTGGTTCAGTAAAACTATAGGCCATTACAAATGCAACCATCTTCTTATAGAACTCAAAGTCCTGACAAAGTGCCCTAAAATTGTGAATGATATGGATCAATTCAAATCAATATTATGCATATTAGAAAATTAAATACGATGAGATTAAGTACAAGAACTACATTTAAATTAAAAGCATCTGACCAAAATTAACTTCTTAATGATGATGGTGGAATGAAACAAAACCATCTCAGCTCCACAATAACATTTAGCAAATATAAATATTGACTTACGGGAACACATCTTCATGCTTTTTCACAAATGGCAGTACTATGCCACTGAACTCCTTTTCAATGAACTCCAAATCTCTGTCCACATTCTTTATTACACCAGTTCCCCTCAACTCTTGCTCCATTTCAGACCTGAAATATTTTAACAAGATCACTACATTAAACAGATTGCTAAAAGAAATTAATTGGTTGTAAAATTGTATATGTAATGAATGATTTTAAAAAAGTTCCAAGTTTTCTTCTATTTTCTAAACACAAGTTCACATACATTTAATTTCCTACATATTCAGGTCCTATATCTATATCAAATTTTATCTGTCCCTTTCAAGGTAAACTTGAATGTCATGGAAAATATATCACTGATTTTTTTTGTGATTTATAGCTACTTTCCTATCATCCACAGAAGTACAACAAAGAACAAGCTGCTTACAGAGGTTGTAAATGATGTACATAAAGTTTACACTCAAAATCAAAGGGCATCCAACCCCATTACCTCTCCCAAAACATTGGCAAGTGTAGTTCTTCAAACTCTGGGACCAGCTCCAGATAAGGCTTCCATTTGGACTGTGGGTTTGTGTACTCATACATAAGAGCCAGCAAAAGGGGAACCCAGCCACTCTGACTTTCAATGGAAGACGATTCTAAAAATTAAATTATATAAACATGCTTTTGTACTTTGATTCAAATAATGTTTTTTCCTTTAACTTATACATAACATTGAATTGCTATTGGGTGGATTTAATGCTACAGATTCAAGTTTGCAAACAGTACAATTAAATAAAAAGATGATGTGGAAGTTAATGTATTAACATGCAATCAAAAGTTTGAATGAGTCAAATATACCAATTGTCAAGCTTACAAGCTCCGTAATTTTACCTGATTCTAGCAGCTGTGCTATTGCACAAGTCTGTGGAGACAGTAGTAATGAACGTGGGATTTCAAACAAGCACTTCCCTTCAGGAATATCTTCTGTAGCCACCATCCCATAATTGGCACTAGAGCCAGACTTCGTGACCAAAACCTGAAGAGAGAAGGATGCTGTCAAGTAATAAATAAATAAATAAATAAATAAATAAATAAATTTAATTAAAAGAAATAAATCATCAGACATTTATAAAAACTTGGAAAAATAAAAAACAATGTACATATATGCTTGCATGACTTTTTTCCCATCAAAGGTTATTAAAAAATGACATTTTTCAACTTCTACTTATCCTGTAAGCAGTGTTAAACAATCTCAGGTTTTGAATTTAATGAAAAAAATAAATATTTAAACATGCCAGAGCCTCTGAAACAAATTTTTACATTAAAACTTCTTTAAAGTGATATAAATAAAAGTCTTCCTGCTTACTGATTCCATAAAAACATGATAAAGACACAATGCAAACACTATTACATAATAAGTATACAGTGTTCTTAAAAACTATATTAGAAATACAAAACATATGGTATGTATAAAAAGTTGTATATGGTCCACTTTTAAACAGCTACCAGTCATTGATGGAAATAAACTTGATCTAAAGGCTACACTTGTAAAAGCTGACCAAATTCAAACTGTAAATCGTCACGGTCAGTGATTCCAAACTGACAAGTCTTGCGCAAAATTAAGAATAAGGTTTTATTGGAATAGCTCAAGTGTCCTTACTCAAGCATTCAAAGATTATCATAAAAAGCCAAAATTTAATCAACAACGCGCCAACCACAACAACCGCAGAGCTGACAGTAAATATATGAACAAAGAAAACAAAGATCGTCATCAAAACATCAGCGGTCGCCGGTTGCCTTAAATGACCTATAGTCAACTGTTAAAAAACACGATTTCAAAGCGCTACAAACCTTCGAACTAACACGCAAATTAGTTTCCCTGCACCATCGAAAGAAACTAAGAAGTTTATCTTCACTGACTAGGACTTTCTTTGGAGAAATCTGCTCCTGATCTTCGTCCTCATGTTTTCTTTTTGACTCCATCCCTGCTGCAGCTGAAACCAGACTCCAACCACAGAAGAGCAGCATACACCCAATGACCTCTTTCGACCTTTGCCACACGATACGAAACGGCGGGGTCCGAGGATGCGAAGCCGACCTTCACCCCCCCCCCCCCCCCTGGCGTGGGGTTCGGGGCCTGCTGAAGGGCTCCGAAAAATGTTTGTAATTTAGAGGGCGAACTGTGCCATTTGATACAGTTTAGAACTATGATTCAGATTCCGAAAACGAAGGGACCCCCTGACACACCCCCTAAAGCCACCACTGTAGGCCCTACAGAGCAGTTAACTTTTTTGAACGACTTCAGTTTGCTTGTCACTGAATATTAAAAAGATGGGGGAGGGGGGAGAGGGGGGCGAATACACCCTACTGACAGTAAACTGTCTAAAATAAGCATTAAATAAACTGTTTTCCGTATCAGAAATGCCAAACTATCTTGGAATCACAGTATATTTTTTAGTCAGCAACAGAAAACCCTGTATCCTATTGCACCAAGTAGGCCTACTTGGACAAGGTGAAACTTTCTGACAATTTTTCTAGGGAACATAGCCTACGTTACGTGGTATTAGCCACGACGCAAAGCCCCTTTTACAGTTTAAAGACTTATAAAACATTCTTACGTCATTATATATCATAGAAATACTTCTATTGGTCATATGTAATTTATCATGACTGAATCACTAAAAAATATAACGGAACGCGATATGACCGAAAATTATATGACCGGAACATACTTTAGTAGCGGAACATACGTTACCACTTAGGCTCCTTATATAATGTATAAAAATCGTAAAAAAAAAGTAGATGTAAAACTGAGACGCCCGTGTGTTAAAAAAAATGAATGCAACTTTGAATATTTTCAATTTTATTTATTTATTTATTTATTGATATTTCAGCATGAGAAATGCACCTCTATATTGGTTTTGGTGTTTATTTATCTTATCTTTTTTTTTTTTTTTTTTTTTTTTTTTTTTATCAATTTAATAGCAAAATATCAATATTTCTATCTTATATCTGATGATTTCATCTCTTGACTTATAATGTCAATTAAAAACGACAGGCTTATCTCATTCTTTTAAAGAAAAAAAACTTCCTTTAGGCCAAAAATGAATTTTCCTGGGGTAAACGACACTTTTCCCATACTTACCAATGGTTAATAATTTTAAGTTGAAAAAGTATAAGTTAATTTAAAAAAATTAAAAGAGTAATTTTAGAAAATCTTTTAAAGTTTGGTGCAGAGCCCAAAGTATTTACACGGACGTACAGGCAATGAAAATGTCAAGGTTTTGGTAATCTATCCAGATTGCAGAAAGGAAGGAAGGCTCAAATGAAAAACAAACTAGAATGGAATTTTTTACTTTCCAGATTGCATTTGTTGTAATGTTTTTTCTTAAGGTTGCTTGGAACGATTGGACAAACGGCGATGACAAAATAGAACGCATGCCCTTCCCAGAACCTATACGGTAATCTGTTGGGTAATTAACAATGAGTTAAGGTATATTATACGTGTTCGAAAATATCCCATAGTCAAATTCAGATTTTATAAATGACAAAACTCCTTATATAGAAGTATGTGATGTCGATATTTCCTTCTTCATGTACAGGAAGACATGGTGGTCTGGCCAATCATCTAGAAATGAATTATGAAACTAGATTAAATCTCTGATATTGAAGTTTTAGAAATGTATTTAGTGTCAAGCACTGAGATGGTCAGGCCATGTCTCTAAGATGGATTGCACCAGAATGTCTAAAGCATTTCAGAACTGTCACAGGGGAAGAAGGAGAGATAAAAAATAAAATAAAATAACACGGTTTAAAAGATAGATTAAAACTTGCACTGGCACCATAAATCCAAACACGTGGCAAATGGAAGCATCTGACAGAAAGAATTCAAGTATTTTTACAACAAATTTTCAGTTCAAGTCGTTGATTCGGCATTCGCGATCACAATTCCGCGGATTGAGATCACAAACGGCAATTTTGTTTACAAGGCCTGGATTTCGAGAACATCAGCTAAATGTAAAGTGCAGCGAGTAGCAGCAGCAAAAGAGAAAGAGGAAGCAAAGGAAAGAGTGTAAAAATGTCCAGCCAGCCGGCGAAGAGCACGTAAATCAAAAATAGGTCTATATAACCATCAAGAAGCATGCTGACGAAATCAAGACCAACATGCTACCCCTTCCCTGAATTTCAGGACAGATGATAAAGCTACCATTCTAGTTAATGCTAGTGTTAGTAAACACTTAATCCGTTTTTAAAGCCTGACGATAAACGTGAATTGGTACAAATCGTGCTACAGTATTTATACAACAATATTTATTTTTATACAACAATATTTTAACCGTTTTACTGTTGCCAAAGGTCTATGAATGGATTCAAACAGAGAGGAAGGCGAAAACATAAAATATGGTTTTTGTGCGTAATCCAAGATTATTCTTTTTTAACAGCAAGTTGGTTTAACCATTTAACCAAAGTTTCAGCTTGTATAGGAAAATAGTATTATTAGAAAAATTTGTTAGTTCAATTTTAGTTTTATAAAATGATGTTCTTAATCAACTTTATGTAAAACAGTTGTCTTCTTTTTGAATAACATTTCCAAAGAGAAACGAAAGTGAAGAGTTTGGAGAAAAAATATATTGTAAGAAATGAATGTGCCGCAAAAGATATAAAAACTTGTTGGGGAAAAACAACTACCATATTGCTTCTGCCAAAACGAACCCCAGCCCAGATGGAGGGAGGGAAAGATCCATACACCTCTTCCAGTCTTAAAAAAGACGGAGCTGTACAGTGAGTAATTTGGAATTACCTTAAAGTCATTATTGAATTTACTAATGATGTTTTTCCCTTTGCTTTCAATGCATTAACAACCGAAAAACATTCATTAGATAAGCGCCGGTGGCTGTAGTCTGAGTGAATAATAAAGACTCACCTGTATTACGTTGTTCGTAAACCTCTTTCCTTATAAACATATCCGTTGCTCATGAGTAAGCTACACCCGAAGTTAAGAGTTCTGACGGTTATTTTTTTAAATACACTACCAAGCATAGCCGATAGTAGATTTGAATTTCCAGTACACTGGGAAACAGAGGGGGTGTATCATGTGTTTCTCATAAATAAATCAAAGGTTTATTTGAATGTTCTGTAAACGTTCAAATAAATTATAATTGGTTTTAGCCAGACAGCAATGTTTACATAATAAATTATATATAAAACAGACTTAATGGCGACTTAACAAGAAAGATGATAACAGAAATGAAAAAATACTTCCTTGGCAATTTCAGCCTCAATACCAGTAGTGGCCTGTCTAAAAAGGGGTATATGCATGTATGCTAAACAGTGTGTAATCTGTAAGTTATTAAAGGGATAAAAACTCTTCGCTGTGAATTATATATATCTCATACGAAGAGTTATCATCCCTTTAAATTATAAGTAAAAATAATTATGCAGCTATTCAAACTGAGCCTGCTTTTTGTCATATTCAAGCTCCCTTTAAATTCAAAGAAAGACAAAAAAGTTTTGTAATTATAGGTTGCCAACGATGGCAGCAGAAACAGCCATGTGGATATAAGGTAGACATTAGGGGTGACATTCTTTACCGAGGATAAGCCATGTTCATGCAACTTCTGTTTTCAGTGATGCAATCATAACATCATTCTGTAGCCGGATAGAATATCCAGCCCATTTGAACAGCTAATGGCCAACAACTTACAATTACTTCAAAGTGAATCTTCAGCGAAGCGATGAATAAAATTTTACACATGAATTGCAAATTTAATCATTTATAAGCTCCATGTTACTGTATTTACAATTCTTATGTTGATGCCAAAAAGAAACACAAACACAGCTTTTTTTTTAAGGAAAAACAGAGCAACACAATGATCATATAGTTCAATAAATTTATTTTTCGCACCTGTACACTTAACATCAGCTTTTCTACTTTTTACACAGTACTGTCTGAACAAATACATGTATATTTGCCATAACATCTTTATAAACCATTAAAAAATGTATTTCAAAGGAAAATTTTGAACTGGATATAAAGCTCACTATAACTTATCGCACACAAAGGGGACACCCATTTGAAACCACTGATACTTCACCACCATTGCTGTAGGCTATTTATTATCTTCACAGTAAAATGTAGAACATGATTTCTTTACAGGATAGAAACTTTCACGAAAGGACAAGGCAAGACTTATAAAATACATATTAATGCATAAAAAGCCTGAAATAATTATCTTGCTGGTATGTACCTAATGTAAAGGATTGCTGTATAAATAGGCTTGAAATAGCCATATTAACAAATAATATTATAAATGGGCATCTAATCATTGAATAGATTTATGAAGGCTTCTTCACTCTCTTGCTTGTTAATACTTAACAACTAAGACAATTACTTCAACTCTGCCAAATGCTACATAATCTGCACCCTGAATTTATTTCTGATCTTTCATTCATTATTAGTCTGGTCATCAACCAGTAAATAATTCTCTACTTCAGTCTATTTAGTGATAAATTTGGTAGAGTTTTAGTGCAAAAGCACAAACAATTGATGCTACCATACATCTCATCTTTGAGTTTGGGCGTCTTTGAGACGAGTAGTTCTTTGCAGGTAGCTGTTGCTGCTATTAATTATATAATCACATGGAATGCAGAACTTATTCTGACAGTCACATTTAGAGACCTTCCTCTATTCATGCTGTTTGACATGGCAGTGTAAATCATATTTAATTGTCATATTTGACAATGTTCGGGCTTCTAACATAATTTACTTTTCTGTGCAAAAGTATTCCAAGATGCAAAAAAATGTACTTTGTACATTATGGGCCACATACAATATAATAGTTATGATATTACATTTTCACAGACACATTATAATTATCTTTATTAATGTACAACCATAGGAAAAATCTACAACATACAAAACAGTAGAAATAATTTTTACATGATATTAAATTTTCAATAATTTGCACATTTTTTAGGCAGCAATATTATAGCATGCTCTGCTGCTTCATTTACAGATACTGTATCCAGTACAGATTCATCTGGACTGAGCATCCACTTCTGTTGAATTTCCATTTGTTTCTCTCGACTCTCGTCTCTCCTTTCCTGGAACAGCTAAGGGACTACTTGTTTTTGGTTTTGTTGCAGGCGAGTTTGTGTGACTCCGAGAGTTATGAGAGGCAGTTCCAGATGGAATGAGGGGTGGAGGAGCACCCACTGAACTGGATGGAGAGTTAGTCTTGGTAGTACTACTGTGATTGACTAGAGGACTCGCTGGTCTTGTAAAATGAATACTCCCTGACGCACTGGGAGTAAAATAAGAGTCTGGTCTGAGTGGAGGGATTTTTGAACGTTCACTGAATTCTCGCTCATACAGCATCTGCATGTCCCTAACACGTGCTGCTTCCATCTCACGTGCAGCATGTTCCCTCATCATCATTTCCTGCCGTGCTTGTTCACGGAGCCGTTCGTGCTCCATCAAACTACCCAGAGGATTCTGAAACCTTTTCATGAGTTCTCTTTCTCTCTCCCTGGCCAATTCCTCCCTTATTTCCAGTGTGTGTCTGTTAAAGTCAATCACACTTCTATCAGGCAGTCTCTCTGCAAAGTTCAGTGGATTCCACAGACCATGTGGTGGAGGTGGCCGTTCCCCATGTAAGCTATAAGGAGTCCCCATTAATCTCCTGGGATCTAACAAGCTAGGTCCAGAGAAAGAATGAGGAGGCATGCCTGGAGGATGCATTAAGTCACTCCTTTTATCAGAATTTCCTAAAATCATAACATCATCCTCCCTTCTCTCCTCTTTGATTTTTAGGTCAGTTTTCTCATGTAAATTGTTAAAGGCACTGTCCGACTTGGTCATATAGTCCCTACGGAGATCATCTCGCCCATTTCTAAGTGGAGATCTTGAGCGTGATCGCCTGCGATCTTCAAATCTTTCTGTTCTTTCTCTGTCACGACTTCTGTCAAAATCTACACTACTTCTGCGCCTGTCAGGTGAATGTCTGCCAGCCAGTCGGTCTCTTTCTCTGCAACAGAACAGAACACATGGGCATAAAATTAAAGGAAGTCAAATGTTTATTTCACCATATTGTATGTATAGATGTTGAATTACAAGGACATTTCTAGGGTTCAATGATAAGTATGTTAGCAAACAAGAAAGCAAAAGAAATATACTTACCTTTCAAATTCTCTTTCTCTTTCCTTGTCACGCTCATAATGTCTGAAAGTAAATAGATATATTCCCCACTCAATACATATCTGAAAGTTGTGGTGATCTTCATACATTGTAAGTATCTCCCCAAATTTTCCCTACAACTGGTGCAAGACTGGTATAGATAAGATATGACATGGAAAATTGAACCAACTTTCTTTACATCTCCTTGAACATATAAAAGAAATTTAGTATTAGAACAATAGACCTTCGCTGTGTAATTTTACACTGAGTAAATTCTCTACCTTTCTCTATCCAGAAGGCTCTGCCTCTCATCTTTCTCCTTTGCCAATAATAGTTCCCTTTCCTTCTCCTTCTCTAGTTCAGACTTGGGCCACGAGGGAGGTGTGGGGAATGATGGTGGGGTCCTGTGGAGACGACTCCATTCATGTGGGGATGTTAAATTGGGCAGAGAAGGGTGCTCTCTCATCATTCCATTGGCTGGAAAATAAAAATATTATGAAACACCACATATGTCTAAACCCCCAAAAAACTTTAAAAAAATGAATAATACTTCAGTAACCAAATCATCTCTAACATTATCATCATATTTTGATGTATTAATTACAAAAATATGCTCACAGTCATCAGAGTAATGCCTAGTTGTAATAAATTTATATAAATAAGAAGTGCACTTACGCAAACCTGTCAGACCAAGCCCTGCATATGGACTTGGCCTAGCAAAAGGTGACACGCCCAGGTGGCTGGCTGAGAGGAAATTTGCGCTGTGAGGACTGCTTTCAAAGGGACTTCGACTGTGAGAGGCAGGCTTCGCGGGCCCTGCCAGCAGAGCCGCAGACGCTTGGAGATCAGGGGGGCGGTGGAGAGAGCTGCCAGGAATTGTGGGTGGACGTAAGGGTTCTGGGGCCAGTTTGGCATCAGGATTCTTCTGTGCTTCTGTTGCTTGTTTCTGTTGGTGATGGTAGATTTCCCAGGCTATGCGCACATGTACTGCACACCACTTGCCAGGTTTCTGAAAAGAATATAAAATATTTCATGATATAATTTCATAATATCCTCAAATAATGTATTTTGGGTTCTCTAACAAGTGTTTTACTTTTACTTGCAAGTTAACAAACTATTCTTCATTTTTAAGAAGACCATAAGCCCAACACAAATGCTGAAATTCACCCAGTGCAAATGTGTAGATGTGTCATATGAAACACTACAAATTCTTGGTTAGTTCCAAAAAGAGATATATAATTCACTGAACACTAATAGCAAGTTTTTTTGTCACACAGGAGAAAAGATATAGAAGCAGACTGCAGACAGATTTTGTGTTACAAAACTCTTGCACCTAATTTTTACAATACTCATAAGTCACTCCTTTCAACATATTTAGATGGAGTCTTCCAAAAAATCTAAACTAACTTTCTGAGCTGGGATTTGAGGGGTTTGTTCAACTGCATTCCTTTCTCCTCTTTCCCTCAAGGACATCAATAACTGGGCATGGTTCACATTGGAGGGCAGATTCTGAAACAAATGCACAATGTGTTAGGTGAGATAAAAGCAATGTGATATCAAAATATCTGAAGCAGCATTGTCCCACCCAGAACAGGATCTGCTCTACTATTTCTATTGTTATCATAGGCTGCCTCCCAAAGGCACAAATAGTCATGAGAACACCTGCCACCAGGTTACAAGGAAAAAACAGTATAAAAAAAAATACAAATCTGATAGATGCAAGCCATTAATGTCTTTTTTACCCTTTAATAATTTTTAAGGCAATACTGTTTTTTTTTAATACTCCACATCTTTCATCCTAAAGTTCATAGCCTTGTCAGTTTTGTTTTACAAAACAAAACCCCTAAATTTTTTTTTTATTTTTTGGGGAAAAATGCCCATAAGACTGCCCTTTTGCTGCACTTTGTTGGCTGCCCTCTATAGAGAGCCAAGTCTAACTTGTGTCTCCCGGGAGCACATACATTAATTCAAAATCAATTCCAATATTCACATTGCCAGGAAGATGAATGGCAATTTTGCATTTTGCAATACATTGTGCAAATTCAATCTCTACGGAACATCTGCACTTTGCATGATAACTCCGCTAATGCCTCCCTGAAGGCCTATGGATGAGAGAGTGGAGATAAAAAGGGGTTCTGCGCCTGCTTGCTGAATTGGCAGTGGTATTATTGTAAGCTGTGAAAGCTGTGAAAAAAGCTTGTGAATGACATTATTACACCAGCAATAGTGAATGGATATGAAGGGGGGAAAAAAACTCAAGAGAGCACAAGCCTCTGCCAGGGCACCTCAATTCTTTAATAATTAACAGATCACCACCTAAATCCAATTTATTCTAAGTTAGCCCAATTATGACCTATCCTGAAAAATCTTTTGCATTAGCTTATTAACTAACACAACAATAAACTAACAATCACAAAAATGTAACCTCCTTCAAAGAGGTAAAAAAAAGAAAATTAAATTTATTACTGATAAAATCTTAATGATTTTTTCAGACTACAATTCATTTTCAATTCAAATGATTGAAGATTCCAAAGGAATGCCAGATTACTTGCTTTTTTTTCACCCTTTCAATCTCCTCTAGCATCACAATTATTCTTTTTTAAAATTATTTTATACTTAAAGCTGTCCAACAATATAACCAATTTGTTTTACCTGTCAAGGCTGGGTGGAAGCCATTTTGACACATCCCAATACCTCTAGGAATTATGACTAGACAGGAGTAGACACTATATTAACAATGTTTTAAGAAACTACACAGTACATCAGTTAAGATCTGTTCAGTTACTTACCCTTGGCTGGAAAGCCCCATGTATTCCTGCTGTTCCCGGTAACCCCCCAGGGGCTGCTGGATGGAGGACTGGGGACACCCCTGGGTATCCTGGGGGTAGACCAGGGAGCTAAACAAGGAGTGAAAGGTTTTCTTATTAACCTTAATATATCATATACTTAGCATATTCTAATCATCCTTATCAGTACAAACACACGTGTATAAATGGACCCACACTCTCATAGAAACATATACTATGCTTTGTTAAAAATTGAGTAAATAAAGCTCATCAGAATTAATTTGGGGAACGTTGTGAAAATCTGCTGTCTCATTTACAGAAAATGTATTTATTCAGAGGTACAGAGGTAACAGTGTAAATGAAATAAAGGAATCAATAAAATGTGTTTAGTATGGTGATAGAATTGTTGATACATGATGATAACAAAGGAAAAAATACAAACAACAGAGAATTGTGACACAAGTGCTACCTGTACTTACATTGTGTCTGTAAAATGGAGAATCTCCAAATTTGGGAAGAAACTTGTCAAACTGTAAAGACAAGAACAACAGCAACTGAATTCCAGGTTCATTACAAGACAAACACCCAGGAACTGTGGCATGCAGTCAAAACATTCTTTATGGATACTAGCTATGGTATCAATAATACAAACAAGGGAGAATCACCTGTTGTACAAGGCAGTACAACTGTCCCATAATAGAGAGAGTCCTTCACCATGCAACAGAAATAGAAAAGGCAATAACACATTTGTTTTAAAAGAAATTCACAGGAATAAGACATTCAAACAATTGCTGTGCCAACATATATAATCATTGCTATTTTGCATGCAATTCCCTTCATAAGTGGCCATCATACTGGCTTTTGAGCTGGAGGATGACCACACTGCTCCCTCACTCAGTCAACAACGACCAAACACACACACGCACATGCAGACACCAAGCCACAGCATTGTGGACAATCACCTTTTGAGGGTCTTCACCAGCTCCAACATGAGGGGGACGCAGAAACCCAGATTTCTAAAATTAAGAAACAATGCGAATATGTCATTCTTACAAACAATCTAACATTTACCATGGAGTTTGAAAATAATCAATGACATAAAATCATCTGATATCTTAAATGGATGCACACCCTGGATGGCTCTGCTGGTATAGCATACAAAAAATACGGCAAATAAGTAATTAATTGGCATGCTGATTAACACCTAGAGCAAAAAGGCAACAGATAAGCTTTTTTGCATGTGGAACAAATAAATATCAGTCAAAGTCATTATGGAAAACACGGGAAAATTGTCCAAATATTGTCTGATTATAACTTCTTAAAAATGAAATTCAGAAATTCATTTCTGATAGTTCATAAGATTAGTTTTATGGTACTAAGTCAGCACATCATATAGTTGGTTTCAAATGTTTAATGTTCACACAGTTTTTATGACCAATGAGTAACATTATGGAAGCAAATAAAAGCAAAAACGTTTCACCCATTATCAATGTCATTATTCTAATCTCAAATGGATATAAATGATATGCCAGAAACAATAACCATCTAAGTATGTAATGGTGGCTTAAGTTGATATCATATAACCTTATATAAATCAAGTAGTATGTATTTTATTTCAACAAGGCAGTCTCCAGTATTTCCTTTCAAAGCTTCAACTGGTAAGTGAATGGTGTTCTCATCACAGCAAGGCTGAAAGATAATAATCTATCATGGTTAGATAATCACCATAACATTAACCGCATCTATCATTCTGTAAGTTAAATAAAACATAGGATTAACAGGTTGAGGTTGCTGCTGGTAAATCTTCAGAACTGTACTGGAAACTGAACTGAGCAACCAAATGGAAATAGAGGCAAGAACAACATGTAATTAGCATTGTATTATTCATTGCAGACAATATGGTGCAGTAAGAGCCAGTCATCAGTTGTACACTTATACAATATATTGATGAAGTTGTTAACTGCCCATGTCTGACATGTCTTATAGGACAAAGGTTGGTTAGACAGGCAGACACTGACAAAAAGTTAAATGAACAACCAAGTAATTAAGGAGAACAAACTGATACAGTTAAAAAGAAGTTCAGATACCCTAAGTTTAATACTTACAGTTGCCATAAATTTGGCCCATTAACATTTACTAGTACTATCACTCACGTTTAACTATACAATAAGATGTACTTAATGTGTTCACAATTTTAATTGAGGTTGACCACAAAGCACATAAAAATTTTGATTGCTTTTATATGCTTGAACACAAATATAACTTCTAAATATAAACCCTTCTGCATTCATGGTGCAGAACAAATTCATTTATGCAAATTAATGTGAGAAATAAATTTAAAATCCAGACTGTGCTTTAACAGATCTGTATTTATCCAAACAAATCTATGAATCAAGACAAATTAATGTCATTGACTAAGGGAGGTATATTTCATAGTACAACAGTTTTAACCCATGAATATATACATTTTCAAAAGAAACTTACCACATGTGGTGTAGGGGCTGGTATGAGAGAATTGCTATAATGATGAGCAAAAGGCCCATAATTGTGCTGATGCGTATGCTGGTGCTGATGCATGTGTTGATGCTGGTGCTGATGGATATCAGCTCTCAAATATGGCGGGGGACCCAGCGCACCCAGGCGGTCTTGAGTAGATTGGAGGAAACGATTGTTTAACTCGCGCTGAAGCAGCTCTTGGCCTATAATAAAACACACATACAAACTACTACTCAAAATCTAATGGTTTTTTATTTCCTGTGGGACCAGCATGATTATTTCTTACCAAGCACTGAAAAATTTATAGCTATCACATTAAATTTAATGTACTGTGCTTGTCATACTTGAAATCACTAGATTTGGAATAATATATGCATGTACTAAAATGTCGACAACTGACTAATTAATACCTTTATCATGCTTAACCACTCACAATTCTTTAAAAATAATAGAGAATAAGTTGAAAGGGAAATGCAAATTCTGAATCTTTTTTCAATTAACCTGACATCTACAATTCCAAAATCAGCACTTAACCTTGTAAATTTATTTGAAAGCAGAGATAAAATACTCACTTGAATGGAACGAAGATATGGAGTCTGCACCAAATGGAGTGGATGGCAAATTTGATGGCAGCCCAAGGGACGTGGACGTTAGCGGCGGTGGTGGTGGGATGGGTGGTGCAAACATTGGGGTGACACTATGCGGTGACTGGTGATGGGGATGAAGCGATGGTGGTGTATGGCGAAATGTAGGTGTATGACGACTTGGCAGAGATAGATTGGGTGTTGGTGTCAAATGACGTGACACACTGTGAAATGAGTTGGCACTTGGACTGAAAATAAAAAAAGAAAAAATATGTTATTCTTGCAGCATAACGATGCTAATGATGCATCTTGTAAAAATTAACAAATTAGGCTGTTAAGAAAATATTAAAATATATTTTTGCATTGCAAAAAATCCCACAGCCATTTCTCACAATAAATATATCAAATGTACAATGCAAGTCATTTCCATGCCACAACCTTTATAACCCAAGCCCTCAAGTTTTGAGTATTGTAACAGCCAGTTCCCCTTAATATGGCTTCTGGCTCTAAAGACCAAGCTGTATCACGAGAGACAACCAACCAGTCAGGTGATCCTCTGTCCAGCCGCAGGCCATATCACGCAAGGGGTTGTAGCTATACACTCGTAACAACTGTATTAACTGCATTAGGCTTCCAGCTGGCAGGACAAAAGTACTACCATGCCACAGGCTACTACTAGCTTGCATACATACATGGAAAATTGCAACCTAGCTGCAGGCTGCACAAAGCTATTACTATATAAAACATCGACTGGCATGATGTTCACATAAACCTTTTGTGAGAATACTTTAAGAACACTGTTGTTTTCTCATCTCTCTTTCTACAAACACACGTGTTGACGTATCATACACACAAGTTTGGGCATCACGCACATTTGCTTATATAGAAACGCGGAAGGTCCATTGTTCAGAGAACAGACTGCATTTCAGGTTAACCTTCCCTCTTTATCATTACTTCCAGTGGGCAACAAGGCAAAGTGGAAACATTTTCATTTCCAGGAAATCTGTTCTAATCGTTATGCAGTTAGGGGAACAATTTGCATTTAAGTTTTCTACTTCATGTACCATTGCCTCTAAACTTGGCAACACGACTATAATGAATCATTTAAGGCAAGTACAATTGAGAGAGCATTTATTTTGGATCCAAATCCCTGCTGGGAGAATCCATTTCTGTTAACTTGAATCAAGCACTACAAGAACTGATCTACTCATGTTTCCCAGCAAGAGAACAATGTGTCTTACAAGCAGAAGAAACAGGGTTTACTTCTCTTGGTTACCTGACACTCGAGCATTTCCATTTTTTTTATCTAGAATAGTATCATATCTACCTTTTCTTTACTATTTTTAATCATAAGGTAGGCACATTTCATGAGATGATATTTCAACACACAATCACACACCTTTATTTCTTTTTAAAAATCCTCCAGGACATCTCAAAATATCATGAAACTCACACATTCATCATGTACTTCTAATCTTCAAGCCTCATGTCTTTAAGGCAATAAATCAACACTGCTCTTCTTATAATATTTATATTTCCTTATTCTTTGTACCTCATAATTCAGCATGCAAATAGGAGAAAAGAAACGATTGACATTCCTGTATAAACAGGCTGACATGAAGTTGGTATATCTATTCTCTGACAGTAGCCAGGCTATGTTCATCCAAAATATGATTAAACTCAACCATTGAGCATCTGAAATCATGCATAAAAGCCTTGAATCATGGAAAAAAATCTTCATTTGACAGAAAGTAAGATATAACAAGTGACTGTTTTAATTTCACAAAACTCTTACCTTCCCCAAGAATTTCCTCTACTGTGGCTTGGTATGCTACTGTTACTGCTGCTGTTACAGCTGCTGATACTGCTGCTGCTGCTGCTACTGCAGTGACTGTTGGGTAGGTGTGTGTGATTAATGCCTTTGTTCTCCTTCTCACTTTCCCTCTCTCGTTCCTCTGGTGGCCTGGCGGGGTTGAGGACAGTCAGTGGAGGCTCCTTGGGAGCTGGAGTGTTGGCTTGACTGCTTACTGTCACTGGGGTACTGGACTTACTACTGCTACCACTCACGTTATTATCTCCTAATCATGAGAAAAAAGCTGCAAATTACTAAAGGTCGACTGTAAAAAATTAAGTCTATCCAAATATGCAAAATCATGGCAATAAAAAACTCTTACTAGTAAGCATTTTTTTGCGTTAAACTCTTCAATAACAACAAACACAATGATTAACAATAGATGCTATTTATGTTAACTGCACCTGGTGCAAGAACTACAAGTACCATGCAAGAAGTGATCTATAATAAATAACTGCGTAAACTTATGGAGAGAGAAGAGCCCATGAAAGTAAAATTAATGTAATAAATGTCTACAAGACATGTTATCGCAGCTTTCTACAAGTAAAAACATTAAGTTATCTCATAAATTCAACCAGCCTATACTCCCCAGGAAGTCAATATTAACAGCTCCAGGTGAAGCTATAAATCAAGGACATGGTCCATAAAGCAGTGAGAAAATTCCACCTGTAATCCAAACAGACAATCCAGCCATCTTCTGAGCATTTCATCAGGGTGGAACATCCCCAGTGAGGCATTTCCCCAGCCATGTTAACAACTTATTTGTCACAGTAAATAAAAACTAACAGCATGCAGAGAATGTCAAGGGGAACATTTTCACTTAATTCCTGGTGGGTCTTACATTGCTTACCAAATATGTACACTTTTATGCTCCAGTTAGATGGGCATACTACCAGACTTCAGCTGACAATTGATTAAAATGATGGACAAAGTACTGGTATGTTAGTAAAGCTAAAATTCATCATAAAAAAAAACGGCCTTTTGCTGAGTATTAACTATGTGCAAAATTAGCACTGGTCAGCTTGACAAGCACTAGTAAATGTCATATCTTCCAAGTAGAATATATATGAATTCACTACCCCAACCTGCAATTAAATAACTTCATGACACTCAATTTCCATTACAAATTTGGCAAAAAAATCTATACTTTGTTAGACTTTATCGTGCAACAGAAAAAAAGAATAACTGAATTTAGTCATCAAAAAATTTATGCTTTTGACTATTCACGATATGCAACTCCTATGACTTCATCAAATGAAAATAACAGTACAAAACTAAGGTTTGTTTCATTAATTTATCAATAACACTAATTAAAGAAGAAAACACATTCACAGTATCATTTCAATACTTAAAGGAAAGGGGTCCCACGGAAATAGTTCTTCCTTACTCTTACACCTGAACTCCATTATTTCTTCCCTAAAGTATCTCCACCCCTTCCCTGTCCTGTAATCAAGAGTCTGGAGATGATAATCCATTAATAAGCCCACAATTAGCTGCTAACCAGCCACAGCTGGAGACCTCAGCATGAAAAGCAAACACAAACTGAGCACCACACTTACTTACCCACCTACTGTTCATTTCAAATAACAATCCTCATATTATACTTACTTGTATGTCTAGTGTTGTTGAAGAGATCCGAGCCTACATCAGAGGCCTGCAAAAAATAAAAATGTGAGAACTCTGGTAAATATTGGCCGTAAATGACATATCCAAACTCTCATAAAAACAAATGTGTGGATTATAGTCTGCAATAAAATAACAGTTGCTCTGTTGTGAGAAACAACATGGTTTTATGATGCCAAGGCTGAAGGTTATGGTGTGTGGTTCCACCAACAATTCGAGGGGAAGTCGTCAAAATTGTTTTCTAGTTGAGTGAAAAACTATTATCATCCTGTCTCCTTCAATGTGTGCAATGAGTGGAATGACATGTGAAGTCAAATGTCACAAACACATCGTGACCCGATGAAGAAGGTAAGGGATTGACAGAGCCCTTTCATGTCTGCCTAGTCAACTAAACCCTTTCTGGACAGTTATCTCAGACAAAAGATATGAAATGTATATTATCACCAAACACTTAAATGGCTCAAAGTATGGCATTTCCACTTAGCAATATCTTTTTCACTATGGAGAATACTGTCTAAATATTTGAGCATAGCTTGTCTGATGGCTGGGGGCTCCTTGACCTACACTGATCCCCTGACATGTGACCTGCCTATTTTTTACTGCAACAATGACACCCCATTTACCAACAGCAATGAGAGTAGCGACAGTGAGTTAAAGCACCAGGCAACTTAAGGCCTGCAGACAAAGACTGATCTGTGATAGGTACCATCGCCTTTGAAATGCTTTTCTCTTCAACAAAAATCAACACTGCTACCGCCAGCTTTTCTCACTATCATGCAAATCATTGCCTGACCTCTGTCTGAGTGAAAAACTCTGAGCTTGCATGCAATATAGAAATTAGGGAAGAAGAGATTATTTTCAAGGCTGGTAACTATACCAAGTCTTTTTTTTTTTTTTTTTGGCTGTAATTGCTTAATTTGCAACATATAATCGTGTGAAACAGCAATGTGATTAGATATCAACAATAAACTAGCATGTTTTCCACCTCCTATGCGTCTCACATGTTGAAGTATTCCTATTACCCGGCTCTTCACTACAGAAAATCTGGCATGCAATTCTTTAGTCACAGCCACTGCTTATTCACATAAATACCATGCAGAAATGTCATACAAGCAATTTCAGATTTCTCCTCTTCTTCCTTTCTTAAACACAAACCTTTTATCTAGTCTTCAGTTTCCTTATTGCTTTATGTGTATTACATTTGCTAGACCTCCCTATGTATCATTCTAACTCTATTCTAGAATAAAGAGAATTAAGTTGTTACCATTTTCTGTAACATCCTAGCAAAGCTTGGCTTGGTAATGCAGAGATGAGTGCACCACAACTCCATCCTCCTAAACTTGATTTCTGACCAATTTTCTGTCTGCAACTGAAGCCTTATGTGTCTCGAGCTTAACTGCAGACAAAGCTGCACGCATCACAAGTTTTTACAACGAGGTACAAATAAGAGGGCAAAAGAGCATGCACCACTGCAGGCGCTGTGACATCTGACATTTTGTAATCAAAGACACAGGTGAGACGTGATGACCCCATCCCCGGGGCCACATTTTTGACTTATTATCACATACCAGTCTATGTACAGTGCACAGAGCGATGACCAGGGTGTCAAGAAGTGCCGCATTAAGGGTAAACAAATGGCAATGTGCCAGGATGTCCTTGGCTGGTGACGCAATGTGCTAGCTAAGCCGTAAGTAATTCTTTCAGCAAATTGTTTTTCCCCTCCATTCCTCTGAGATCATGGCATGCATCCTGAAGTGAATATTACTTTGACTCATCTTGACTCTCATGGATCATAAAGATGGCAGGCTTCCATTTGCTTTACCATAGACTTTACTATACATCAAATCCTTAATCTGCATACCTGGGAGTATACCAAGAGAGTGAAATAAAAACATAAAAAATAAAAAAATTCACTGGATCAAATTCTCCTAATATACATATTGTATACCTAGTCACTATAAAGTTATCATTAACCATTAGGTCTGAGCTGGACTAAATACGACCCAGTTAGCTGGGCTTACAAAGACCCATTTATTTTCTGACACACAACTCATTCCAACCAAAAGCAAAATAGTCCCTTATGGGCAATAGATTCATCTAGCTGAACAGAAAACCACTTGGCAACTGTTTTTTTAATGGTACACGTCCAATTGAAAAGCCATACATATCCTACTGCCAGTATTTAGATTGCTTGGTGCATATTAACCCTTTACGCCCCTAGTGTAACTCTTTCTTTTTTTTGAGGCGCCATCTGGGTGGTCCTTGACAGTGTAGGATAGATGAGTAGAAGACTCCTTCAGTCTTTATTCTCTAGCCTGTTTTTATCCAAAAGTCACTCACCAGTCTCTGCTAGGGGAACAAGTGCTTGAGACTTCAACTGAAGTGCCTATACAAAGTGCAGATAATAGTATGAGCCACTAAACATGTCAATTTGCATCCACTCACTGATCCTTCACCCTCTCCCTTTTATGACTCAAGGCCACTGGGTACACCGTTCTTTGTTGAGGAGAAAAATTCTAAAGAATGATGATTGTGAAGGGAAAAAAGAAATTCAAAATATATTAATGCAAATCCTGTCATTTGGAGAAAAAAAGCTGACAGCTTGTCCCATCCTGTTGAGCATGTAGTGGAAACCACAGGTGACGAAGACAATATATCCACACATAAATGCATGTCTTTTCCTACCCTAACTTGACGGGCTGACATCTCTCAATGCCTGGTATGAGCCGTATATTATCACTCACCTTCTAAGGTAGACTAGCATCCCTGCAGATAAGGGTCTTCCTTTTTTAAAAAGAAGAACAAAACTCCAAGCAGAAACTTGGGAACCCACACAAACTTACTTTAATAGTATAGCAGCGGGAGCGCAATAAAAAGCCTCCTGACCTTCAGTCAAAGATAGGTTCCAACAAGCCTCATAAAATGCTCCATAAACAACCAGTTAATTTCTTGATATTTAAACCAGGTGAACAAACTTCTTGACACCATCCTCTGCTCACTAGGAACAGCAAGACAAACAAACTGTTCTACACGGCACTCCATCTATTCCTGTTGATTTTATATCCTTCCTCCAGATACAGCAGAATCAGTAGAGAGCGGCCCACTGCCTTAAGACTACAAATTAATAGATGGAAATTGGATCAGCAGTGATACCTCATGCCAAAAAACAACTTAAACATCCCCCTGTATAATAACTTGCTGCTTCAATTTATCATCATTATGATGGCCCGCAAGGAGGACAGACTAAATAGCAAACAGGCCTTGTTTTATGGCTACTTATCACTCCAGAGATGCCATTACTTGACATACTTGTACTCTAGAATGCTGAAGAGGCATCATTCAACACCAATCCAGTAATAAAGATAGCCCCTACTTCAAAATCCATCTTTCTCTGGTGCAAAACACTTGCTGTGTCTCTTGAGCTGATTTCCTTCTTCAGAAGAAATACAGTGTGTTAAGTATTTCTTGATAATGAGGTACTAGAAACTTTTCCAAGAAAATAAAAAACCTATATAATATCCAGAGAAAATCCATTTCATTTCGTGCAACCACATGTGAGATCAGACAACTATCTTGAAAACATAACAGAGCCAAAGTAAACATATAACCTTTCCTGTGTCAATTATTTCCCAAATGCTTGGTATTAGCACATTGATATTGAATAGCAAGTCGGGAGAAAATTGGCCAGAATCCCTGTGGCATGTCACTCATCCCCGTGGCAACATGGTTGACATTTTCTATGAGTCAGATCCAAAGTCTTGTCATCACATGCATACTCCATACAACCTCCACGCGGAGGAGGGGTAGCTGTTTGGATCAAATATCCTTGTGTTGAAGGATGTAATTATCACTGTTGCCTGTCCTTCTCACAGAGACATCTGTCTCATCCTGCTACCTGCTGCTGATAAACAACCTCACTTCTGATCAGAGAAGCTTGGATAAAGAGATTACCTTCCAGTCACATCAACCTGTCAAACGTGTCAAGATAAAACCCCAGAAGTAGTCCTCAGTAAGTGGTGCTGGCCCTGGCACTGTGGAGTGGGGCACACAGAAGTAGTGTGTGCTCTATGGGTTCTGTAAGAAGATAAAAGCCCTCACAACCTGTCACAGCAGGCTTCTTTACCCAGTCAACTGTCCCAAGAGTCTGTCTCCGCCTGACTGGTCTCCTTTCTGTATGTCTCATTCAGCTGCTGAATTCAGTAACTGGATCTACCCAGCATCTGACAGCTTATTACTACCTGTATGACCCACACAGCTATCAGATTGGCCATTAAAGAAAACAACCCCTTCATCATGTAGCCCTTTTAATCCAGATGAAATTACCTGATAAGCCAGGGTAATAATTTAACTCTTTAATATCCCAGCGATAAGAAAGCCCACAGCTTGTCCACTTTAAGGTCTGCTGAAGATTCAACAGCAGAGGAAAAGCTGGAGTGCCAGGCACATAGATCCAGACCTATTGTAATTCACATGTTGGTAGAGATAAATTCCAATAACTACCACATGGTCCCTCCCATGTGCAACTGGTACTGATGAGTTGTAGCATGCAAGTAGGAGGACTTGTAAAACAATGACAGTTCTTACTACAACAATCATGTGCTGTCTGTCATCTACTCACTGAGGCAACATGTGGACAGCATACAAATCCATCAAACCAGACAGCTTTCCTTGTTGCTGTACTTCACTCACTGTTAGATATTTCGAATCTGATGGAAGAAATAGAAATAAAGCCTACTAGCTCCGTGGTGGGAGACAAATGCACCTGCCACTAATACTTGGAAAGATGTCAAAAAATGTCAATTCCACCTACCTGTTCAGGCTAGAAGGTGTGTTATTATTATTATCATCTCAGCAATCCCAATAAAGTATAAACCCTCCTTCCTGATGTTTTTTCCTCCTAATGCCTTATTCAGATTTGACGCAGGGTGGTTCAGTTCATAATGAAACCTCAAAAACAGTTTTTCTCTTGTCGAAATGGGCATGCCAATAATGCCTTTCTTTACAAGCGGCTCCTAGATGCTTCAGATAACTTGAATAAACTATTCCCCTGCAATCGTGTTCATCAGATAACTTCTATCTTGTGTCTTGTTCCAGATAAGTGCACTTTACAACTACTCCTACCACTTAGCATTATTATCTCCATCAGTTAACATAGCTGTATTTATTTTGGATTGCTATATTTGTATGCTGATAGCCTTTCACAGGCCACAGGTTCAAAATACTTGTGCTCATCAGTGATGCATGTGAAAATGTAAAAGAAAAAAGCTTTAACAGGCCTGTCAATAGGTATAAAAATTCTTCACCAATGCTTACAAGTTGCCCTAGCTACCAATACAAACCAAGCCTGTAGTTTCTAACCAGCCATACCAATTCAAAAGCCAGTTACAGTGATTTATTGCGTATTAATTGTTTTTTCGTTGAGCAATGAGAAGAATTAAAATTGCAGCACAAAAGAAATGGAGGCTCACATTTTTTTGTTTTTACCACATCTGGTAAATCTGGTTTAGATTGTGATTTGGAGTTAAATCAGGCAACCTTACAACTGAATAAATACAACATTTCAAAGTCTTGTTTAACAAACCATTTGCCATTTTACCAAGTGTACAACTCACAACTGGAATCAATCTAGAAGTCGTGGCACTAATGGCCGACAAAGGTGCCTCTGATTTCTCTGTTATGATAGAACACACTCAGTAATAGGAAAACCTTCTTTGAGTATCAGGCCTCTGCTAGCTTTGATGTCAGCAGATTTGCTTCTAGTTAGAGAAGCAATTATGGCTCATTGAATTTCTCATGCTATGCTGGAAGCCAATGTAATGGCCAAGCTATTTCTGCAAACATGAAAACCACGCTTGAAAGTGTTGAATAGTGATTACACCCGACATAATGTACATACTTTCACTACAGGCTGGGGGAAAATGTTTCAAGAGGCTCAACAGCTGTCAGGCTAGAGCTCACAGATAAACACTCTCTAAATATTTGCACAGATGCTGCTAATTTCCATAGCTATGTTCAAGCAGCTGGAAAGGTTGGGAGCAGCCAGGCCACAGAACCATAAGGCACTGCCAACATCAACACTCATCAGTTCACACTTAACACAATTACTGCCATGTAATTTCTGGTAACAAACTCAATTGGGGGTGGTGATAAGAGTAAATCAACCAATCAATTTGCATCAAATTCTTCATTACCCAAAGTGCCAACTCCAACAGAGATGTCAAAGCCAGTTTACAGTCGCTGCTGGACATGCACTGGCAGAACTACAACACTTTGGGGGAAACAAACTCGCTGGAGGTCATAAGTACCGATAACAAATTACTTCCTTCATTTAACATAAATATGAAGTCAAGGCAGAGGTCATTAGGAAATCACAATAACCTACCTTTCACCCATCACTCCTTGTTTCCTTTAATAATACTCCTGCAAATTGAATCCATTACACCTTTTTATCACGTCTATGACTAATGTACCTTTAAATAATTTGTCCCCTTTTTTTCTTTCAGGGATAATCCACTAAATTTCAACTATTAAATCCTCTTTTTACAATCTGTATGACTACATTTACACAAAAAGCACTGTAAATGATGTCCAACCCTCAGTTTGTGTGCTCTACTGTCTATATGCTGTGACTGTATAGATCACACGTCCTGTTGTGTTCTGCCCTCGCATTCATTAATGTTCCAACAGGTCACATGTGGAGATTAAGATCATCTCTTGAGATAATCAAGGTAGATTATAATCTTCAGGGGTCTGTAGCTTATATTCCTCTGCAGGTTGGCCAGTAATCTATCTGGGTTTTCTCTGTACTGAAGACTTGAGCGAGCAATCCTATATGCACAACATGCTAAGACACAATGGATGAAGTGGCTCACTTTAGCAGTTCTCAATGCAGTTGCAATGTGACTAGAATAGTAATGATTATATTAAAGAAAGCATGGTTGTGGATGGAAGGTCAGAGGGGACCTATCAAAGCCTCATTTGAAAGCTGACACACACCAAAATGTGATCCTTGCTACCTAAGTATAATGTAACATGGGATCCCATGAGCTAAAACATCAGCTTCTTTTGCCCCCACCTTCACATAAAACAGTAATTCGATCATCGTTATTGGTTTCTTTCCTCCCAGCTGCGCACAAGAGATAAAGTCAACCAGTCAAGTGTATTGTGGAGAAATTACGCAGAGTTGCAAGCATCTACTCCTCATATTACCCCAACACTTACCTTATTCTAACCACCCAACCTGGATCCTAGCCATCCTCACTGGGTCTATTTTACTAACAACAAAGGGGCTCCATGGAGCATGCTTCAAGATATGCTGGTAAATTACTCTTTAACCTTTTACCCAGGCATCACTCTGTATATCTTGCTACCTGTCTCTTGTTATTGAGGAACCCTATAAGCAGTCCCACTAAGTATACAAAGGATTCTTATGTAATGCTGACATTGGAGAACCCTTGATGCAGTGACATGATCAAACAAATTTGCCTAGTTTCAAGAGGCATTTGTATAAGAGATCAAATCACATTGAATTCAATACATCAGCCCTGCTTGAACTTTCCCAATTTGCTACACATTTTCCAAACAGGAAAAATGGCAACAAGGTTAATCTCTGGTAATAGAGGAGATTTACTACATGTGCTGGGTATGCTAGGGGGAATATTCCCTCATTTTCTGTCCTCTTCACATGCTCACCTTAGGTCTTGAGTGGTCCTCTATAGTGCAAAGGTTTAT